GGGCCATGTCTGCCTGTACGGCATGTTAATAACCGTATACTAACTCCATTCCGTTGAGTAGATTGTTTATGCACGGGGGACATACCAACCGCATCTCCGACTTCAGCTGGAACTTGAATGATCCGTGGGTTCTGTGTTCAGCAGCCGAAGACAACCTGCTTCAAGTATGGAAAGTGTCTGATGCCATTGTGGGTAAAGACATGGAGGATATTCCAACTGAGGAGCTGGAGACATGAGTAATTACAGGAGTCATTTTGCTCGGTTGCAAGTGACATGACTTGGTTCCTACTACTGTTTTCTGGCTTGGACCGGTGGCTCGTGGTCTATATTCAGGGTGGTGGTTTTGACGCACGGTTACCACAACAAATTTTATCCTAGAAAAAAAAAAAAATCACGCTTCAAGTTTTACCCTGCAGATGGTAGTGGTACTATCTTCGGTGTTGCCTTCAGGTGTATGAACTTCATGGCTTTTTGTTTTTTTTATTTTCCCCATATGTATTTGTAAGGGGCAGGCAGCGGGCTATTCGACGAGTTAGGTCTTACCACCAGAAATTCTCTTTCGGCACCTGTTTTGGGCTAGCCGCAAATTTATTCTAGAAAACCTGACACTGACTTTGTCACATGTGAGTGGCGCTTTTGATGTCATTCGTTGCTTGAGAGAATCTTCTTGAAACAAATAAAAAATAATTTGAACAAACCAATTTCTAATCGATCTCTATGGAGTAATTGATTTCTAGTATCAAAAATTGACTAGAAACTGATCAGATCCTAATATTTTGGTATGCTTGTGACTATGCCTGGGAAAACTCACTGTGAGTGGTGGTAGCTCAGGAAGGGTATACTTCATCCTCCGAGGTCACACATCTATCTTTCTTGTTTTCGGTTGGGGTTTAGGCATATCTGCCTGTGTTTTGCTTGTTTCTGAGGGCAGCATGGCCTGCTCCCTGATAAGTTACTCTGATCATGACATGATTTTCTTTGTTTAAAATAGTTCGGTCCGGGTAATAGTATAATGATCATACTAACTAACAACAATAATAAATTACTATTGTAAATCAGCTAATAATCGACTAAAATTATATGAATATATTAGTCATTTTCTATCTATTTTACAATTGATTTATTGATATAAAATGTCATTTCTCGTCGAAGATCTATAAAATGACAGAGCGGGAAATTGCGTGCACGGGCCACAGAATCGCAATCCCGACAGCCGTCCAACGAATCGGCGTCTTAGTCATGGCTCACCGCGGGATGGAAAGTTATCATGGTTGTCAGAAAATTCAAAAAATTTTGACACTGATAATGCTCCCACAAATATAACTTCTTTGTCAAAGGTTCTGGAAGCTGAGAAGTAAGCGATACATGTCCTTCACGGCTACTTGAAATCGGATTCATTCTCTTAACGCAAAGCTGAAAAAAATTCCCCCGAAATGACCAAGGACCCTCCACCGCTGGGCCCCAAGCCAAAGTCCGCTGTCCCTTCCAGTCTCTTAAACGGATCAGCCTCTGTCCGCGCGACAAATGGCGTGCGTGAGAGCGAGCGTGAAACGCTCAATTCATCAATTAAATCTTCATTGTCATGGAAACCAGTCGTTGATCCGGATTTTTCATCTCCAAAACCAATCCTGGCGGTAGGGAACCCAGCAGCCGCCGTAACTGTGCGGGAAACTGTAATGCCCACTGCCAATGGGCATATTGAGAACGGGTTTCTGGAGAATGAACATGAACATGTATCAGCGGAACGGAGCGACGCTGAGAATGAAAAACCGCTGCCCGCCACTCACAAGCCGCTTGACATTCCCGCGGCGCAGAACACCAGCCCCGCCACCGGCCCTCCTCCCGTCCCCCCCCCTCCTATTAAACGAAATTTTAGCGAACCACCCCGCGATCCTCGGGACCATACGAAACCTAGAAATATATCTTCCGCTGTTAGCAGGCCTGCGAGCCCTTATACGCTAAATCCTCCAATTGATTTTGACGGGCTTAGTTGGCCGAGTACGTATCCCGGTTCCGGTAAAGGAATGGCTTTCGTTTTTCCCAATTAACAATTTACTTTTGTTTTGCAGGCGTCGGCACTCGCGAGCGTCTCGAAGCGACACCGGAAGAAAGCGAAAAACGAACACAAAAACTAGCAAATGCAGTCCGGACGGTTCTGGAATGTATTGGAGAAGACCCAGAGCGCGAGGGCCTTCTGGGTACACCGGAAAGATACGCAAAAGCGCTGATGTACTTCACAAAGGGCTATGAGGAAAACGTGCGCGATCTAGTCAACGGTGCTGTCTTCCATGAAGACCATGATGAGCTAGTCATCGTGAAGGATATTGAAGTTTTCTCACTTTGCGAACATCATTTGGTCCCGTTTACCGGCAAAGTATGTTATTTCATTGCCCCGACCCCTTTCGGGATTCTCAATTCAGAAAAAGTGGATAAATTAGATGAAACGACAGCACATGCTAACTCTAAATGCGGAACCCTCAGATGCACATTGGCTACATACCCGACCGCCGTGTCCTCGGCCTTTCTAAATTCGCTCGCCTCGCAGAGATGTTCTCACGCCGTCTCCAGGTCCAAGAACGTCTAACAAAGCAAGTAGCCCTCGCCATCTCCGAAGTGCTGAAGCCCAGAGGTGTAGCTGTGGTTATGGAGTCGAGCCATCTGTGCATGGTGATGCGCGGTGTGCAGAAGACCAGCAGCACGACCACAACGAGTTGCATGCTGGGCTGCATGCGAGCGAGCGCGAAGACCCGAGAGGAGTTCCTTAGCTTACTCAATCGGAAATAATTTTTTGTCCTCAAATAGGGCATAAAATGAAAAAGCAGAAGAAGCAGAATCATAAATGTGGGTGCATGAAATAGAAAAATGTATAAATAGCCCAGATTTTGGATATCCGAAACGAATCAAACGAACGACCACAAGACAGCATCGACATGCAACTCTCCGAATTCCAATATCCCACGCTCCAAACTATGACGATAAATTTTCACTTTCCGATTCCGAACACGATCTATTGCATTCCCCTCTTCAGACATATCTTATTTTCCCGATAGTTTATTTGCCGTTCACCAAATTTCGCATCATGATAGAAATCTTTTCCTTTTCTTGCCCTCATTTTCTTCATTTTTTCCCCTTCAACCCGGAGTTTTATGTTTTATGCTTGTTTTCTTTCAAGAGCCACCCGACAATAGACGCTTATGAAAATGCTGGGAATGGGTTGTTGCTCATAGTGGTAGTGATTAGAAGGCCACTGCCGACGCAGCCGCCTCCGCTGCGGGAGGGGGAGGACGCGAGACTAAGGCTGAAAGCTAGACTATCCAGTGATGTATGGTAAGGGCGTTGCTGGCGGTTCGTGGGCGATGAGGCGACGGAAGGGAGGAGGGTGTTGATTAGGTGGCTTTCTCTCTTTTGACATTAGCCGTTTCAACAGGCACACTGTTTTCATGATATCATTATTATTGTCTCATATATCAGGTTGGGTATTCATTGTCATTATGTTCTCCTGCTTTTGTAGGCGGGTACTGTCTGTATTCATTTCATCTTCACTGTTTAATTTTGCTGTTGGCTTTTCTTCTTTTCCTTTCCTCCATTTTCCTTTCTCCTTGAACCCCTGTTGACTGGATATATAACTTAAAAACATTTCCTGTATTCATTTGTATTTGTACCCCCCCATCCCCTACTTGTTTTCCATATATTTTCCCTTTCTTGAACCCAACCTTAAACTTCAAGGAAGATATTCATCCAGCTTGCAGGAGAGAATTTACCGGGATATCTTATTGTATATATGGACCGGCCCCTCATCCACCGTATCCCTTCTTTTTCTCCACTCGATACTCGATACCTGACACAAAGGAAATATGTACTCCTCGAGGCAAGGTGTGTGAGGGGACTATGACTGCGTTTCCTGTTTTTGGTTTTGAGAATTTCAATCAAGGGGCCAATCATGCCATGCTTTTCCCTTTCGTTTTGGAGTTGGCTTTATTACATATACCGTTGAGGTAACTGGCTGTGTATCTATCATATACATAAATGTGGTACATTGAGAGAGATAGATGAAACAGGAAACATCTCCAATACCTCACCTCGCAGGTATACGGTCTTTGGCAAAATCGCTAGACGGGAGGAACCATCAAAGGCAGAGCAGCAGGTTATGTATAACAGCAGGAAGCAAGCAAGAGACACAGCGGGAGTGCGCGTTCCTTGCGCCTGCAGAGCCGGGGGAGAGTTGTGAGGAAAGCAGAGCCCTCCATGGCAACGGAACAGAGTCGTCGACGGCTTGCTATGGAAAGTAAACACTAAACAGGAGTCACACATCTCCAGTGTCCAGCGCTAAGTACTACCGACGCATCAAGTATTGTTTTATCACCACGCTGGACTCCCGGCCTCGTGTTGGTTCGCTGTCCTTCTATTTTTCTATCATCATCCTTTCCAATCATTCCGCCGTTTATTCGTCTATCCCAGTCCCTATCGTCGCGGTATTGAGTGACTATCAATACCAAATATACTCTCACTCTTCAGACAGCCTCCTTAATTCTTGTCTGCGGACACATACTCGGCTTGGATGCCTATTCTTGAATTCCACACGCGTGTTATTCGAATTGGCCCATCTATCTGCGCGTTTGCATACCCCCATTTCAGCCAAAAGTTGCACATTCACCATTCTGGGTCGTTCTATGTCTGGTGACAGAACCCTATTCAATCGTCAATCTTGTATACAATACCCATTCTACCCAAATCCATCCATCTCATTCACTATCTCGCGAGCAAGGAGAAGGATAATGCTTATTGATCTGAATCGTTGCCAAATTCGTGATCCAAACTTTATTTCATTCGCTGCTCAAGGCACCCTTCGCGTGCGTTTTGATAATCTTTACTTTCCGTTAGCTCTTTGGATAAGAGCGTTATAAATATTTGCATTTCGGTCTTCAGGCATTTACATAGATTTTGCCTGTCGAGGTTGGGCGAATATGAACCTGCAGCAGGGTTATTTACCCCAGGCCCATATGGCTGTGAGAGTAGGGGGCTTGGGCCAGGTCTCCATGCAGCAACAAGAAGCATATCAGGCTCAGTACCAGCACCAACCCCAGCACCAACCCCAGCACCAACCCCAGCACCAGTGTCATCTTCAGACGCAGGCATTACGGGACCCAAGACTTCAACATCCGTTGGATCCACCACTTCCGGGGCTGCGGGTATTTCCACCCGTAGCTGACCTGTCACAGCAACAACAGCAGCAAAATCAGCATCGGATATACCAGCCACAAGCGCCACCACCGCAGCTGCACCAGGGCGGAGATGGAACAGGACACAGAAGGACCTCATCATGGCCTCAGAGAATAGAACCGCAGATGCTTCCTCCACAGACTAGAAAGAGGAGAATGCATGGGAATGGCTGGCCACAGCACCCGAGGACCGGCTACAATTCCAGTCGCATTGGTGGTTCAGGAGAGATGGAACGGTTCCAACAACCAACAAATAGACTACCACCATCTCACTTAAATCTGGCAGCCTACAACAGTGCAGTCCGTGGGCAAGACCCAACGCTAGGCCAATACGTGGAAAATTATCCTATGCAAGGAATCTCGCATCAAGTTGGGTACGTTGGCCAGGGAGCAAGTTGGAGAGCGCCTATAGGAATGCCTGCGTCCGCAGCAAGGCCTGGTTGGACGCCAAATCATATGAGGTCGCAAAGCGACGGTATGTACAGCTTGGACGGCGACAGATATTTTGAGGAACCTCATGGTCCATCTGCCTCATGCCAGTTGAGGCAAAATGGCGGATTGCAGCGAACGCCCAGTTTCGGAATGAGCATGCAATGGGCGCAACATGGCAATAGAACACTTGCACTGCAATCGCATTTGGCGACGATGGGACCCGCACCGTCAGTGCCGCCGGAGCCTGCGCGGATTCGCCCGGAAGAATGGAATACAAACCATGCGAGCCCGGTGACGCAGATTTCTAATAAGATGTCACACCGGACCACAACTCACGCCAACCCACCAATAGAAAGTTCAAATGGGATGTCAGCAGAAGAACATGGCTATAAGTTGACCCAACCCACTCCTCCTGTTTCGCCAAGACCGATAGCAGCACCCAGGAATCGCACTTGCGAAGACCCACTACTCATGCTGCTGAGAGCTGCTGAATTGATTTTAGGCCCATTGATACCCAAAGGCATGTCCATGATTGCAAAGGAGGCTGGTGGTGAGAAGCTAACTGCAAGGCAGAAAATGCTCCCGCTCCCTGTTTGCTTCAATCCTCTGTTTGCGATGAGGACAAGAGACCATCCAAACGAGCAAGCCGGGAATCGACTGTCTCTACCTGGTCTGGGGAATCCCCATCGTAATACAAAGGCCCAACGGCTGCCGCCCTTGGCAGAGGCGCTTCGGAATGTCAACCTAAACAGTGCAAACTCTGATACCTCTCCCAAAGATTCACAACAGGCTGAGGCCCTCAACCCCTCAACCCTAAGACAACTCAGTTCTGAATCTAGGGAATCTGATATGTCGTCATCTGATATTTCCCAATCGCCTATTCTTAAAAAACGCAAACTTGAAAACTGTTCATTTCAAACCCCATGCCAAACTCCAGGGCATGAGGGAGTCAGACAGCAATATGAGAAACCCTTCAATATTTTCGAGCAAATCCTCAAAAGACCGGATCTGACCTTGCTCCTAGCAAAGCATCTGCGTGTACAGGAGCTTTTGATTTTATATCGTATTTCAAGAGATTTCCACAATGTGGTCAACACTCGCTTTACAACTGTAATCCAGGCACAAGCACGTGCACGCGCTCCAGAATCTGCAAAAATATTTCCGCCTCGTTGCTATGCAAAACTTTGCATTCCAGACCCAGGTTTACGGCCCCATCCTGTTGCAAGACGTGCTGCTGTAGGAGAGACACGCAGAGTTCCATCGTTCCGATGGCTGCTCATGGTGTGTTTTCGCGAAATGGTCTGTCATGAGATCATCACTATCCTGGCAGAGGATGGGGTCCCTGTACCAGACCGTTGCGCAGAAACCATGAAAAAGATATGGCTCCTCATGGATATTCCAGACAACGCACGACGAATAGGACTAGCTCAAAACCGCGAGATTTTCACGGACGTCGATCTCTTCTTCGCTACATTGTTTTTTGTCAAGCTCGACATGCGTTTCACGGATCCAATCACCGGTAGCGGGAAGGATGGGATGCGCCGCTTGTTGCTCGCACAACCTAGCCTTTCCATGCTTTGGCGCACACTGAAACGGACAGCATTGATCAGCAAGCTGGACGTAATGCGACTATTCGTCCGTTGGAAGTACCAGCCACGCCAGGATCAACGGGGTTTAAGTATCTTCGGCATTCCAGCGCACGAGGTGGGCATCGTGCAGTACCAAGGCTGGGGCCGGACACGCAACCGAACGCTGCTACAGAGACCAGACGAACTGCTGCTGAAGGAATCAGTACGCAGGGGTTTAGAGTTGCAGCAGAGGTATACGGATATGTTTCTGTGGGGGTATATTAATCCGAATACGATGCAGGATTACCCGCCGGTGTTGCGCCGGAGGCAGATGGAGAGGATGGAGGGACTGGAAGAAATGCTTGTGCCTGTGGAGGACAGGGGGAAGGTGGAGGTAGGGAAGGTAGTTTCGAGGAGGGTTAGGGGGTGATTAGTATGATGGGTCGATTCATTCCCTGTTTTGGTCACTCTCTTTTTTTTTTTTTTTCAAATTTTTTATGTTTTGTTTTGTCTTCATATCTTCGTGGAGTCCGCGCTATCTTCTTTGGGGGAATGATGAGTTATTATTTCATTGGTGATTGCTGGAATGATAAAGGCCCTTCTTCGGCTGAGGGTTGTAACTAATAATATGGGGTTCCTGGGAGTGTTTTGTTTTTGGTGATTGGAATACTCGGAGATAACATTGGAAGCATAATGCATTGATCGTTCTCTGAATAGCTAATGGAAAAATAAATGGAATAATGGGTTGGATTTATTTGGGTATATTTGTCTTTGCCTCAAGTTATCGAGGAATCAGGGAGCATACAACTTGAATGTGGTTTTGAATCTCGGCCGGAAAAACCTTCGGCGTAGCTTTAAAACCAAAGACCAACCCAACTAAAATGTACCATGAACCATTATTAATACACACATTCAAATGCTCATAGTGTAATGCAATGTCTTAAATCATATTTCTCAGGCCCTAACCCGTCAACTAGCCCTAATATCCAGAACACCTAAGCTTCACGTAACCCATAACTCTGTGTTGGGATGCATTTGTATTGTAACCTAAGTCACTATGGTGCGGGTGGGTGTGGGTGTGTTTTAGATAGGGTGGTGGAAGTTGATTGAAATGATGATTAATCAGAGCACGTGGGCATCCGACTTGGTCAAAGGGAACTTGCAACTTGCAAGAGAACAATCCCAACCCAACAACCACTCCATCACCGCCCAGCAGCAGGCGGGCTTATTAGACAGTCCTACCCCGGAATACGGTTTGGAGGCAGAGGTATGTGGTTTGTATCTCGAGTGCCCGAGTCTATCGTTCGTTCGATGTCATCGTGACCCCGTCGCCCTCGTGTGTTCCTCCTCGAATAACCTAGGTAACATTAACTTAGTGATTTTGTCGGTGCGTTCCGGGGGAAGAGGTGTCAACAATGACGAATATCTACATTGTGAGGACGGCGACGCACCACCCATAGTGTACGCTATGTGGATCGTCAGGGATTGTTTTTCGCTGGCCAACGATGGATTGATAGATGGATGGATGGACGGGTGGTGGGATGGGATTGGTGTCCTTTCGTACTTTTGTAGTTCGTGTCGTCCGTTGCTGCACGACAGTCACCACCACCAACTGCGCAGAGCAGGCCTCCACCCTTATGCTCTTTCAATCCCTCACGAAGGGAAATGCTATTTGAAAAACACCACAATTTCGTGCCGCTGAATCTCATCTGGTTAATCTCTGGTTGATTCATGCCGCGGGCGGCCCGAGGATGGTTGACGGAATGAAGATCTATGCTCAAATTGCCACTGGAAAGGCGCGGATGATCCTCTATCTTTGCGACAGCACGCCATGTTTGGTTGGGGTGGCAGGGAGGTTCATTTCCTCAATGGGTTGTAAAATGACCGTGATCAGTTTGAGTCTCGAACGCTCCCCTTGTCATATATATTCGCGACGCGCAATTCCAGCCATCAGCCTGCCCCACAGTACATCTGTTTGGCCTTTCCGTTTTGGCTTGAAATATCCTCGCTACGTGGATTACGGAAGGACTGCCTTGGCAGTGCAATGGGATATGCAAGATATAGGTATGTCACTAACTGCGTTGTATGTTTCCTCGTCTACTAAACATCTTATCTGGTGCCGTTCCTGCTGCTACTATTAGACCGGAGTTGTCGCGCTTGAGGGACCGCATACAACCGCACTTGAACTAAAAAATTTTAAATGAGGGGGAGTTTTAAAGAACGCATGCCGTCGACGGTTGAAAGTGTGAAATCGACATCGACCAGGGGGACATTTGGTGAAAACTACTACCCAACCTCACATAGGGGGAAGGGTTGCATGTCGGATCGGAATATTCTGCTTCTCTTTTCCATACCGTAGATAGATATGTGTGTGACATGACGCTGTTAAAGCGCAACAGCCGTTGAAAAACAAAAAACAACAAAAAGAAGAATATGGTGGTGCTCTCGACCATGAACCAGAGACTATTCGCAAACCAACGAGCCCCCCCCAAAAAGACTCCTGAGAAAGCTGTGGCTATGAAGAAAGTGATACTTATTCACTTTGACGGGCTCTCTGGCTCTCTCTGGGCAATGAAACCCACTGGCAGGGAGGAGGAACGCAGATGGGACGGGAGCATATTATGGGAACACCACAGGGCAATCTCTGTATTTCTGCAGCGGTTAAACGGGAGGATACTGTCTGGGCATTGTTTTCTGTGGGCGCTGTTGTTGTTTGGCTGCCCGGGTTGCCCTCAATCCAGGCACAACCGTAGACATTTCTCACTCCACCAACTTTTTGCAACGGGCGGAACCTTTATTTGGAACCCACCAAGACGTCCACAAGGAACACACCACTGGACAACTACGCCTCTTGAATGCTGCATGCAAGCTGCAACCGCGGTCTCACCAGGAGATTATCAACCCGCGAGAACATGAAGTCATCCAGACTGTGATACAGTCTTGCGATTCTTGCCCGTCCTGACGTTGATGAGCAGCATTTGGAGTCCGACGACCCATACCAAGACCACACTCAAGCATCCCAAGGACCATATTGCTACAGTGGCAGGACTTCAGATCTGAGGATATTATTGAATTACATGTAATTCCAGGGTTCGGATAGGGAATTCAACAGCAAGAGGGCCGAAAAAAATCCAGAACTGCGCAGTTGGTGCGCCCAGCTGCCCGTTGCTGACTCCGGCCGACGCCAAGACCCTCGACGCCGCTAGTGCCAGAGGAATCTCCAGCATCCACTCCTTCTCTCAGCACGGTGTTTCTTTACCAACGGTTCCCCTCAACTCAACCGCTGCATACCCATCCCCTCAGCCGATTCTGCACCAGATGCCGCTAGCGATTACATGGCTGGGTCCCGAAGGAATCCGCTGATGAAAGACCAGTGGAGAGCCGACGACGACCACATAGCGAGAGACAACCTACATCCACATCCTAGAGAAAGGGACCGAGAAAGAAACCGCGAACGGCCTGAGCGGCGTCCACGATCACCGCCGCCCTCGCGTCGAGGAGGAGGCCGTGGCCACGAAAGGCCCAGAGGGCGTGGTGCCTCGTTCGTTAGCAATAATCCATCGTCCCGTCGTCCCCTATCAGGTCGAAGGGGAGATCATAAGAAACACCACAATAGCGATCATAGTAATAATATTAATAATAATAATAGGAGCCGGCAGCTTTCTCCTTCCTCTCACGACAAGATTGCAGACACTGATCAGCGAGACTCTACGCGTCAGTCAGAGGGCCAGGTAAATTTTCGAGGTGACCCGAAACATAGCTCACCACCACAATCTCCTGCCCCGCCACCCAAACGGAAACGAAGTCGGAGCATCTCGCCATCACGACTGCAGCCGCACCCCCGCCCCAAGCGGCGAGACGGTCGTAATCCTGACCGCCCTGAGAGAGGCCGGGGTCGATCTGATCGCAATTTTTCTCCCAGAAGAGGCCCCATTCCACGTGGGAAGGATTATCGACCAGCGGATCTCCGTTCTGAAGCCTCGGCATCTGATTACTTGCAGTCTCGCCGCAGACGTTCCAGATCGCCAGATTCATTTATAGGAAGACGCAGTCTATCCCCTCGTCGCGTTTCTCGGAGTCCTCCACCTACCAAGGGCTACCAGGATCATTCTCCACGTCCTTCCTCTCGTCACTCCTTGTTGTCAAGAAGCTCAAGGCAATCCCCACAGCCCACCTATCGAAAAAAAACAGATATGCAATCTACGCGTCCGATCCAGTCTGTTGTAGATGACTCACGACGCTCCCCGTCCCCTCTCCGCCCCATCCCGAGTTTTGACGCTGGGAACCCGAAACAAAATACCGAAAGTGATAGTCGGAAACGGGATACTTTTCAAAAGCACAGTATGCGCGGCGCGGAAATTCGTGGTTCACGTCGACCATCCCGTCCACAAATCGATACTCGCGGGTCTTACAGTACCTCGCCACAGTATGTGACGCCTACAAGCTCCCACCTTGGGTCTCCACAATCAGGATCCCCACATAGTGGTGGTAGAGGATCTTGGTCGGGTCAGCAGCAATACCATGGGCAGCAAGGGTTAGTATGCCAGAAAAATGCGTGATATTCATTATGACTTGAAGCTAATATTTTCATCCAGACAAATGGGCAGCTATTCTCCACCTTATCGTCAGGCGACTTACCCCCCACCTCAGGGCGGGCCGCAAGGACAATATTACCAAGGCCAGCCTTATTCGGCCAACGCAGCTCATGGACAACAACCAGGATACTCTAGTCAGCCATATCGAGCTGGACCTCCTGGATACCGAGGCACTCAATATAATCCAACCCAGGATCGTCGATTCTCCGTCACAAGTTCTCAATCGTATGGGAACGCTCAGTCACCGCCCCAAACACAAACGCAGCAGCAGCAACAACGGGGGAGGGGGAGCCACTTTAACAATTTGCAATGGACCCCGTCCGCTAACCGCGGCCGTGGGGCACATGGACCCCCCGGAGGTCCCCTTCAACAACCTCACATTTCAGACGAACGCTTGTCGCCTGAAATTGACGAAGACGATAATCCTTTTCGCCCATCCAAAGATTTACAGGTGGAAGATGAAGACTCAAAGCCCAAGCCGGAGAAGCAGGATTCAAAGAAGATGCCACCCCCAAATCGACAGCATAGTGTTTCTTCACAGCCTAAAGAAAAAGAATCAGGGAAATTCAGTTTCGCGTTCAAATCGAAAGCTCCTGCTCCAGCCACTCCTAAGCCAGTACCAGATCTTGCACGAAGGATGCGTGAGCCGCCCCCAAAGGCGATAGATCCACTTAAGAGCAAGCAATCGAATGTCCCTCCACCGAGGGACAAGCATATTTCCCGTCCAGATCGGAAAGACGACAGGCGAGATTCGCGGAGAAACGACCGCCGGTTTGACAATCGCGGAGAAAGACATCGTGATCGCCGGGATGAGCGACGGGGTGAACCTCGACATGAGAGACGGCAAGAGCGGTCACCAGAGCGTAAGAAACCTAAGAAAATCCTCAAGCGGATGAAACCCCGGCCGAGTATATCTGAAGAGTTCTCTAAGTCCGACTCTGTCTACTACCGAAAACCCGGAAACGAGTCAGTCATTGGAGCAGGAACATACGGCAAGGTGTTCAAAGCTATTCATGTTTATACTAAGAACATGGTCGCACTGAAGAAGATACGTATGGAGACTGAAAAGGATGGGTTCCCTGTTACAGCCGTCCGTGAGATTAGGCTACTCCAGCACCTCCGGCATGAGAACGTCGTCTCTCTGCAGGAGGTTATGGTAGAGAAAAACGAATGCTTCATGGTTTTCGAGTACCTGTCTCACGACCTGACTGGTCTCATCAATCATCCGACTTTCTCCCTCTCAGCCGCCCATAAAAAACATCTTGCACGGCAAATGTTCGATGGTTTAAACTACTTACACCACCGCGGGGTGCTTCATCGAGATATCAAAGCTGCCAATATTCTCATCAGCAATCAAGGACAGCTGAAATTTGCCGACTTTGGCCTCGCGCGGTTCTTCTCAAAGAGTCGTCAGCTAGACTACACCAACCGCGTCATCACCATCTGGTACCGTCCACCAGAACTCTTACTGGGAGAAACTCGGTATGGACCAGCCGTCGATATCTGGAGCGCCGCATGTGTGTGGATGGAGATGTTTACCAAGAAAGCCGTGTTCCCCGGTGAGGGTGGCGAGATCAGTCAACTTGAAAAGCTGTACAATTCTCTGGGTACTCCCACCCGTGCTGACTGGCCTGACATCGTTGAAATGCCGTGGTTTGAGTTATTACGTCCAACAGAGCGGAAACCACGCACTTTCGAAGATGCTTATAGAGATGTCTTGTCTCCCGCAGCTTTGGATCTCGTTGCCAAAATGTTTCAGTATGATCCTGTGAAAAGACCCTCTGCCGAGGAGGTTCTGACACATCCATACTTCACTACCGAGGAACCCACCCCCCAACAGGCTATTGAGTAAGTCCAAATTTCCACTATACTCACTGTTTCCCTCCTGATTACTAACAGCATTTCTCTAGACTCGCATCTGTCGAAGGCGACTGGCACGAATTCGAATCCAAAGCCCACCGCAAGGAGAAAGACAAAGAAGCTCGTCGCGCAGAGTATCAGCGCGAAAAGGAAAAGCGTAGAGTGAGTGGTGGCGCTATTCAGAATAGTGATGGGCGGGACACCAAGCGGGCACGGTTGGAAGAAGATATCTCCTCTCAGCTTCCGTCTCTTGAAAATTGAAAATAGAGATCCAGTGGTAATCGATTATTGCTCCATACGTCACTTTTTTGGTCAAAAGGGGAAATGCCACTCGAGAGACCTAGTTTTTGTGTTTCCTCCTTGTCTTGTTTATTTCTTTCAACCCAACATTTAACGCTGTAGTTTTCCCACCTTCGACTTTCATACTTGGAGATACAAAAAGGAAATGTGATATAGGCGATATCTTATTGATTAATGTGACTTGCGCATAACCAACTTCTTCCCTGTTTTGCCAAGTGCTTGCGGTGTTCTCTTTCCTTTTGCCCAAATCTTCCCTAATCTATGCGATTGTAACTTGCTTGCAGCGCAGACATTTTGTATCTGTTTTTCTCTATCTTCCTCTTGTCTCTTCCAGTTCTCCTCTACACTTCCAGTATTATTGATTTCATAGCACGGTGTTTCCCTTTTACTCTTCATTTATCAATCACATTTTTCTATCATATTTCTTGTGAGGATAACTAACTACGCATTTGGCGCAAAAGTACTCCACCCTCAAAAAGTCGGGATTAAAATGGGAAGTGTGAAAATGAGAAAACTTGATAAAGAAAAGCGCTGTTGTTTTCCGTGTCATATCAAATTCTACGAGCGTGAATATTTGGATCCGATATATTCGGCCGCCGGCCATAGTCAAAATTCAATGCTTCGAGAAAAAAAAAATAGATATTTGCAAACTCAATTATATCCTGTACATGCGCAGGACATGCATATGGCCGTTTGTCAAAATGAGTCGAAGATGTGATGTCATGCATTCACGCTCAAGGTATATACTAGTATCTAATAGCTAATAGGTAGAGATGGTGAGGCGGCACGAAGGACCTCAAATACACCATCGCCCTGTTAAATCCAATATATATCTATAGTCAAAAAAGGAAACGATGATTGTAAAACTTGTCCGGTAGTCGCCCGCGCCACGTAGGTAGGGAGGGCATCTCAATAAAACCCGATGAATCCTTTTTTTTTAAATATTGGCTTTTTATTTTCTTTTGTTCCGTTTTCCCACATGTAGGAGTATCAGACTTGAAGCCCGACCAACTACTAGTATCCACTTACGATTAATCCAGTTCACATTTTCGCCCCATTATCATAGCTAATATCGACCTAAAACCCCCCGTGAATCACCGCTGCGATCAGCTGATGCGCAATCGCCGTCCGAGGCGGCAATCGCAACGCACCCTCTCTATACCCCGGCCCAGGCTTCCCCTCCAAATCGCTCGTGCCCAGCTTCAACGCCTCCTCGGCCTCCGCAATAGAGAACCACCGCGCATCCTCGAGTTCGGGATCATGCTGAAGGGAGATGACCTCGTGCTCCGGCCTCGCCACTTGCGCGATTGCCCCGATCATCAGGTTAGCCGGGTAGGGCCATGGTTGCGTACTGTGGATGACGACACGGGACACCACCACGCCAGATTCCTCCCACACCTCGCGACGCACTGCGTCCTCGACGGATTCAGCCGGCTCGATGAAACCCGCCAGCGTCGAGTACCAGTGCGGCGGGTACCGCTTCTGCCGGCCCAGAAGTACGCGCTGGCCGTCGTGGCTGACGACGGCGACGATGATGGTGGGATCTGTGCGGGGGAACGATAGGTTTGAGATGCTCGTGCGCGTGCTGCAGGGCGGGCGGGGCCCCTTGGTGTCGTGGGGTGGGCAGGCGCGCTTCGTGCCTGCTTGGATAGACATTGTTAAATGGCCGCAGGTGCCGCAGTAAGCGTTGCGTGTATTCCAGTCAAGAAGGGCGCGGGCTTGGGCGTATATAGCTGCTACATCTGCAGGAAGAGTGGTGACGGTGCGGCCGCGGAAGAAGGAGAGGCCGTTGGCTTCCATGGTTGCGATAATGCCCTTGGCCGGCTGCTCGATTGTGCCGCGCGGAGTGACATCTAGCGCGAAGAAGGGGGCCCCCGTATACGATTTATAGCTCAGTGAATTTTCCTTCTGCGTTTCATCTAGGCCTAGGAATATCAGGAGCGGGGTTGTGATGGAGGGCTGGAAGTCTTTGAGAGCATCTGCTTCGGTCTTGTCGAAGACGTCTTCGTGAATGAGGGTCTTGACATCATTGTACGAAGCATAGAAGATTTCTGAAGGGCTGCGAACAAGGGGGTTGAGGTCGTTGAAGAGTAGAAAGCGTGTTGTTGGGTGTCTTAGCGCTGCTGATAAGAAAGCGCCATCTGTTCGGAGGAATGATACCCGGTTTAAAAGCGAACCTGCAAGGGGGGATATTAGGATAAACTTATATATAGTTTCGCTACGGAGATAGAAAAGGGGTGGGCGATATAACTACTTGCCCGAAAAATAGTTCACTGTCTCCTTGCCGAATTTGCGGGAGAGCATGGAATCTAGATGGACATGCGGGGGTGTGGGGATATCAGCGACAGCGTCAGGGAAAGCGGAGGACATAGCTGTGGCTGCCTGCACCGGGTGAAGAAAAGGGATCTATCTGTGATCTCTTTCCCCAGCAGCTTCAGCCAGTAAAGCAGAAAAACGCTGGAGTCATTGTCGGGATGTGCGATTCTTCCCCCACAGCAAACGATGACTCAGCGGATTGACCTCGGCATTCGCAGCGGCGGCCGTCGATCTGTATACACGCAGTGTTCGATTGCAGCTACGAGTCGGGCACCAGACAGTCGAAATGCCAAATCGGATAGCTCTCGAGTTAGAAAGGATGCCCTGCTAGGCTGAACGAGTTAGGAATTCCGATTTTACACCAGGGGAACGTGGGTTGGCCGCCCTCGGGTTAAGAGGGACGGACATCTTGGATAGCAATTCCCAATCATCATATCACTAGTTGCAGCAAAAATATTTGCTGTATTGACGATGGAACCATCCTATGCCAGGGAAAATCCTGAAACCAGAGAGGTTCATTAGAATCCCCAAAACGTTTTGAGAAAGGTGTCAAGATCCATGCACCAATCTTAGGCTGGCTGAAGTTCCCGGAGTTCTCGTATCACACAATTCCGGTCTTTAAGAGGTGTAAGCCACTACCGCGGCGGAAGCTTGGAGCAGGTGCAGTGATCGAAGAGACCTGGATTCTGTTGATATGCACGTCCCGTACATTTACATCTACAGCACTCTGTACATTACAATCTGTTCGCTGCCAAAGGGCTCATCGATTGCCTCAACATTCATCGGTCGCCAGGCTATTGCTGCTAAACATGTGTAAGAGAATGCATCCACAGCCACCAACCCATAGCTTGACGAAGTGCCGCGTCGGCGAAGGATTTATCGGAGAAAAGGAAAACAGACTAGACGGCGACACATGCAAGTGTCCCGTTCCAGTTTTCGCGGTGCGGGCGTGTCTCGAACATCGACTCCAGAAGCGGGGAAAACGTCAGTCAGGCGGAGGCTTCGGGATATGCCAGAAGCTGGATCTGTTCACAAACGACATGCGGCACGACGATAATTCGCCGGATTATGCAAAAGGGATGGCGGGGTTGGTCAAACCTGCGAGCGAGGGAGAGTTGAGAATTGTGAATTGAGCGGAGGTGGCATCCAAGCTTTGCTCTTCAACGGGCGCTCTTTGGCAAATCATAGGATCAACACAGACAGTTCTCCAGGCACCGAGGCGCAACATTGCCGATATGAAACAGGAGGCGTCACCCGTCGCCTCTGTGAGGTGAGCACTGATGCTGACGGCCTGGTGGTATATAAGTTAGTATGACTGGCTCTTGCATGTCTCCAACCAGCAATCCAGACTCAGCAAGTGATGAGTTTAAGCCTTCCGCTAGCAGGGGCAGCGGTCGACGGGCGTCCGCTTCCCAAACTCAAACCCACCCAAAACCCAACGCAAGGTTGCTGACAACTGTATGCCTTGAGTGCTTTGTTTATGAGGCTTGCATATTCTCCATTTTCAGTCAAAAACCTGTTAAACCTCCCCTTGCCTCGGCATGATTCGGCATCTTCTTTCCAACATCTTGACTACGAAAAGATCTTTCAAGAAAATTCCAGGCGCGCCCCAAAAGTCCGCGTACTCCATCGGCGCTAGGAGTTTTTTGTAGCGCAAACAGCTTATCTTTGCACATAGGATATATCAGAATCGTCTTGCGGAGAAACTTGCGGAGAAACTACACAGCAAGCAGATGCGACAAATAGGTAAAGTCTGTATTAAGCTAGGAATATTTCAATACATGCGAGCTAAGAGTTTGGCGCGATGGCGTTGTTGAGGGCTCCTTTGAGTTTGATGAGTTTGAGTTGAAAATACAATGATATGTATGGAGAGAATTCTGTTGTGATGGAACAATGAGCTATACCATATTTGGATTTAAAAACGGACGGTTGTGCTCAGATGCGTATGCCTGTACAATCTGCTCCTCTCACCGTTTCACAAGAGTTAATCCAAGGATGTTCAAATTGGCAAGGAATAAACTACAGTACACAGAGCAAGTGCAACAAACAACCAAGCGAAACTCAAAATATCGTAAAATAGCAACTGCCAACATTAATTATCATCAAAGCTAAATATCAAAATACAAAATAAAAGGGGACAGTAGAAGGGAGACTAAATAAGCTGTGATCACAATATGCAGACGGCGTGGCTACTAGTCCCAAGAACTCGAATAAGCAAACAGGTGGAGAAAAGTGGACATGCATCAATCCTTCCAGAACCAGCCACCCTTCTTCTGGTCACCATGATCATTAGTCTGTCCAAGGCTCTGTGGCTTGTTGTTCTCGCTTTGTGACGGCAATTCGTCAGCCTTTTCCACGTGAACTGTTTCATTGTTTTCTTCTGTTTGGTCAGAGAACCGCTTCTTTCGAGTGATGGTAGTCTGGACAGAGCCATCGGGGAGAGTCCTTCGCGCGGTGGTGGTGATGATGGAAGTTACATAAGGAGAAGGGGAATGTTGCTGTGAAGTTTTCATTGGGAATGCTGCATTGGACTTTGCGTCTGAGTCACCCTTCTCATTGTCGAAATCATTATTCTCAGCCGCATGATGCCATCGCCTTTGTTCTTCCAATAGCCTTCTCCTTCTTCTTTGGCGATCTTCAATTAACATCCCCATGAGTGGGCTCACTAAGGGTATACTCTCTTCATCTGATGGCTCGTTCGCCTGGTCCAGAAACTTCTCGTAAAGGTCAAGTTCTGTGAGCCACTTTTCTTCTGGCGCATCGTGTTTCCGATCACCATACCCGTTGGAAGAGTCGGACTGGGAAACCTTCCATTTATCTGCTTCATCAGTGGACTGCTTGTATCTGTAGTTGAAATAGTCGATTCGTCCGTTTTTGACATGGGTCCAATGAGGACCAAGGCTGCCCCTGCTGATCATACCGGATACCCAATCCTTTGGCTGTTCTTTTCGGGCTACCGCACCTACGTCACCATTTAACATATCTTGACCATTTTCGACGCGCAACAGATCTTCAAAAGCCTCTCGCCAACGTGGGGTCTCAGACTCCTGGACATCATGAAAGGGTACTAAGGCAGGGCGCAGTGAAGAAACTGGATTCTCATGTGGCTTGCACCTTATATTTTGTTGACGTTCGAGGTGGAGTGGAGAATACGGTGAAAAAAGAAGGTATGAGATGGGCCATCCCGGAGAGTTTGGAGAGCCTAGGAAGTCGAAGGAGTAAGGGAAGCTGGGACGGGGTAGAAACGAGAAGAAATGCAACGGGTCAAAGGGCCACAAGTTCTCCAACGGCGATTCAAAAGTCGAAGACGGAAATTGGTGCTCAAAATGTCGTCGGCTTTCTAACCGCTGATCAAACATACCATCCCCATCAGAGCGCGACGATTTCACGGTATCATCACGCCCACAGGTGCACTTCTCGGAGCTCTGCCGTGAGCCGATCCTTGACTGTGAGTCCTGAGTATCAACGCCAGTTTCTTGTGTTTGGAATCTGTGACGATGGAATCTTATTGCGGGATCGCCTCCTTGGAAATACAACCAATCCCTTGGAGAGGGAGGTGAAAACACAGATGGAAGTCCTATAAAAGATTGCAGTAACGCTGAGAATTGCTCATCAGCATAGCGGCGAATTGCTATAAAGGGGTTCTCTTGTTCGTCGGGCTGGCGGGGTCCATTGGAAGGGTTAGCTGTATGGGAGCGACCGCGGTCAGTAGAGTCCGCCATCACCACACCCGCGAATCAGTATCAAATAGAATGGAATATAAAATTAAGTAATCGTCAAATTATACGCCAAGAATTAGGCGTTGCCTGGTGCTGTTGCGTAGCGCAGATTCACTTGGAGGTTGAATCACAGCACATCATGCTGCTGAGGACGACGATGAGGTCGTTGGGTTCGCGGGATCAGAGTTTTTCCGGAGCGAAAAGTCGCCCCACCGGCAGCCAAGGCTGCACTGCTTATTAATCCATAGGAGCCGAATCACCTGGTTGAGCCAAGCCACATTGTCCCGATTAGGAAACATTAGACTACGTTCTTCTCGACCTCAGCCGCCAGCCCGCGAGATTGCCCAGAGCCAAGGCGTTTTGTCTCCTCGCTGCATTGTTGTCTCCATCCGCCCACGGCAATTTATAGATTGTGCTCCAAGCGAAATGGCTCGGTTGCGCCACAAGTACGTCTTATCCCTGTTGCTGCATCCTGGCAAGTGAATCACTCACCCCTCTCCCCACAACCCCAGCCTGGTCAGTCGTGAGAGTGGAGAGGGGTGGTATTTTTCCCCAGCTCTCGAATATTTCTGGAAGGTTGGGCTTCCCAGTGCGCTATCCTTGCACCTGGGATGAATAATCCCTGCTGATCCTCAAGGGTCGAAATGCACTCTTTAACGAGTGTTCACGATTTCCCCTCGTTGTGCCACTTGCGTGCCGTTCAGTAAGATTTTAGCCTTTGGTGATGGAGGACTTGGAAGAAACCTCAGACAACCCTCAGCTTTTGGGCCTTGCGTTTAGCGTCCTCGGCTTCTGCTGGGATGAAGTATCCCTGTCCTCCTTATCTTCCGCTTCTCATGTGCTCGGCGATCTATAATATTGCTGTGTCCACCCTTCTTTTATTTTCGTGGTCTTCCGCAACTGCTCTCGTTGTCATTTCATGCGATCCTCTCCAAGGCCTATGGCCTATGCTTTTTTGACTCTCTCTAAGTCGCCCAACGGGCCTTAACTGAAGTATGGATCCTTTCGGCCCTCTTCCTATCCATCGCCTTGAATCCAAGGGCCAAGCAGAATTGCTTGCCAGGCTGGATGACCTTCGCGATTTGGGGTTTCGCCGCCAACTGGCTCTACCGCAGTTGGTGGTTTGTGGTGACCAAAATAGTGGGAAGAGTTCAGTATTCCACGCCATAACAGGTGTCCCATTGCCAACTAGCACTGGACTCTGCACCAGGTTTGCAACAGAAGTTATCCTTCGGAGGTCCGATGAAGTTTCAGTTTCTGTGAAAATCCGACCCGGCCCGGATGCCACTCCGGACCATCGACACAAACTAGGAATATTCTCGAGGTCACATAACTGGCTTCAAGACATCCCCAAGCTTTATTCGGAGGCCAGGCTCATAATGGGCTTAATTTCGGATGGAAGGTACTCATTGGATGTCCTACAACTGGAAGCTTCAGGCCCTACCTTGCCAGACCTGACCGTGGTTGACCTGCCTGGCCTTATCAATAGACCAGGTCACCATCAAAGAATGGAAGATGTCACTCTTGTGCAAGGTTTAACTGAAGCTTACATGCGGAACCCTCGAAGCATCGTCCTGGCTGTTGTGTCTGCTGAGCGTAATATATCTCAGCAAATCGTGTTGCGCATGACGAAATCTTGCAGTCCTCGCACAATGGCAATCATAACGAAGCCAGATCACCTAGAACCCGGCTGTAGCATTGAGGAGAACTACTTTGCGCGTGCTAAGAACCAAGATACACCTCTGCGTTTAGGATGGCACGTTCTTGTGAACAACGATTCCAACGAGAAGAGAAACCGCCATTTTCAACGGGATGACATGGAAAATTTGTTTTTCACCACCACAATGCCTTGGAAAACCCTTTCTCAAAACTGTGTGGGCATTCAATCACTTAGAAGTAGACTGGGCAAAATTCTACTTGGGCAGATTGAGTCGCAGCTTTCGGATCTGTCTACCGAACTTCAACAGGACCTCGAAACGAGCAGCCTCTTACTCAAAAAACTTGGACCAGACCGGAAATCGGATACAGCTCAGCGACTTTATCTAACTACTATAGCCGAACGATTTCAAGCCCTCACAATATCAGCCACGGCTGGTGAATATCACGATACCTATTTCCGTTATCACCCACAAACCTCTATGCGACGATTAAGATCCGTAATCCGAAACTGGGCGGAAGATTTTGCTACAGATATGGAGGAACGTGGCCATAGCTATAACTTGTATGACGATACAACCTCAGATGGCCCACCGCCAATGCCGGAGCCAGCTTCTCCGGATAGCCCTCAGCCAGTTCCACGATCATCCTTTATCCGTGGACTTGCCGAACTTTTCAAGCAAAACGGAGGCCGTGAAACAAAAGGATTGGTTAATTCTCAGGTTGTATGCGAACTATTTATTCGTTATTCTCTCAAGTGGACTCCGATGGCGAAATCCCATGTATACGAACTATGGAAAAAAGTAAAGCGGTTCCTGGATGATCTTCTTCATCATATCGCAGGAGCAACCGTTGGCGAAGCTATACTCAGGGAAATACTGGAGCAGGAAATGAGCAATAAATTGCAGGCACTTAACAGCAAAATAGACGAACTAGCAACACCCTTTAAGCAAGTTGTTCCGTCAACCCTGAATCGAAAATTGGCTGCGAAAATTCATCGGCTTCGCGCCATAAGTGGCCCAAATGGCATGGACGATAATCTGGAAGACGGCGCTGATATCAATGTTTATTCTGAGATTCTCGATTGTATGGAAACTTATTACTCCGCCGCATTACCAGTATTCATTGACAACGTCGCTTTTCTTGCTGTGGAAAATTGCCTCGTGGAAAACCTTGAAAACCTTCTCTCTCCATCTATGATGGCACAATTGTCAACTGAACAAATTGAACGCATTGCAGCTGATTCTGATGACACCAAACTCGCACGAAAGCAGCTCGCCGATAAAGTTAAAGTGCTAGAACTTGCTGTGAATTCATGTAGACGTTGTGAAATGGCGGGGCTTCAGTCTTCTGCGCAGAACTATCGTGAACCATCTAGAAACAACTTGAATGATTACCTCACGGCAGACACTCCTGATCCACCGCTTGACGAATCCCCAACACCTGACATCAGCCCTCCAGAAACAGTCAACCACTCTAAAATCGAAGACAGCTCTCGAACAGAAGAGTCTATTGCCCTCAGCCGATCTTCCAATGAGTCCCGCCGCAGCGTCTCTGAGCTCTCTCAGACTGAAGCAACATCCCCATCCCTGATGTCTCCTTCCCTCATGGATACCATTTCAACACGCGCCAAAAGTCCTACGAGGACTGAGTCCAGCTCTGGAGGTAGCCGGAAGGGTTCGTTGCTGAAATCTGGATTCCGAAAACGAATCCTGAAAAACAAACCGGCTGGCTCGATAACTGAAGATAAATCGAGGACTTCGAACTCGACTCCAGACTCCGAGCGGAAACCTGATACGAGTAAGAAAACCTTTTCGCCGGAGACACCTAACTTTTTCATATATAGCATGTCAATTTCTTAACTTCTGATGTGTAACGTTCAGGCTCGCTCCATTCTTCTAAATCGAAATCACGCCCGAGGTACAATTATGGTACGATGTATCAATGTAGCTATTATCACTACTCCATGTAGATACAAAGGTGGGCAGGAATAGGTCCCACTCCCTACCTTTGATATCCCCTCCCTCCCCTAACAGGCCTAGTTGAATTTGTTTTCCCTTGTTGCATTTCCATTTCAAAGTCGTATTGTGTTGCAACGATATCCCCTTCCCTTTCATGTCCTTGCTCTCTATTTCTGCTAGCCTTTCCATTGTCATCATTTGCCGGCGCAATTACCAACAGGCCGGTGTTCTATGTGTCGTACGCAATGCTTGGATCATGTCACTTGTCTTCTGTCTCCTTTCAAAAGAAGTGGCCTGTTCGTTTACTTTATTTTGGACGGCGTGGGATGGTGGTATATGAGGAACATAGAATCAACGTTCGTTTACTTTTTGGTGCTCACTCTAGTTATTTTATTCTCTCTTCATTCTGTACTAATACCGATATACGCTCGTTTACTCTATCGATCATATAACCATATAAACTGATCTATTTGGTTTTCCAATGTTCTGTATATGTATATACCTTCGTTATTCCATCAACTCGCCAACCTTTCCAACCACAAGCAAAAATCTTCCTCTCTATAAGAGCCGGGGGAAGGAAGAGTAAAAAGGAATTCGTCAAGACCAACCACCGTTGATATCATCGCATGGAAGAGTTGGGAGATTCAAGATGTAAAAAACTCGATTCGTTCACAAGAACAGCATAACTATTTACTACAGAATAAATAACTAATCAAGGGTAGCTAGCAAATTCGTTCGCAGCAGAGGTCTCAAGTGGAATTACCAGGGAAATTAAAACTCATTCATTCCCCTGTTCCCATATCCATGGATGCTGCTGCTTCGCATATCGGCACCCATGTCAAAAACCCAGGGGAAAAAAAAATGGAAACCAAAGATAATTTTCTCGCAACCCAGTCGACATCTAGAACGGACAGAGGTCCGTGGCCTTATCTATCTGCGACCTCCTCCCACGCCCGGTCATCCCCAACATGACGAATCCACATCTGGTCGTCCTGGATCGAATCGATAACTATACCAGAGACAGGCGCATGTTAGCAATTTTTTCCTTTTCCTTTTTTCTCTTTGCAAATATTCAAATTGGTGTTTTGTTGTTAGTACTAGTATTAATTTTAGTGTTTGGCCATCCAGTTCCAGGATTCATGGATGAAGAACGCGGTAGTTGTTAGTTGTGCAGGGGAGTGAGCTGGGAGGATAAGGCTAGATGAAAAACCGGGCCTTGGGAGTTCAGGAACAAACAGGCTTGCTAGGAGGGAAACGTGGAGAATGGGGTTCGGATTTGGGCGCTCGGGTATTAAAATATGTTTTGTTTTTTATTCGTCTCTGGCTCTCTGGTCCCAGTGACGGGTTCTGGAACTTTGGCCATTTCGGGAAGACAGGGGCAAGGCTCTAGTTCAAATGGGCGATGACCAGGGCGAGCGCTGGTTTGTCGCGATGTAACTTCAGGGTGAGGTAGGCGGGGGCGGGGCAAATCAGGGTTTAGAAAGGTCAAGACACGGAGGTAATATTTAAATAATGAAACCAGGACAAAATGCACTTTGCAAAAAATTCCACGAGGCGCGAGCGAGTTGAAGAGTCTGAGTCTTCAAAAATTTGGACTGAAGGAACTCACCCATGTTCGCTAACTTGATCCACATATCTCCGTTGACTAAGAACACATCTCGACACTTCTCATCCGTCTCAAACGGTTTACAAAGCTTCTCGCCAAAAGCAAGTGTGCGGATGAATTTTGACGCATGTCCGTCATCTTGGGGATGATTAATGGCTTGGGCGAAAACTTCCTCCCATGACAGCTTTGGCTCATAGTCTGTAATCTCCTCCTGTCGTAGCTCCGCTGCACCGCGAGAGGCGTACGTCGCCAGGTCCATACGACCTTTCCATTCCAGGATGCGTAATCTGCTCTGCTTACTGATCCAGGGCTGAGAGACAAATGAAGCCAAGAAAATTGCGCTGGTGACACAGTGCATGTAAAAAAAGTCGAATTTAACCCTCTTTTGAGGACGCTGCGCTGCACCGGCGAAATAAGCTGTTGACTGTTGAGTTACTATGTACCGGGCCAGTGGGGGAAAAATCGACAGGGAAAACATTACTGATGAGCCAGGGGCACATGCAGGCACGCAGCAATGTTGATGGATGGCCTCTGTGCATTGGGATGGGAGCATTGAGAGTAGTAGGGGCAATACGGTTGTGTCTGGAGATCAGGGTGTCAACGTACCAACAGCGTTCAACAGTTCGGCTAGCTTCAGTTCCAACTGGTCTGGGCCCACTGAAAATTGGCTAGTAATTTTGATGATCTCGTCTGGCGCTCGAGCCAGCATTCCATCGATCTTGTTCACATCTTCCCAGCGCACGGCTTCCCGGATTTGGGTGTTGGAGCGAATTTCTTGCTGGAGATGAACGAGAGACTTCTTGCCCTCCTTCCCAACGCCACCTGCTGCCTCTTCAGCTGGCAAGAGGAATGTAAGATTCGATTCATGAACCGCAGTTTCCGCAAGAGCCTCTGCGACAATGGCAGGCTGATTGAACTCAACGCCGAATCCGAGTTGGATAAACGGATGAATGAGCCCTGCAGGGGGAACATGTTCATTAGTACGTCCCGGAACAGAGGGGTCAGACAGGGAAAGGGGTGGACGAGAGGAAAACTCCCCGGGCGCCATACCAGCAAACAGCCGAACGAGCATATCATCCGCAAGCTTATCCGCAGCAAAAAGATACTCATTTACCACTACTTCCATCCCCCTCTTTTCAATTTGGCGCTGAAAATACACCAGGAAATTAGGATATTGATCTCGAATTCCTAGAAAAGCACTAAATTGGGCCTTGTCGCCCAGTTTCTGTACTATCGCTTCATCGACTGGGCGAGAAGGAAGCTGGTAGGCAGCAGCCCGGTCAAAAATCTGCTGTAGAAGGTCTGCGGAGGCTCCCAATGCGTAGGCGGATAAAATGTGGTGGGCAAGATGATCTGCCTCAGGTTAGCATCAGCGGAGAGGATTAAAGCTCAAGACCCTAGTAACAGGAATAAGGCGGAGTGTGGGGTGATGGGACGGTTGCATATCCATTAGGACCAGGGTATGTAAACTGGCGGGGTGTCTCCCAAGCGGCCCATCGACTCATTTTGTCTCTGACATGAAAATATAACAATGCTCAATGTAACCTGAGGGGCTTGCATATCAATTTTGACAAGCGGACAGGACTCGGGAGAAAAGTTGAGCTGCAAATTCAAAGAACCACACATACTGTGAAAACCCTTCGCGTTAAAGAAGATATGGTATCTCTCTAGATCAGCCTGCAGCGTTTCTGAAACCTTTTTTGCAGAATCAGCGTTCTGGCGAAGCCCTAGAATCCCCGTATCGTCTGTCGAAACCTTGACATGAGTGGCGGTCGCCATGGCTCTTAGACACAAGTCAAGCTTCAAGTTTTCCTTTGTGAACGCGGGAGTGAAACACGACTTGGATTTTGGAGAAAAAAACGGCTCTCTCTTCGCTATCTGAGTCACTGCTTTAGGCGGACCCGCGCCCAAGCTTCTATCTTGATACACAGTTCCCTGTTGCGCTCTTCGGAATGCTCGGGTTGGTATGTGGGCACAACAAAGCATCCATTGAGCTACTTGGTGTCGATACCGTTGAGCAACACTGGTCATAAGCAAATAATGTATCAAACCGCCGCGCTCTCGTTCTGCAGCTTCTCCATACGACCCTCGAGATCCGCACAGTGAGCCTGTTTATATATGTGCGGCTAAGTTGGATGCAGCCAAGCTAAACGGTGTGGAGGGGTCGTTGAAACCAGGACACGAGCCAGCCATTCCGTCATAGCTCCATCGCTTGGAACTTCACAGCTACTCGCGGACAAGCTGCGAAGTCCAAAGGGTATTGTTGTTGATGTCAGCGAGTCGTTCCACACCAAGGATGTACTGTGCATGTATACATACGAATGACCGGTTCTCGATTTATGTTCGATGAGTAAACATACTAGTATAAAATAAATCGATGCATGCCCCGTGTGGCGGAAACGAACTCATTTATGATGATGGAGGATCCTTGTGCTCCTCGAAGTCAGTAATCGATCCATGGATGCGCTGGTTGGTTGGCGGCTTGCTGGAGTAGTTACATGTATGTACAGTTCATAGATGTTGTACTGTCGGACAGTGCGAGGCCGGAGCTAGTTTACTACGCATTTCAATGCTGTAGATATGAACGAAGGTGCAGGATATACAAAGACTTCAATTTTATCGACTCTATTGTTAGTACATGTACTGTACATACATACCATCAACAGGCAGGATAAACCTAGGTCATATCTCGTATGTTCATCGGATTCATATCATAGATCCAAGCAGGTAGATAGGAGCTGCCGTCAGGAATCAAGAAGAAATAGAATGGACCAAAAACAAGAAAACCCAAGAAAATACGTTCCCAAATCTACTTTTTATCGAGGCCAAGAGCTTTTTTTCTCTTCAGGCGGTCGCGCTCAATTTTCTTGAATAGCGGGTGATGTCCCACCTTCTCCTTCAACTGTTTATTCCTACTTTTATTATATTCGATGTACGCCATGTCCTCACCGCCGGCAAGGCCGCTCAAAGTCGCCGCACTACGTTTCACTGCAACTCTCTTCGCCGCACCTCGCGCTTTCGGTCCCCCTGAGCGTTCGCTGAAAAGATCGTCCACTACTTCTTCTACAGCTGCGGAGGTTTCGTTCTGCAGCATGACTTCTTGCAGAAGTTCTCGACGCTCCGTCGGAGTTGCGTATGCGAGTCCTTCAAGGTTCTCAATTCCTTCAAGGTGCGTGATCACCTTAAACGCGTATCCCTGGTCAACTAAGAAAGCTTGACGTTTGGAAGAGTAAAACATCTCGTCCGTATCTTTCGATACAAGGGAGTAGAAGAAAGCGTTGAATCCCTCATCATTCCTTCGTTTAGCACGTAGGATACGTCCGAGACGTTGCGCTTCCTGACGACGAGAGCCGTAATGTGACGAGATCTGTATCAAGCAAGTCGCTTCAGGCAGATCTAGCGAGGTATCACCAATCTTGGACAGGAAGATTGTATTGACTTGTTCATTGTGCTGGAAGTTCTCTAGAATTCGCAATCGTTCGTTTTGAGGCGTTCCGCCGTAGATGTAGGCCTTGTTCAATTTCAGGGCATATCGTTCGAGAGCGTAAACATTGTCAGAGAAAACAATGACTTTGTCTCCACGTTTTTCGTGGTAATCAATCAAAAACTGACACGCCTGGAACTTCCTCGGATTCATGATATAGAGTAACGCTGCTTTTCTAGATTTCTCGCGCATATACTCGGTATAGAATTCCGTTGTCATGGGGCACCACACCTCAGCACACTGGACTTTGGCGATGTGCCCCTGTTCAGCCAACTCCATCCAGTTGGCTTCATACAACTTGGGACCGATCAAAAAATTCAAATCTTTGATCTTATCATCCTCACGAAGAAGAGTAGCTGTGAGCCCAAGTTTGGTCTGAGTAGCAATGGCCGAAGTGACCTTCCGGAACATCGACGCTGGAACGACGTGGACCTCGTCCAAGATCATCAAGCCCCATTCCCGAGATTGCATCCAATCCATCATTTTCTCCGCATCGTGGGAACGAGCCCGTGTTTGAGATACCATGGAATATGTGGAGACTATAATTCCAGTATTTCTCCGGAATTTTTCCTTGTTGTCAGAAGTGAAAACGGCGATATCACTAGGATCAATATTAGACCACCGAAGAAATTCGTTCCTCCACTGAACAACGGACATCGAGCTAGTGCAAAGGATAATGGTTCCTTTCTTGATGGTACAGGCGGCTGTTATGCCAACTAAGGTTTTCCCTGCACCACAAGGCAGGACGATGATTCCACTCTTAGCTCGTCCGTTTCCAAACATTTTACTCAAACTTTTCTCTTGGTAACTGCGGATTTGCGCATTGGGCTTCAGGTCGATATCTAGAGTAGGGTTGATTTCATCGTTTCTAAAGTCATATTCTTCAAGAGCTGGGCAGCCCATACTTTGGCATCGAGCCTTAACAGATTCCACGGCCGTGTTTGGGATCTCAAAGCTGTGGACTTGTGCTGGGTCGTCGTCATCATCCTCTTCCCTCAGATCAACCAAGAGGCCATCCTCTTTTGGCCGCCCATTTGTATCTCCCTCCATTGGTTTTCGGTCTGGATTTTGTTTCACCCCAGCCGCATCCTTAGTTCCGGGAATTACCAACCCTGCCATTTTGGGAGCAGCCTGCTGTATTATACCCTCCGAGTTTTGCAATCTCTGCGGCCCAATAACTTCATCTTGAAGCAACATCTGCAGAGTGGCAGGATCCGAGCTCTCCACAAAGAATCTATTGTATTTCAAAACAACTTTTATCTTTCCATACGACTTGGTGAAATTGACAATGAAAGACTTGATCGTTTCCGGTAGCGGCGTTTTGGACAAACGATCCAGGAAGTTAATGATATCTCCTGGTAATAAGCCCACTGAGACCGCAGCATAAAGACTGTTTCCCGTTAATCGATACTCGTGCAAATGCGTAGGTCTCGATAGAGGCTCAGCTATCGTCGTAAGGAAATCTTGTGCCTGGGGCGCTAGAGGTGAGAAGCTTTCCAGCGTGATGGTGCCCTTCAACGGCTCGATCCATAGCGGTCGGTTAGCGTGGTCGGGCTTCAAAGGCAAGGATGAGAAGTCTTTATAGCCGAAATGTGGATCCTGTCGTTGGATGTCCGCTTTCTTCTTTTGACTAAAGGCCTGAAGAGAAAATTTCTCGACAACCTCTGCATTGGACAAGTTTTCATTTCTTTAGCAACGCAATACAAGCTGTAATCAACAAAATTTCCTATGGGCAAACTTTCGACTCACGTTTCAACCTATCGCCATCATATTCATCATCGTCCGCAACCCCGGGATCTGAGTACTCATCGCTGCTCCGGACGCTCTGGGGAGCCGAAACAGGGACTGGCGTGGATCGTTTGGATGCCCGTCCTGAATTACCACCTACCATAGCCGGTCAGCGACAGTTAAAGCAGACCCTAGAAAAGAAGGGATAAGCATACTGCCAGTTGCCTTCCTTTTCGGAGGCATACTATCGCAAATCACGTCTGGCGAAGCCGCGACGAACCCTCAAGTCGAGCTACGACAGGGAATGGACAGCACTTGGTACAAGGGGTTAGTATCCGGGATCAGAGCCAAAAATACTGGCCCATGTGGACATTCAGAAAAAGCCAGTAGCTTCTGAAACCACGTTATACCGGTGATAGTAATACTATGAGCTCTTCACTGGTTGTTGTTGGCAGCAGCGCAGGAAGAAGCGCTGAAGTGTGCACAGTTGGGCTCAGGTTTGATAGTTATCGGCAAAGGTGCCAAGCGGATGACTCATCATGGATGAGAGTTAATGTCCTGTGATAAGATTCGGAAAAACTGTTCGAAAATGTTCTACTGGGCGATTTGCTCCAATAAATATGTATTTATTTACAAGGTTATTCGCCCAGCAGAGAGTCCTATGTACTCCTTCGATTTGTTGTTGAGCTACGGTCTTCACCACTAATGTTGAATGGACGAGACTATCTTATCTCTGATTGGTTGGCATAGACGTCAAGCTCCGGTCCCGCCACAGCGGACAGTGCTTGACTTTTCCTCTTGTTGTTGACTGCAACGCCAAATTTGCTAGCACTCAATTGAACAGTGAGCAGACAACCGAGAGGCCTCAGTTAATGAAATGAATACTGTGCGTTGCGGAATCCCCATCATCTGGTATATTGATAATGCTAAATGTTGGATGTAGATTAGATCCACCTGGTACGTTCTACCTCATATCTAGTACCCAGGGCAGCAAGCCGCTTTCCCAACGTCATACAACATTTTTTGGGCAAATACTATACAGGATCTAACCGGCATGTCCACCGCACGACAAACAGGGTGGGCTGGGGCTCCCTCTGTATCGGTACGTAATTCCATCCAAACCCCATTTACGCATGTGCTCTCCAATCCTCCCAAACCCAAGCCATTTCCTTCTCTAACCATTTCCCTCCCTGTCTTCTTCCTCGCCCCACAGCCGGCGGTGGCGCCTACTACTTTGCCAAAAAATCCATAAACGCCGACCGCGCCCACCGACACGAAGAAGCCCAACGACGTAAAGAGGAAGCCCTCCGAAGAGAAAATTCCGTAAAATCACCGTCCTCAATCGCACCGTCGACGACAATGCCACAAAAGTCCTCACCCTCAGCCGGCCGCGCGAACTTCTCTCCACAAGCGGATGACACCGGCAATCCAAGCCGGGAAGCTGGACATGACCCTGCTGCGACGCGGCATGAACCCGAGACGCTGGCGGAGAAGATTGATGAAAAAGGAAAATACGAGGCAGCAGAGGCATATACATCGAGGAAGGGGAATCGGCTTTGAATTTGTGGCTTTAAGCTGACTACAAGGCTTTTTTTTTTTTTTTTTGAGAAGCATTTTGTCATTTTATTTTGTCAACTAGTGCTGCGTGTGCGAATGGGAAGGAGGGCCAAATAAGGAAAAGGAGGTAGTCATATACAACTGGAAACTTGACTATCTGGAAACATTTGGGGAAGGTATGTGGTGTATTTTTATTTGAATTATATTGTAGAAAAAGTTTGTATGGTTAAATTTGATCAAACCGCACTCTGAATCCTCAGCCCTCCTTGTACGGATCTTAACGGAGGTGAAGAAAATGTTAATTTGTTTGAAAACCCATTTCCAAATCCAAACTTGATCATGTTTGTTCTTATGCCCAAAGGTTCGTAGGTCGCGTCCAAAGTCCATGAAAAAGAGAGCAGTCATGCCTATCCCAATCCATCCCAGTATTCGAAACACCTGAGGTATTTGTACTATCTATATATAAAAAAAAAAAGGAAATATAAATATAAATCAAATAAAACAAGAAAGTAGACGCAGCAAGATATTTACCCAATAACGCCGCCCCACAAGCCCTCATGCGCAAAAACAGAAGCTATCCCATATCTCAAGTGTTCCCGAATGACTCACTCCCATCCTAGGTAAAAAGCAGGCCTTAGGTCAAGACATAAAGCGTAAGCGGTCTCTGTATATTTTACAGATAACGCCGTCGGTGAAACGTATTTATAGTTTTAATCGCATTTCCTAGCGGGCATGGAAGCAGAGGGGTGGATATCTAGGTAAAGGGGTAAGTTTTCGAGTCCCTTGTCAGTTTTGTCATTGAGAGCGAATAATAGTTCGCAAAACATATATATCGCCGATATTTGTTTTAAGAAATCCAATCCAAAGGCAAAGGAGAAAGTGAGCAATGAAATGGAGAGCAGCCCAGACAAATACACAAAAGCATCATAGAAATTGATCTACTCAACTTATTCGTATGTGGGCTTCCATGCCTCTTTTCGCGCGAGCTCTGGATCGCGGGCGGGATGAAAGGGGCCACGACCAGAGAGGTGATCCCCGACATCGTCAGGAGCCTGTGAGTGCGAGTCTCAGGCTTTGGGGCCTGGGTGGAGAGATGGCGGATCGAGACTCTGAGCATCTTTTGGTGAGGAAAAAGGAGATGTTGTTTCGGCTATTGTGGCGGACGTAAAGCTTGCGAAAACAGAATTTTCTGCCACCCCCTGAAAAGTAGTAGCAAAACACCGCAAAAATAACCAAAATATCCATGTATCTCTAGAATCATTCAAATATCATCCAATTCATTCAAATACACACCTTTATCATCAAATACACACCTTTATCATCAAATCTGCCAATATGCCCTGCAACACTCATCATTCTACTGCCTCACAAGCTCATAAAAGGACTTCAACTACTCTGTGCCTTCATCTGCCCAAACCACCTGTTCCAGATGTTCTGGATAATGACAAGAATTCAACTGATGATGAGAAGGAGGAGGAGGAGGAGAAGAAGAAGGAGACACAGTCAGAAGATCCTTGATTTCTGCAAACACCTACCTCTGAGCCCAAGATCTCATTCAGGCTGTATGAATGGGTGATTATCAATGGGATAAAGGAGTCTATAAAGATCAAGTTACAGAATGTCACAACAAATGATATGACTGTCAGCTTCTATTATATTCAATATACTGCAAAAAGAATAGCTGAAGAGTATGTTATGAAGCAGAACTGTAAGGAGATAGAAGTTGCAAATTGTATAGCAGTCATCTCATCAAACAAATGTGGATCTTCAATCAAAATCACTCTTGAGAAGAAGACAGATTGAAGAGAGATTATCACTCTTTTGAAGGAGTTATATAAGGAGAAGATAAGCAGATTTAGCATTGAGATTACCATCTTTTTTAATCTTCTTGATATCTCAACTCTATTCTCAAACACCTCTGTAATATGTGATTCTGCAGCTTTCATTGAAGTGTTGAATTCACAATTAACAACTCAGACATTGACATCAAAAAGAGTATTAGATGTCAAAGAAGAAGTAATCTCATCATCTGTCAAATCCCCTCTCTATTGTCCTGTCAAATCCCCTCAAATTCATGAAATATTCAATGATGAAAAGCTGCTGTCTATATGTACAAGATCCACAGCCACTAGCCAGCAGCTGAAGAAGACTCAAAATTGATAATCAAATGAGCATGATTCTTTATGAATTGAGTGTGAGATAACTGCTCACTGATGTTGTCAAAAGATGAATTGTCATAACTTTGAACAGAGCACTTGTTGGATGGCTTTTGATGATACTCATATTCAACTTCTGAGTAGTGAGATTGCCAGTTGAATAGATGATGTTGAACATGGACATGCAACAGTTAAAAATCTGTCAAGAAAGATGACAAAAAGATTAATGAATAGAAAGGAGAAGAAGAAATGAAAAAGCAAATCTATCTCTGCTTCTAACTCTTCTATACAGACACCTCAGATGCCAGCAGTTATCTTCCCTCTCTCAACTCCTTCTTCATCTAATATTGTGTCTCCAAGTGAGATAATCAATGTGATGGTGATGAAATATATAATGAAAGAAATGGGAGGCATGAAAGGACTGAATTCAAACTTGCCATCAAATTCAAATCTGCCATTGAATTCAAATCTGCTGTTGAATTCAAATCTGCTGTCAAATCCAAATCTGCTGTTGAATCCAAATCTGCCTTCTATTTGAAGTAGTTCAATCCCTCAGTTTGATGAACACACAGATCTGTTTATTGATGAGTTCTTCAATTGATTGATGACAGAGAGATCTCAAAGAGCAGAAGCTCTTTTAACTGCAAAGAGTATTATTCAGAATGAAGGATTTGAACTGAATTATATACAGACAATGACAAATGAGCAGATGGTTCAGTTGAATATTGAAATGAGTATATTCTTGATAATAAGAGATAGATTAAAGAGTTCTATCTGACAGTCACAGTTGAAGGAGATTAAATTATCTTTATCTGCTATTTGTAGTGATGGCAGCAGACCTCATACTGCTTCTGCTTCTGAATTTGAAACTTAGATATTATATATCATCATAATTGAATTGCAATCTGAATCTTTCTAGATTTTACAATACTATTCTATATGAGCAGATCTGAAATATCCTCTTGCATCTTCTTCTTCTATAAAGTTCTCAACTGCATAATGCAAGAAGACTTCAAAATCTCCATCAAACTGATTCTCTAACTGACATCTGTATCTTCTAATCCATTCTTTCAACACATGAAATGACTCCTCTATAGAATTATAATCAGAAGAATATGGAAGTAAAAATAAAAGTTCAATACCAGCTTCTCTGCAGAGATCTTGCAGTGCTTGTGAATGATAAGAAGAGTAATTATTCATCACTAGATAGTGATAATCTTGTTGGCATTTGAGCAGTATCTGAACATATACAAACTCATTGAACCTCTCTGTATTATAGAACCTCTGATATATATCATAATCAAGATATTCATTGACACTTATTGCAGATAAGATTGATCATCTGTGAGATTGTTTACAGGGTCTTCTAATGTGACAAGGGAATTCTCTGCTTGATCATTCATATTGTTGATCTGCAGTATGTTCATTCACAGCACTCTCATCTAAAAATATAAGTTAATCAGATTGATACTGAGTAACTTGAATATGTCATTCAGCTTGAAGTTCTTCATTACATTGAGTGGTCATGAGTTCAATCTATATCAAATAGAACTGACAGATTAGCAGGTTCTATAAGTGACAATTGCAATAATTAATCATCTTTTTCCATGTCAAATTCAGTTTCTTCAACAATCTAGATATTGATTGAGGATGGATATCAACATCAAATTCATCCTTCACAAAGCAGACAGTCTCATTGTGATATGCAGTTGGATATGCCTCAAAAAAATCCTTCAAATCTGACAAGATATTCAGTGTGATCTTTGACTTTACACCCCATGTTGAATGAGAACTTCTAGCAGTTCCAAAGCAGTGAATATTTTGTTGGATTTGATATACAGTGGTCAGATGGCACTCAATGGTCCGTGCAATCTGAGCAGGTATATAACCATTGTTTAGAAGGTGTACGATCTCATTGGTGGTAAATTTGCTGAGCTGGGGGGGCATATTGGCAGATTTGATGATAAAGGTGTGTATTTGATGATAAAGGTGCGTATTTGAATGAATTGGATGATATTTGAATGATTCTAGAGATACGTGGATATTTTGGTTATTTTTGCGGTGTTTTGCTACTACTTTTCAGGGGGTGGCAGAAAATTCTGTTTTCGCAAGCTTTACGTCCGCCACAATAGTGGATTGCGGCGCGGGGTCAACTGGTTTCAGTTGAGCAGAGGAAATCTTGGGATAGTAATGAGTACTAACACAGAAGTAGAGCACAGAAATACTGCCCCAGCACAACTCCTGCATTTGTCCTGAGAACTTTCTAAATTTACAGACCCGATATCTTTGCGCTGGGTTCTAACATGCTTTAAGTTTTGTGAGAATAAACAGAATCGCGCTGGCATTATTCTCCGCAACCAAAGCTTCGGTTGCTGTTTGGGCTCTCGATTCCTATTACGGACTAGCGTCATGCATCTCATACCCAACAAGCGGCAAGGCTTAGCCGTTTCTTGGCGTATGGAAGTGCGTGTTTCAATTTTGCCCGCATTTCGGGGCCACTTATAGAATTGTATGAATAGACTTCTGTTGACGTGAAAGTAGAGGCCCTAGTCGGGAGCTAATAAAAGACGGGCTCGTACGAATATCTTGCGCTTTGTCCCTCTCCTCCCTCGCATTTTCAGTGCCTGATGTGCTCATGCCAAACCCCTTTAAATTTTGCTCGTTATTGATATCGCAACGAATTTCTCCAAAGCATTCCCACTTTTTCTTCCTCATGACTAATAGTACGTTTTGCATCCATGACAATGGTAAATGATTCCTATTAGCTACCTATTTAACATATCTGACAGTTTTCTTTCTCAGACCTTTCTCCATGCTCCCAGCCAGAGTGGCCTCGCCTAAGAGAATGCATTCTTGGGCGATGGCTAATTGGTACCTTTGTCTAACGAGTCAGAGATAGGGGTATCTGTCATAAAGCCTTCAAGAATGAGCATCTTTTCTTTCTAAACTGCAAGAAGTTGCAGGCTTTTATCTAATCTGCTGTTGATAATCATCAGATGTCTTGTAAATTGGAAGGGGATAGTGATATGTCTGTTGTAGATCAGTAGAAGCACTTAAACTGAATTTGAGAGTCATACAGTTTGCTTCATCAAGGGGTGGATTTCCATTTGTGTTAGAGTGAGATATCAATTGTTCATATAAATGATGACATAGCACTGCATTTATCACTGTACTTCACACTCTTTTGAAAGAGAGTCTCTCTCTGTCTGCACCTCTTTTTAGATGATGCTTGATAATCTTTATATGTCTTACAAATTGTATGAGAATAGTGCTTCTCCTGCTCATTGTCAGTTGTGAATGGAGCTTCCAGACTAAAATTGAATCTCATACAACCTGTTCTTCTGAAGGTGGACATGTACCACTTGAATCACCGGTAGTGAACAGTAGCACTGTATTGAAGTAGGTTTGACCATATTTCGTACGGCGGCCGCAATCCGGGGGAGGGAATGGCTGGCCTCGCTCAGCCATGGATAAGATCCGTTGAATAAGGGATTCTTCTTTTATGAAACTTGAGTTTCCAGTTCTTTGGTGGAGTGAGTGTCTAACGCGTGCTATATGACCATGAAGTCGATAGTATCGACCGGAGTAGGGAATATCATATAATTTTGCTGCGGCATTTACGCTTGAGCAATAACCATCATAACCCAGGAAGGTATTAAATGACCTCTAGCCTCAGGCCCATACAATTAGAATAGCCTTTTGCAATGAGCTGCATGAATTTGTGATAACTAGGTTGCTTCTCTCTCTTTTCTCTAGAGAGGTTTCTTAAATACATGCTTCATTTAAGTCGAGGAAGGAACAAATAAGGGAAACGAATGATGTAAGAAAGGAAAGAAAGGCTCTTCGGGCGTTCCGTAGGTGCTCTGTAGCATCTGCCCGCAACTATAAAGTTCAACATCCTGGACGGAGCGTAATGGACAATGGGCATGTTAAGTACAAATGGGGAAAGCTCATATTGTTCAATTTGGTTGAGAAAAGAAAGAAAACAGGAAGGAGGTATGTGAACATCAATTTGAGGTGATTCAAGAAAAGGAAAGGAAAACCAGCACCTTTGTAAACAGATTAGATATAAAGAGAAGAGATGTTGGAGTCATCAGGCGGTTGAGAATATGTTGCCTTTTGCAGAAGCTTGACTACCTGCTCATGGCCCCTCTCAGCTGCCCATGGGAGTGAAGTAAGTATAAGCTTGTCTCTAGCCCCAATATTGGCATTTCTTTCAAGCGGCAGCTTCACTACCTGCTTACAGCCACTGTAAGCTGCCCATGATAGTGAAGTCTGTGCATATTGATCTTTAATCTCAATATTGGCATTCCTTTCAAGCAGTGGCTTGACTATCTGCTCATGACCCTTCTCTGCCCATGACAGTGGAGTCTGTCCATTCTTGTCTTTAATATCAATATTGGCATTTCTTTCAAGCAGCAGCTTCACTACCTGCACATAGCCACTGTAAGCTGCCCATGAGAGTGGAGTCCGTCCATTCTTATCTTTAACATCAATATTGGCATTTCTTTCAAGCAGCAGCTTGACTACCTGTCTATTACCTAGCATAGCTGCCTGTGAGAGTGAAGTCTGTTCATATTGATCTTTAGTCTCAATATTGGCATTTCTTTCAAGCAGCAGGTCAACTATCTGCTCAAAACCTTGTAGAGCTGCCTCTGAGAATGGAGTCTGTCCATTCTTGTCTTTAACATCAATATTGGCATTTCTTTCAAGCAGCAGCTTCACTATCTGCTCATAGCCACCATAAGCTGCCCATAAGAGTGGAGTCCATCCATTCTTATCTTTAACCTCAATATTGGCATTTCTTTCAAGCAGCAACTTGACTATCTGCTTATAACCTAGTCTAGCTGCTGATGAGAGTGGAGTATATTCATTCTCATCTTTGATCTCAATATTGGCATTTCTTTCAAGCAGTACCTTCACTATCTGCTCATGGCCCTTCTTAGCTGCATATGAGAGTGAAGTCTTGCCATTCACACTTTTAGCCTCAATATTGGCATTTCTTTCAAGCAGTAGCCTGACTACCTGCTCAAAACCTAGTATAGCTGCCAATAACAGTGGGGTCTGCTCATATTGATCTTTAGTCTCAATATTGGCATTTCCTTTAAGCAGAGCTGAGATGCATTTCTTCAACTCAAAGTACACTGCTAGATGCATTCCTGCCATCTTCAACGCATCAGTACTGCATCCATTGTATACCATAACCTGGTAACATGCAGATACCTTGGCTGAGCTGTGAAGAAAATCCAAAATTAAGCTCTCCTCTTGAATTGAAGATTCCCTGACATGATAGCCCCAGTTCCGCGCAGCATAACTGTAAAAAGGATATAACTGTAATCGCTCAGTCAAAGCATCTTTCGTCAGGCAGCATCCAGTTTCAAACGCTTTAAATGATAGGTAAGTGACACAGGTTTTTGTAATATCAGTGTGAGCATTTGGAAACCAGCTCTCCCAAGAGCGCTCAAGGAATTTCTGGGTAGTGTAGTGGATCAAATGGATAATCCCACCCTCGTCGCCGGCAATGATCAATCCAGCACACACTGAGACTGTAAGTTGAATAGGTGCAATATTATCTGTATCAAGCTCAGATGTATTTGGCTCAATGGCTAGAGCATGTTGAAGTTCCATAGATGTCAGTTGACTCTTTGCACAGACGATCCATTGAAGGGCCCTCATAGCGAGGTCTTGGTAATCCGGTGGTTGACTTCGTATTCTTTCCATAGCGTGCTTATAGGCAGTATCTAGTGCTATGAACTTTTCGCTGTCATTTGGTGCATTGGACGTTGCCTCTATCTCTTGAAGCGCCTGTTTTATCGCCTTCTTATTTGTTTTAAAGGCCAAGGAATCAACGTAGAGCCGTGCGAGCAGAAACCTAGTTTATGTTAGCAAACTCGGCTAATCCTCCCCTCTGAGGATAACACATACATGCCGTCAACAGCTTTAGCGATCTTGGTCTTAATTTCTTCTTGAAGAGACTTGTCTTCTGAAATTAAGGTCGAGCAATTCCGCAGTCTTTCGTCAAGATATTTTTGTACATCTGTAGCATTGGCGCGAATCTCAAGCCTGATACTTCCGTCGAATTTTCCCTCGATTTCCTGGATAAATCGCGACGTGGCGAAAATACTCGCATTGGTGTTTGTCTGGAGGTTGAAAATCCATTGCAGGAACATTTCACGACCATTAGGAGAAGCTCGACACTCATCTAGTGCGTCGATGACAATAAATGTCCTTTGATAAGAAGCTGCAATTTTCTGTAGTGAACTCCGGAGCTCATCCAGTGAAGGACGGGTATTTACGCGTTTATGTCGATTATAGAGGTCCTTTACAACTTCAACTACAGAAGGCTGTCCCTGAAGTAATTGCTTTAACAGACTTGCAATGAGATCAGCCGGCTTCTGTTCCTGTTGTTGCTTGAAGTTGCAATATAGATATGCGATCCCAACGGAAGGGTCATTTTGAAATCTCCTGTGAAGGTCGTGGACAACAATAGATGTGATAATTGTTTTGCCTGCCCCGGGTATGCCTGGGCAGAATAGAGTTTGTTTGGGTTCTCTGAGCCACTGTTGGAATTTATCTGATTGCAATAGCCATTCTCCGGTACATTCCTGTCGTTGGGAAATCAAGTCATTTTGCTGGGGAGCATAATTCATTGGTGTGAGCCACTCAGAAATGGTTTGATGCTCTTGGTTTTGTTGGTGAGAATGAAGTTGGTTGACGATATTGATCACTCCTTCAAGTTGACCTGCGAAACCATGGTTTGTTAGAATTGCTGAGGCTTACGAATACTCCGTCCAAGAATCATTGATGTTAACCAACCAAACAGAAGATTTAAAAAATTGATGGGCCTTACTTTTGATTGTGGGCATCTTATCCACCTCCTGTGTTGGTACCCACGAGAGGAGTTCCTTGGCAAATGCCGCTGCAACAGCCGCTGCGTGTTCTTGCCAGTTTTTGTTCTTATGTGCATCTGCATAATCACAGATACCTCGGATGACAAGGCATGGGAAATTATTCATCAGTCCTGCTGCCTCCGTTTCAAAGCAGAGTACCTTGCCTCCAAGTCGTTTATTGATATCGTCCCGGACCAACGCATCTTTGATTACCTGGTTGCCAGATGCGATAAGGCCGTAATGCACACGCATGTCCCGCGGTTTTCTGCGGATAATTCCTCTCGGATCACAGTGACTGCAAGGATCCCCTTCTCCTTCCTCCTCTTCCTCATAGCCATCCTCTTGGCTCTCCTCGGTGCTGGTGTCGGAAGTATCAGGTTTTTCAACATGCTTGCAGCTTGCTCTAAAGAGCACATCTCTCAAAGACTCCGACCTGGTATATCTCGGCGCAAGCCTAGGCCAGTTGTCCTTCAATTCGTCGAGGTAATGTGGTATCTTAGAACCTTTCATCTCATGCTCCCTCTCTAATTTGGTCAATGCAGTAAGTAGCTCGGTAGGGGGGCGGTTCAATGCTCCGGTTCGTTTGAAGCCCTCTTGTTGAGATTTCCCAAAATCCCACTGCACAACTCCGCTAAACTCATCAGTGGGCGTGCTGACCACAACATCGCCAAGCCTGACAGATTTAGGGACTCCTCCGCCGATACCAACCATCAACCCAAATTTAATTGATGGGAAAGTAGACGTCATCCAAGTCGCGACTGTTGCTGCATTGTTGCTGCCGATTTCGCCTTTTGGCAAACATGCTATTACAATGTTATGCACGCCAACATGACCGAGGGTATAGGCATTGTGGTCATTAGGGTGCTTAGGAAGTTCTTCGTGTATTTCATCAAGCATTGCCGCCGCGGCCGTTAACTCCTTAGGCAGCGCGCAGACCCAGCCCACGGTGTAGTCATCATGAGTCCGAAGCTGAGTAGCCATCTCTGGAGTAGACTGTTCGAGAGGACGCATCTTGTAACAAGATGTATTTAGAGAGGATAACGTGGGAGTAATAAGTCGATCTACTTTGGTTGGTTTTGTTCAGTAGGATAGGTTTTTATCAAGTTCTATCGAGTTGCTGGAATGCAGATCAAAAAGCTGACACCTCACTCACGGTGGAGACGATATCGTCCGAATAGGGAGATATGTTACGATGCGTACACGAGAGTTGCGAGTGAACAAAGTAGGCCAACATGCTGAGATCAAGATATCAGGGGGCAGCCAGCCGCAAAGCGGGGTTGGTCATATATGCAGAGGCTGAGTATGTACAGGGTCCAATGGTAGTCCAATTACGACCATATGCCTAGTTCAGTGACCTCCAAACCGTCTCGCAAGCGTCAGTATCCTAAGCCCCATCCATCCGACAGGTCACGATTTCAGAAAAGACAGAAGCTTGACGCGCCGGCATCATCATATTGGGATAACCTGTTAAAGATTTGGTTAACCAAAGATGCATTAGAGGAGTTGGATCGAAGAAACAGCCGCCCGAAACCACCCCAGAACCACCATAGACCTGTCACTCGACGATTTTGCACTGAGCTGAAGAAGCGCTGTAATCCTTTTCAGTTTGTTCTGGACTTTCTCCGTGAGTGTGCACCCGCTTGCAAAGCAGATAAAGCGGGTTTCCAGATTGGGAGGACCTGACATCACTGACCTTAGAAATGTACGTAACTACAAATCTATGCAAATACATCATTGCTGATAATATTGCCCAGTTTTCTAAACCGGAAAATTTCCTCAAAAAAGCAATCAGCTCAAGGTCGCAGAGTAGAAAGCGACGCGAATGTTCTCCTCCATCAACAAGCGCAGATACAAGGAGTGCCAACAAGTCCACGAGCACCACACCCTATAATCGTAACTTCCAGCAGAATTTAATTGATCATGGCGTTTACCCTGACGGATATGAATATCCGGATGGCCGAATACCAGCAATACTGGGAGATCAATGAAACACTAGCTCGACCCTGGCCCTCCCTTTTCCCATCGAAGTTCTCTATGAACATTTCCGGAAATCCAAACGAGCAGATACCCACGCATCTAAAGAACAACCGGTCACAATGTCAGTGATTCCTATCATTGAAGGTGATGTTGATGATTCCGAATCCGCCAGAGGGGGATACCCACTAGAGCTTCGTATGATTCTTAGAGACTTCGCTTCGCTCTGTCTGATAAAATTAAAATAGTCGTTATTTTCTTTCTTCGCTGTGAATCTATTCTTTCTTTTATACTAGAGCTCACTTTTGTTTCCTAGTTATTATTTTCTTTTATAAAAAGAGAAGGGAATTGATTTGTTTTCTTTTCTTTTCTTTCTTTCTTTCTTTTTTTTCTTAGAGAATAGAGAGCAATAGTTATCCCTTCGTCTGGCCGCTAGGCACAATTAGCGCATTTTTTTAGTGTGTACATTAGTGTATTAAAAACACAAAATCTACTGGATTAGATGAGAGATTGGCTGTATTGGCATGTTTTTATGTAATTTATGTAATTTATTTGATCTAGCTCTAATTAAGATATAGAATGGAACTCCTGCCAACATCTGCTCTTCAAACAGAGGGGAATATTATTACATACAACACAATCAGATCTTGTTCTTAGAGTTCTATCTTTATTCTCTTCTGTTCTCTTTCTTTTGTACTGACACCAAGCACAAGTTTGAGTGGATGACAGAGAAATCCAATGATGATTCAGATCTGAATTTAATCAAATGGAAGGTAGTGAACTTGAAAACTCAAAGAGTTGATGATAGAGCTGCTGACAAAATTGAACATGAGAAAGGGTAGTAGTGCTAGTGCCAGTGCCAGTGCCAGTGCCAGTAGCTAGTTGATGAAGAATATAAGCATTCACAATAGAATGATTGATAATCCAGTACAGAATTGTCAACCAGGTGCAATTGATGGGCATATGAGTCTCATAGGAAGCTCTATACTGATTTGCTAGGTCAATCCCATTCATATTATGATTATAATCATCAATAATAGTAGGAATCTCCACTGCTTTTTGTCAATTATCTTCAAATATTCTCTGAATTTGAGATCCATTAGTAGATGTCTTTTCTGGGTGTTTTCTGACATGTTCAACAAAGCTGTCTGGCAGATGAATTGTAGACAGTAGTAATACTATATTATTATCTTTCCATTCAAGACAGAGAACTTTATTTTGAGGAATAATACACAGAGTATTGAAGGGAATGTGAGCAGATAATTCAGAGCTTTTCAATTCTTGTAGAAGAGGTGGTAGATTGGCAGGATGGGTAGTTCCACAGACTCCAATTCCTTGCTTTTGAAGATAATGGAATAGAGCAATAGAGATGAAGTAGTTGTCCATATAAATTGAGTAGCCAGCAACCTCTTTACTGTTGTTCAACTCTAGATGTTGCTCGGAGCTCTGCTGCTGATCAGGGTGCTGCTGATTGAGGTGCTGCTGATTGGGGTGCTGCTGATCAGGGTGCTGCTGATCAGAGTGCTGCTGATCGGAGCTCTGCTGCTCGGAGCTCTGCTGCTCAGAGCTCTGCTGCTCAGAGCTCTGCTGCTCGGGGTGCTGCTGATCAGAGCTCTGCTGCTCGGAGCTCTGCTGCTCAGAGCTCTGCTGCTGATCAGAATGCTGCTGCTTGGAGCTCTGCTGCTGATTGGGGTGCTGCAAGAATACAGGCAGCTGTTCAATCAATTCCACCACAAGAGATCCAGTCTTGGTTAATCCTGGAGTCCAGAACATTGTACTTATGCAGAGATTATCATGAGACATAGAAAAGATCCAAAGATAGCCCTGTTCTTCTAGTTCAAAGATCTTATATCTCTGCTTGATTGATTTCTGAGACATTTTAACTGTGTATTTGAATCATTCAAAAAATTGAATCATCATCTCATCAATGAAGAGATTTGAATCTGAATTGTAGTATTTCTGATATACTGTATGGAAGTTGGAGTATAAAGGCTCTAGCTTCTGTATGAAGGAAGAATAGAATGATTCTGATCTGCAAGGATTGGATATATGAATATATCTCTTAATCTACTCAAATTGCTTTTATTCAATGTGAAATCTTGATGAATGAAGTGGTCTCTGAGTGTGATGGGTTAGCACCTGCTAGTAAGTTAACTTACACAACCAATTCTCTATCACCTGTTCACCCTCTCACATGCTCTTGTGTACCCATGGAATACCTCTCTCCTTATGATTCTGCTCTGCATTTGTGTAGTCTCTAATAATTTCTTTATATAATTCTTAATATTCTTTCACTCTATACTTCACTGCAGTATGATCTCTGATATTCTTTTATTTCAATTCTTCTTCTATAAGAATCTTTTTATACAATCTCTTCTTCTGATCTTTCTTCTCTTTCTTTTCTTAATCAATTCATAAACTGTTATCAGAATAGTGTCAAGTTTATTGATATTACTATTGAAATGAATTGTATGAACTGTGCAGATGATATGAATGATTTAATCTGCAACATTAATAACATCTGCTTAATCAGTGGTATATTCATTATATTATAAATTGATTCATCTGTGTTGATCTGAGTACTCTGTGTTTATAATTATATCTAGATGCTCAAGTTAAGTTTAAAAATAAGTTATTCAAGTTCTACAAAGCTGTATCACTGTGATAGTGCTGTGAAGAAGTCTGAGTATTTAGAAGTTTACAACTGTATATCTGTGAAGAGATCAGAGTGTCTATAAAGTATTTTCTTTAAAAGAATAAGAATTGAATCTTCTGATCTTCAAGTTATCAGAATCAAGAATTATAATCTTATATAAAAATAAAATGAATTATAAATATCTCTATAAATATTCTTTCACAGATGAAAATTAAAACCTTGTAGAAGACAATATTGAACTCTGTAGCTTTCTTCAGTAGTAATCTCTGTAGATAACAGAGCTTCAGTAACAACTGAATAATCTAAATATAAATATATTAAAAACTATACAAGCATCAATATTTTTTATATATAAAAGAAGAGAATATCTCTCTCTTCTTAATAAATTTGTAGAAGAACTTTTGATCTACTTAATCTGAAAATAAAAGATAAAAGTCAAATTTGAAGAAGATGAATCTGTGATAGACTCTCTGCTCTCACAAGCTTGCTATATTTATAGTCAGCTAAAAGAAGATACTCTAGCTAAGTTTCAATCTTAAATTGAATTATATATATATAAAATATACATCTCTGAAAAAGTTTTCTGTCAACTAGATATTCTATTCTTGAATTTTATACTTTAAATATATATAATGCAATGATTGAATAGAAACTGTCAGAGAAATATATCACTGATGAACTATCTATCTAACTTTAACAGTAAGATATATAAAGTAGAAGATTAGAATTAAAATAATACTGTCAAGATTAATCTTCTGAGTCAGTATATTAGCTTTAAACTGCTCAAACTCTGTATCTTATATCTTATACTTATATATTATCATGACTACTGCACTCATTTATATCAACTTAACAACAATCTTACACATTTTAATACTGTTCAAGAAAGATGTAATAATTATAGATAGAACTATATATCTACTAATATATCAACTGCATCAGCTGCTTCTGTGGATGCTATAAATTGAATCTTTTATATAAATATAGAATAATCAAAAATATCTGATCTTTCTGAATAAGAAGTTACTGATTAAATTATCTGAGATATCTGTATTTATTACAACAAGTCAGAGCACTTTGTAAGTCAGTATATTAATACAGTAGCTTCTATCTCTGTACTGTAAGTAAACACAACTATATTTATAAATGAATAAAAACAGAGAAAAGAAGAGCTCTTACTCTAAAATATGAATAAGAGTTTAAAAAGTAAGAAGCTAGCTGAAGATTTGAGTAGAAAATGTAAGTGAATACAATTATGATTTCTATCATTGTAAATAGTCTAATCAATATATATACAATGATAGACAGTGATTTTCTTCACTATATTTTTATAAATACTCAGCTAGTAGAAAAGTATAAGCTTCAGTGTATTTCTTTCTCTAAACTGTATAAACTCAGTGAATTTGACAGTCTCAGAGAATTCATCTTCTACAATATAATAAGATTTAATATTAATATAGAAGAGTATAAGAAAAAGAATATTTATATATATAAAATACAGAATCTTGAGTATGATTTAATACTCAGTCTATTATAACTTACAGAATTTGAAATCTTATTAGATATATACAACTGTTGTCTTATTTTCTCAGAAAGTGACTGTGTCTATAAAAAAAATATTGATAGAACTGTTAATCTCACTCAGATATCAGTAGAAGTATTCAAGTTATTAATCTGTCAAATATATAAGAAGAAGAATGTTTAAGTATTTGCTGCTAGTATAATGAATATCAAGAAAGTATTAGAAAAGCTAGAATCTAAAAATCTCAAGAAGCTCTGCAAGAAACTTCTCAAATTATATAAGAATTTTACAGATATATTTGATAAAAAGACAGTCAAAAAGCTTTCTCTTCACTGAGAATATGATATAGATTATATAATTAAGCTTATTAAGAAAGATAATAAAAACTCATAATTATTTTGAGGTTCTCTCTACAGTATGTCATACAATAAGCTTCTTATTTTATAAAAAACACTCAATGAATTACTGAATAAGAGCTTTATTTATATTAACAATTCACTCACTGCAGTCTCTGTACTATTTATGAAGAAATCAGAAGAAGATTTACAATTCTATATCAATTACTGAAAATTTAATAAAATTATATAAAAGAACTGATATTCTCTTCTGCTTATCAATGAAACACTTGAGTGAATAGAAAAAATAAAATAATTTATGAAACTTGACATCTTCACAGTCTTCTATAAGATAAAAATTAATGAAGATAATGAATGACTAATTATCTTTTATACATACTATAAACTATACAAATAAACAGTGATCTTTTTTGAACTAGTGAATACTTTCAATATATTTCAGAAATATATTAACTGAGCTCTATAAAATCTACTTAATAAGATTATATCAGTATATATAGATGATATTCTGATTTTCATTGATGAATCACTTGCTGAATACTGCAAGTATATACAATAGATATTTGACTGTTTATAAAAAGCAGAACTACAAGTGGATATTAACAAGTGCAACTTCAAGATTAAATCTATAATCTATCTAGAATTCATCATTGAAGCTGAAAAAGATGTATAAATAAATTCTAAAAAGATGAAAATAATTCTTAACTGAAAGATATCTATCTCAGTAAAAGAGACTAGAAGTTTTCTAGAATTTATCAACTTCTATCAAAGATTTATCAGAGACTTTTCAGATATCATATAATCACTAACAGATCTGATATGAAAGAACACTGTATTTCAATGAATCACTGAAGCAGACACTGCTTTCAAGAAATTGAAGTATATATTCACAACCACTCTGATACTGCAGTTATTCAACTCAGATAAGTATATAATTCTCAAAACAGATGCTTCAGATTATATAGTAAATGAAGTATTGATATAATATAACAATGAAGATATTCTACAACTCTATATCTTCATCTCAAAGAAGATATTATTTACTGAGTGTAATTATAAGATTTATGATAAGAAGTTTTTGATAATTATACAATATCTCAAAGAATGAGAATCTGAGCTCATGAGTATTGAGAAGTTTGAGATTGTCACTGATTATAAGAATTTAGAATACTTTACAATCACTTGCAAGTTCACAGAAAGATATATATACTGATTACTGTTTCTCAGCTGTTTCTTATTCACAATCTATTATCAATCAGAGACAGAAAACATTTTTATAAATACTCTATTCTGCAGAGAATAAGATATACTCTCTGATAATCTAGATAACAGATGAAAGTATCAAGAATATTGATTAATTAACTTTATAATTATAGAAAGTTTTAGACAATCAGATAGCTTTTATATACATATTAATTTATTCTGAGCTCAGAAATCTTTATTTAAAGAATAATGAAAGTAAACAGCAGAGATGAATGAATTCTGATAATAGATTATAGAAACTGTATAAAGCAAAGTATTTTAATTCTCTACAGATGTATATTCAAGAATGAATATCTCAGTATATTTAATTGACAATGACAATTATCTATATTTTCAAAATAGATAATAAATCTCTAATTCAGAATTCTTATAAATATAAATTATATAAGATATTCACAACTTATCAATGACTGAGTATTCAGAGTGTGAGATTATATACAGTATCATCATTCAAAAATTCTACTGATCAGATATATCAAAAAATATATACTGATTTATATACAATTACAACTGCTGCAGCTCAGTAATAGTATAGTATAAATATTGAAAAGAAATACTAAAATCTCTGTCTGTTTTTGAATAAACTTGATATAATATAGCTATCAACTTTACAGTTTTCTTATCTGAAAGTGATGATTCTATAAATATTCTAATTATTATTAATCATCTCAGTAAAAGTATGATACTGCAGCTCTGTGATAAGATGAATACTGAAGTTATTATAAATATCTTTATCAGAAGCTCATTCTATTATATATATAGTCTATCTTTATTTATTGTATCAGATAAAAATAGTCAGTTTATAAATGCACTTTGAATCTGTGTATATCAGCTACTGAAAATTGAGTGAAAATTATTGATAGTATATTATTCAGAGATCAATAAAATCACTGAGAGAATGATATAGATAGTTAAGAATATTCTCTGAAAGTTCTGTAATTATATATAAGATAACTGAAGTGATCTATTGCTGTATACTGAGATTATTATAAACAGCTGAGATTCTACTATAATAGATATAAATCTATTCTTTCTTCTATATAATTATAATTTAGAGATTCTGAACTTCTCTGAAACTCTCTGAGAAATTATATATATTTACAGTTCTGTATAGATGATAGAGAATATAGTCAGTAAACTCAAGAAAGTCTGTGAATGAGCTGAAGCTTTGATAATCAGTGCTTAATAAAACTATAAAAATCAAATAAATATCAGATGAAGTTCTATAATCTGTTACAGTATAGAAAATAAGATCTGATTAGATCTCAAGAATATAAGAATGAACTGCCTCTCATATATACTGAACTACTGTTATATTAAATACACAGTAGTAGAAGTATTAGATATTTATAACTATTGACTGAACACTCTGTCTGATATTTATAATATCTTTTATATAAATCTACTTTAATCTGTGACTGAGAATCTGTTCTTTTTATAAAAGATCTCTGACTGATAATCATCTGTCATTGTAGAAGAAGACAATGAACTTGAATGAAAAATTGAAGCAATTTTTGATGATAGAATCAATCACTGCTACTGTGAATACCTTGTTAAATAAATAGAATATAATTGCTTAATCTAAGAATCCACATTTATTATAAAAGACACTGTTGCACTCAATGTTTATAAATTCTCACTCATCTCAGTAGAGAGAGATAATGTGATAGATTAGCATCTGCTAGTAAGTTAACTTACACAATCAATTCTCTATCACTCATTCACCCTCTCATATGCTCTTATATACTCACAGAATGCTTCTCTTCTTATGATTCTACTCTGTGCTCATATAGTCTCTAATGATTCCTCTATATAACTTTTAATATTTTTTCACTTCACACTTCACTGCAGTATGATCTCTGATATTCTTTCATTCTAATTCTTCTTCTATAAGAACTCTCTCATACAATCTCTTCTTCTGATCTTTCTTCTCTTTCTTTTCTTAATCAATTTGTAAACTGTTATCAGAATAGTGTCAAGTCTGTTGATATTGCTGTTGAAACAGATTGTACAAACTGCACAGATGGTATGAATGGTTTAATCTGCAATATTGATAACATCTGCTTAATCAGTGGCACACCTGTTACACTGAGTATCATTCTTATTTCAATAATCTCCAATTGCTGGAGATCTATATACTCTCATATAGATAATCTGCCCAAGAAATACCTTGATTTCTGTAGAAGTAGTTGGCTGCCAATTTCAAGAATTGATAACTGAATTCTTTGAAATCTGAATCTCTGTGTAGACATTGATGGAACAGACAATATTCTGAATATCAATCTCTGAGATATAGAGAGAGAATAGAGTATATGGATTTGTTGAATTGATATTGAATAGATTGATTGTTGGAGGCTGCTGTAGAGATTGCATAGAATTGAATTTAATACTCTCTAGAGATGAAATGGATGCCAAAAGTGAACTGAGAGATCATTTTCACTTTGCATCTGTTTTTATACTATCTAATAAAAAATATCAGTTAATCTGATTAAAAGAAGCATTGGAGAATTGGAAATCACCTGTAGAATTCATATTGCTATCTCAGAGTGGACAGAGTGGATAAATTATGATGAGAAGGTTCCAAGGTTGCAGAATGTGTCAAGCAGAAAATATGAGAGTGTGAATCTTGTATCAACAAATCAGATTACATAGAATTTAGTATGAGAAATTATTGGTTGGTACTTCTGAACTAACAGCTTAGTTATTACACTAATTGTATTGCGCTAATTGTGCCTAGCGGCCAGACGAAGGGATAACCAGATTGAAGTAGTTGATAATATCAACTCTTTGTGTCTAATCCTTAAGGTTTCACCTCCAATCCTTAGGGCTAGCGGGGCTAGGAGGGCTTATGTCAGTCCCACCACCCACAGCTGGTCCAAACGTTAGGTGGCACGTGCCTGGGGTACCCGTAGTAATGCCTAACACAAAGTCAACGACGAACTTCCCAGCTTATATCGCAATATACAGATGGAACAAAGTTCGCTTTACACAGAACTACTCTTGTCATGACGACTCATCTAGTTGCCATTGCAAAAGCCACTTTCTCAGCTGGGCTTTTGCGACCAGATCCCACCTCCATCCACCGCGATGAGATCGCCTTTTTCCAAGAATCACTCGACCGCGTAGTGACGCACTGCTCTTCAGGAAACATCCAGGTTTGAACAATGACTCCTCATGTCAGCGCTGAATGGGTTGGTTTACTAAATCGTTGATCGGGGTACCTCCACTAGACTTGCACATCGTGGCTTCTGAAAAATGTGATCCCTTCGTCAACAAGGATTGGGGCTCTAGGCAAATACCTTGTTACTCTATCTGGATCCTTCGAACATGGCGATAAATCACTGGCTGCTGGACAGGGAGCGACTGAGCGCCCAAAGAATTCTTCAAAACGGAAACGATTGCATATCTTATATTTGCTAAATGACCTGTTGCATCACACAAAATACCATGAACAGACAACGTCCGCCTTTTCAAACCTCAGTGGTTCCCTTCAGCCTTTTTTAGTTGATCTTATTAGCCTGGCAGCAAGCTTTGGACATGAGAACAATCCAAAACACCACAAACGATTGAGCGATCTGCTGGATATATGGGCTAGTAACAGTTACTACAGCGGCGATTATATAAACAAACTCCGTGAAACGGTGGATAATTCCTCTTCTCCTGACTTGCTGAATGCAAAATCTGCTTCCAATGGCCTCGATTTAGATACACCGAACAAGACCTCTCCAAGGGACGCTCCCTACGTAATGCCAGCGACACATGGAGACCCGTCCGCGCCATATCATGAACTCCCAGCGGGGAACCTAATGCCACATATAATTCCCAACTCAACAGTTCCAATCCGACCACAAGCAGTAAAGCCTCTTCAGTTTCTTGCAGGACCTGCAGATGAGTCTCTAGCCACCGCAGTGAAAAACTTTCTAAATGACGTGGACAAAATATATAACCCAAATGGGGATTCGTTGGATGGGAGAATTGATGTAGAGATTGATGAACTTGGCCAAGCAGTTTTCCGCGACCCATCAACGGGAGAAGTTGTCGACGGAGAAACATACTATGGTTGGTCACGTTCATTCTGCGAGAATATGAAGAAAAGGAGAGATGGTACCCTTGGCCGTCGGAGCCCAAGTCAAAGTCTCAGCCCAAACCGGAGCTATAGCGCAAAAAGACGGCGACGATATAGCGATAACATCACTGGTGATGACAGGGGACGCTCTAGATCGCCGAGTTCATCCATATCTGACAGCCGCAGTCGAAGCGCCTCGTACTCGCGCTCCCTATCCCGCTCCCGTTCCCGCACGACGCTGCACCGCTCAGGACGCCCAAGATCACGGTCAAGATCGAAATCTTACTCTCCTCGGCCATTATCACCACCTCGCATTCCTCCGAAGCACCAGAATGCGCTTTTCCCTCCCCCAGGAACAACTCCACATATCCCCCTTCCACAAATGCCGTACCCCTTCCGTGGCTCGCAACAATTACCACCTCCCCACCCTCCACCGGTACCCGGTCCTGGTGGTATGTTCATTCCCCCACCTCCCCCAAGGCCTCCAGGCTATCATGGAGCCTGGCCGCCGCCGCCACCACCTCTTCCTTCTCAACATTCGAGCACGACGCCACCATTCCCACCACCTCCACCCCCATTGCCTATGACCATGAGCTACCCAGGCTTCCAACCTCCTGCTGGTGCCGTTGCGCCACAATACCCTCCTAATCTGCATCCACCCCACCTGCCACACCCTGGATCTTACCACTCCCCGGTCCCCCATACGACCCAGGGACCGGGGCCTGGCCACCAGCCTTATCCTGGTGGAGATGCGAATGAGTCTGGGGAAAGTGGGAGTCGGGGAAACGATGCGAGTGGAAGAAAAGGCTGGGGGATGGGAGGTTGGTATTGATTTGGTTATTTAACTTTTCTACGTAACGCTGGATGGTCCGCGTGATTCCTAGGACGTCGGGAAATAGGGTTGACGTTATATTCTATTAGATATTGGCTCGTGGGTTGGGATTTATTGCTTACAATGGCTTTGCAAGATGGCATGATGAATCAGGTCCAGATCGCCATTTGCATAAGCCATGGATCCAACATTTCTAGGAGAGGAGGGTCTGCATTGAGGGTGCACCCGATGAAGAACGTGAAAAAAAAAAATCAGCTCATTATCCTCTCATGCTGTCAAACCAACGCCATTCTCTGTGCCGCAGCCCGAACTCAACGAATCATGATCCTGTAGATGGAACCAACCAATGCCAATGCTTCCCCATGCAGGGCAGAGCCAAGTTAAACACCAGCCAACTTTTGGGAACTGTCTATCAAAACATCCCGTGTAACAATGAGAAAAATTCTGGGTTACTACTCTCTATTCCTGTGTAGATGCTCAAAAAGTAGATTCTCATTGGCTCTGAATTCTCGAAGTATGGTATTTCGCCATTCTCAACATGCTTAATCCGAAAAGTTTGGCTTTTGAAAATATCACGTTAAATTTCAGTACATATAGTGAATGAACGTATGCATATCTCAAATAGATCTACATCATTCGACCCAAATATTGGAATTCCAATAAATAAATACCACTGTGTGTCGATTTAGTCTGATATTGTCTACGAAAATCGAGCACAATTGAGGTATTTGGGGTCACTGGGAGCTACTTCTCGCATCCCACCCCCTCCTAAGATCAAAAACGACCACCTTGTCAAACTCCCCGAATCTCATTAACGAGTGGATAAAGAGCCCAATTTTGAGATATGAAAATTTGTATCTGCGCATCCAGCTATTGTTCGAGTATGCTTCGATTGTCAGCTCCGACCTGAGGGGGCTTGGGGCTGAATAACAGATTCAAGAAGCAGCGTATGACAGCGTATCAGCCTCACATAGATGAAAGAAGAAATGAGGTTCTTCAAGTTTTATATAAATCCTACTGTCGGTGCTCGAGATACCTTAAAGCCAACCCCCTCATCCACATAGTTAGTTATCATAATCAAACCTGGCAAGATTGATCAACCAATATACATAGCACACTCAACATCCCATCGCGATCCCCATCGCCATGTCCCAACCAAATTCCCTCAAAGTACTCCTCCTCCCCTTTCCAGGCTTTGACACCTTGGACCTCTATGCTCCAATCGAGGTCCTGGGCAAGGGCGCAGCCATCGGTGGGCTTGAGATAACGTTTGAAATGGCCACCGTCGCCCAACCAACTCTCAGCGCGGAGAAAGTCCCTGTCTATCGTACCCTCAGCATTTCCCAGGCGATGATGCAGCTCGACCAGTATGAGATCGTTGTCCAGCCTGGCGCCGGCGTTTCCGAAGTAGAAAAGTACCTGGAAACCCCAGAGCTACTTGGACTAGACCCATCCAGCGTGAGGGATCATCTGCAACTGCTCCTGACTTTTTCGCAAATGACTACTCCCTCTCCGCGAGGCTGTAAGCGCGTGTTCCTGTCAATATGCACTGGGGCGCTAGTGGCGGGGTTAGCAGGGGTATTCAGCAACATGGTCGTCACTACCCATTACGCGGGTCTTGAAAAGTTGGGAGAGTATTGTAGGATGGCGGGTCAAGGAACAGTTATTGAGCCCGATATAGGCAACGGGGGTTACGAAGGCTACTCGAATGCGCAGCAGCATTCGTGGAGGTGGGTCACTGTAAACCGACCCGGGTTTGGGGTAAACGTTATCAGCTCTGGAGGAATTAGTTGCGGGCTTGACGCATCATTGTACTTGTTGAGCGAGCTGGAGGTGATGAAGGATGGGCAGCGAGAGAAGGTTGGAGTTGCGAAGGCACACAGGTGCGCGCGGATTATGGAGTATGCATGGCGATGGGCTTAGTAGGTTTCACATCTGCGGTTTCCTGTCCTCAACGTCCCTGTTTTCCATTGTCTTCAAGTCCTATCACTGTAATTCTTTCTGGATGGAAATATCAGGGGCCGGCGGAGGAAGAGCGGAAAGGGCTGCCAACAGATTTTTGAATTGGAGAATAGTCATGTTAGTTAAATAATTAATTCAGACATTGATATCGACAAACATACCAAGCTCCTCAATCCTTAATTCTTTCAAGAGACAACTCGCGGATGATTAAGATTTTGCACAACGGGTATCAAATCGTTGATCTACGGTATGTATGTACTGTACATTCATACCTATATTTGATATCCGAGTATCGCCATGAAGTTGCTGGATATGAATTGTATATCTTCTTTAGCTAGTTAATGATAATCCTAGTGATTACATACAAAATTGGTAACGGTTAACTATTTAATGTTTTCCCTGAAGGCATTCTCATTCTCACGAGTGCTTCGATACTAGAATTCAGTAACAAGAAATCCACCGAATACCTCCAGACGGGCAAAAACCGAATCATCTGCTAATCTTCTTAATATGGACGTTTTACCATCGAGATAGATCTTTTCTATATGATAACAGGGCTTCCAGGCGACAAGATTGGTATGAGAGTTTGGCATATAGGCAACATTTCTCGGGGTAATGTTAAACTGCTTTCCTCCCTCATCTAGTTGTCAAACCACCAGTATACACCTCCTCGTTAGCCGGTTCAAACGATACGAATCTCGATCGATTATTACATATATGTTGCTCAGCGCCAGTAGCAAATATCCAGGAATCTCGAAGATAGTTTAATGTGGGATGTCGGATGTGATACGCCCAAGTTCAAGCAATCTTTTCCTGGAATATTCAGCTCGGAAGTCATCGACCATATCTGCGAAGCGGGAGTTCCCTTTTCCCTCTATCTCAAATTTCTTTTTTCGAAAAGTGACGTACGCGTTATCGATTGATCGATTGGCATGAAAGAAGTCCTGCCATAGATCAAAGTTCCCTTCTATTCCTGCTCGTCGAATCTTATGTTCAATCAACATCCACTCATCTAGCCACTTATTTAAACCTCTTTTAGGCGGTTTGCGAAGATTCTCATATCTTAAACGTGCCTCGTACTGACACTCCGCTATGCTTGGGCATAACCTCTTTTTGAGAGCAATTAAAAGCTTTTTGACATCGATAGGCTCATTTTCAATTAATGCCATCTCAAGCTCTCTGGGTTCCACTGTTTCAAGGATGTCATGTTTGATCCTGTTTACACCATCGACCTTCACCCGATATTTCATCATTTCGTTGTCATATTGTGCGTTCTCCATTTTCCATCGCATTATTGCTTCTGGAGTAAGTTCAGTGGGGATATCGGGGGGGGAGGGCCGTGCTAATTGACTAATATGCTCAGGACTTTTATCATCGATGAATTCCAGTACATTATCGTCTTTGGCTAAGGATAGAATCAGTTTGTACCATAGATCCCAGTCCTTGGAGGAGCTCAAGATAACCGGGAGTCTTGGTGTCATGATTACTGCTGCAATCTTGGGCGATCCGTCGTTGTTTTCGATCTTCGCATTCAAACATGAATGGAATCGATATAGAATCGAATGGATATGGATAGGTCGCGATCGTATGCCGATGAGGGCAAGGATGATAATTATACAGTAAGGTGTTTTGCCGCTATGCCGGGTTCACTTGCCATCGGAATTATATATGATATTTCGTTGTCCTATCAAACATATCGTACTCGTCATCTACTGGATTCGCGGTGTCAGAGGATAACCTCCGAGATATCTTGGCACTGCCATTCTTGGCGAAGTGGAGAATGTTCTAGTAATATCTTCTGCTCGTAGTCGATCCCTTCCTTATAAATACTACCTACTTTACCATGTAATTATCAGGATATAGATAGTCAAGTCAATTCAATCATTATCTATCAATATTCAGTAATTGGGTCAATATTCGGACGATTAACCACCGTTCCGATCCCAGATCGAATCTCGTCATTGACCTTAAGTACGACAATATCTAAATCTTATCCATTCATTCCTTATAAATATTACTATCATTCAATGTGTCGGAGATAATATCTCATAATATCTCATATATCAGAGATCTTATATCGCATCTTCGCTTTTTGAAACCTGAGCACACCACCGCTGAATCTTAGCACTGCCTCGTATAATCGAGCATTCTCCTCCTTATAAATACTGCCTGTTTATCATGTAATTATCAGCGTCATCATAGCCAATTCAATATTCTATCGATATTCAGTATTTGAGCCAGTATTCGGACATTATCCGTTCCGACACAATGTAATTAGCTAGAATATCTATTACAGATCAATTCAGCTTGATATTTAGTGATTTTGAGGTAATATTTGGATTATTCTAGAATTCCGACACATCCCTCTCATTATAAATACTGCTGCAATCTTTCCTGTAATTATCATGATATTCATTAATTGAATTATTCTCTTGATATCCAGTAATTTATGTGCAATATTCGGACATCGTCCAGTACTGATACTAGTGATTAAGTGCAAAATTGGTAGCTAGTAAATATTTTTGGACCAGAATGTAGCAGATCTCGGCGAAGCTAGCTTCACAGATGAAGATAACAGAGAACAGGACATTATGTTAGATGTCTACAGAGCGCCAGAGGTTATTCTCAATATGCATTAAGACAATGCTTTTGATATTTGGAGCATTGCTATGATGGCCATGGAGGACAATTACCGTTATATTCCCTTCATATTCCGGTGGCATTATTATTTGGTAAGTTGCGTATTATCTTTTTCTAGGACGAAAATGACCAACAACCCCTGGGTACCAAATGGTAATACAAGCTGGCTCGATCTGTAATTTTATATATCCAGGCTCATAATAGCTATTTCGAAAGTAAGCAGGGGTGCTGTTGCTCGACACGGGAATGCCTCATAATGATTTTTCACATTTACCAGATCCTCACTGTTAAAAATGCCCCTAATTCTCAATCTGATTCCTCATCGCTGACTCTCATCCTGGGCTAATACTGACTCTTTACCACCCCTAATCAGCGTTGGAGCTAGTGACGGTGGTACGGTGCACTCGCAATTTGTTCAGTATCCATGGATGTAATGGAGTGCTTTTAGGTGGGATGAGAATCGTGGATTGTAATATCATAAAACAGTGGCATAACTGGGCAACCTCACCTCGTCCACATTCAACTCTACCCTTACTATGTGAATAATCAATCGAACCCACCTCTCATAAATTTCAACAGAGTCCTTGCCGCCGTCTCCTGATTCATTTCATCCCCCTCTTTCCAATTGGTTGGCTTTTCATCCGTCAGCACAGAGAGATCCACAGGCTCCGATAGATCAGTTGGCGCTAGCTGCGCCATCAAGGTGCTGAGTTTGATTCGGTCCTCAAGGCACTTTCTCCTATCTCTCAAAGATTCCCATGCTGCATCTGAATAGGGAACTCCGGCATTTTGGAATAGCGGAACCATGGCCTCAAAACAATCCAGTTTCGATAAGCTAGCTATATCCAAGGGCGACGACTTCTCAAAGTCCGAGAGCTGTTTGCTAAGAGCAAATTGCGCTAGAGCCAAGGGAGTACTTTCCCCGTTTTCACATTGCTGATTATATTCTGTATCGGGCAACCCTAAGTCCTCTCTATCACTTTCACTTAACTGATCTATGCGCATTGGGATTTCCGTATCAGCCCTATGAGCTAAAAGAGCAGTTACCATTTCTAGATTTCCTGCAACACTGGCTATACAAAGCGCAGTGCCTAGGATCGGGTGAACAGAGTTAATATGCTCTGCAGTATGGAAAGCTGTAAGAACCGCTTGAATAACCCTGGAAGAAACTTGAGACCTGTCGTTTATCACGTTGAAGGGACAAAGCGCGATGGTATGTAGGGCCGTGAGCTTTCGCTTCTTGTTGACTATGAAATCCACTTTAATGGCAGGCTGTTTATATTAGTTCCCATCAATATACTAGAAACTTGATAGAAATACTCACGTTATTAGAATTGGCATCTAGTTTCCGAAAGATATAAGCCAATGATTGCAAGGTGGCTTCCGTATGCATCAGAAGTAGTTCACCAAGGACAGTGACCCACTCTTCTTCTTTGTCAGACTGATACAATGCATTGATATCAGCACCGTTCTCCAGAAGCAGATCGGAGAGGTCGAAGTAGCGATTTTTGATCGCCAGCGCTAAACTTGATGGACTTCCATCTGGTAATGGTTCGATAGCCATCCCTGACCGGATAAGATACTCTGCTATAAAGGTTCCATTATGAGATGTTCGTGGACGGCTAGCAGATATCTGGAGCAAAGAGAACTGTCTTCCATTGTAACCGGTGCGTTTTACTCCCGTTCGTGCACCACGGTTGACTAGAAGTCGGAAAATGGCTTCATGGTTCATCAAAACTGCCTCCTCGATAGGTCGGTGGCCAGGAGAGCCGTTTGGACTATGTCCTAGCTCCAACAGTGCCTCCACAATATCGTAATTTCCTAGCTTCACTTCCTGACATAACTGCATACCCTCTATTAGTTTCCCGGAATCTAGACTTCTCCAATCCCGAAGTCTTTCGTGTCTTCGATGTAAGATCTGAAGCGTCTGAAGCATCCACTGCTGATAATTAGAACCGCAACGAACCAACCTGCTTTGTAAAGTAGTTGGATCAAATGGAGTTATTCGATTTTCATGAGCAGCTCGAAGCATGTCAATCTCGTCAAATATTGGCGTCTTTTCTAGAAGCACTTGGTCGATGAATAGGAGCAATACTTCCAGAATATGAGGAAGAGTAAGTACAGCCGCTAGCTCCGTGGGAGATTTGACATTAGTGTTGTTTTCATGTCCCACTTTGGCTAAGGGATTTGCGCCGAGTTCAAGGAGGACTCTTACAGCAGGAAGGCTCCTCATTAACACAGCCCTCCCTAGTGGTGTTGTTACAACGCCAAAATTGTCCTCCCAGTCAGCATTTATCATTCTAACGTCTTTTCGCATCGCACCACTGGCATGTTCTATATTAGCGCCGGCATCTACTAAGGCTTTTGCAAGAGGTCCCATTTCTTCAGGACTGAAGCTACAAAGCCAGTGCAAAGGAGCTTCTTCACCGTATTTTGTTCCCCCTCCATTGGCTCCGCATCCAACGAGATACATGGCACAGTCAAAGTGGCCACTGCGACAAGCACATGTAAGAGGTGATTCAGCCAAGGATTTATTTGGTAGGTCAATGCTGCACAAATACGTTTCAACCATGTACTTCAGCGCTCTCAATTTTCCGAGAATTGCAGCCAAATGTAGGAGACCGTGGCCCTTGTGGTTAACAAAAATTTTATCAAACTCAGATTCTTCGGCTGTTGTGAACTCTGTTTTCTTGTTCTTCCCGAAAAAATTCAAAAAAGGACGTGAAAGATTCTTCCGCAAACAGGAATTATATGTCGTTCCAAGTTCATCCTTGATCTGACCTTCAAGGATCGAAATATCATCCAGATCGTAGCATCGGCGTAATTTTCGAGGGACAAAGTGAGGCATTCCGACCCCACCAGCTACAGTTCTCCTGACCCAATCCGCCTCTGTCATCATACTTTCCCATCGTACCCGTTCATCTGTATTGGTTAGTTGCTCAATTATTTTTCTTCCGTCCTCAAGACAGTTTTGATGACCTCTTATAATGCCCCATCGAATGTACTCTTGTAGCTCATCCAGCGTAAGAGATATCGGTACAGAAAGCGCGGTACTAACGCGCAATAACCAAGCCATCGCCCAGTAGTCGACATCACCCTGGTCACCAGCATCGGCAGATTCCTGTAGCCAATGACACGCTTGTTTACCGTCAAATGTTACTCCAAATCCAGATAGGTAGCATTGAAACAGGTAATATGCAGCTTTCCATGGCTGTAGGCCATCAGAGGTTCCTGTTCTGTTTTTTCGAGCTGCCTCCCTGAAATCGTCGACAATCTGCTGCTGTTGAACCCAGTCAAGAATTTCCTTTAATTTCTCAGGTTCGAATAAAAATTCCCCTATATCTGGATGTGACAGCTTCTGTCGATAGCCCGGGGTATTTCTTTGGCAATCATAATCGTTACCTAAGTTCCCAAGAAAGAAGCCAATGTTGTCAGCGGTCATTCCGTGCGACCCCGGCGGTTCAGTACGCTCGATATCATCCCTCTCATCATTCGCAGCAGCGACTTTCTGAAGAAATGAATCTATTTTGTTAAGATGCATGCCTCTCAGTGCTGACTGTGCTCGAGAGAGACACCTATCCTTTGGTTCGACCAGGATTGTTTGCGCTAACACATACAAGATCAATTCCAGCGCGCGATCACTGATCCCATTGTTCGAAGAATAGCTCTGGACACTGCACACTGCTTTTAGAAGGATTTCATCGCTGAGTTTCAGCTCCTGGATTAATGTCTCAGAAGACTCCGTTGGCTTGGAATCTAGTCCCAACTCCGTTGCGATACTTTTTCCGTCGATAAAGGTTCTCCACACCAGCAGCCCGAAGGAGTAAACATCCGTCTGCTTTATTCCATCAGCAGAGAGTCGCTGTGAAGATTCGGGTGCCTGGTACGGGTAGGTTCCCATAGATAGACATGACAAGTCACGTTGGCCAATGTCCATTACCGCTCCACCAAAATCTGCCAGTTTTGCAGTGTATGGCTGGCCATCTGGTATGTCATAGTTGTTGGCAAAAATAAGGACATTTTCATGTTTCAGATCGCCATGGACGATTCCGCATGCGTGAAGAATTGCAAGCCCACGAGCAACATCATGGCAAAGTTTCTGTTTAATGGCAAACGGCAGCGGAGGATTGTAGACCTGGACATCACGAAATGAACCGAATGTGGCATATTCGATAATGATCTTTGGATATGCAGAGTCTGATTCAGCGGACGAGCCCCATCCGAATCCCAACAAATGGACAATGTTGGGATGGTATCGTAGCGGTTTATGCAACAGCGCACGCAGTTCAAGAGCTACATCGCTCCAATTGTTCCGTCTGTTGCTAGAACTCGTTTATCAGTTAATGTCTAGACTCAAGAAAACTTAAGGCTAAATAAATCATAACTACCAACCGTAATTGGGGCCTTTCCCGCACACTCTTTATCGCAATATATTGTCCCCATTTAGAGAATTGTTGAGACAAGGATACATCATGCTGATGAACTCCAGCTAGCCATTCAGCACGCTCTACGATGAAAGAAGCACCTGATCCAATTTTATGCCTGGATAACGATTTGATCCTGTTGTTGTCATCGACAAATATCGAGTTATCCGTGCGAAGTTCATTTTGTAAATACGAAGCATGGCATATGAAAGATGCAAGACTTCCCTGAGGCGACCATTCTGAGTCCTGCGAGGAGTTTGAATTGTGCGCCTCTGCCTCGGGTAGAGCAGGGTCGGGAGCCTCCGTAACCTCTGACTCGAAAGCAGATGGGTAGAGTAATGTTGTCATGATAGCCTCATGGAGTGTATCCAATTCATGTCACCAAGCACCAGCACATGAGATACCAGAAAATTGTTATCAGTTCCAGTCGTTCTTGTCATTTTCCCACTCAATGTTGAATTGGGAGCCCCCAGAATGCGGTTTTACCCCTCCAAAGTATTCAGCTTCGAGAGAATGCGCAAGTAAAGCCACTCCAAGCCCTCTCGCTTACGACCAGTCCAGCAGTCCAGCAGTGCAGGGGTTGCATACTGCGTACATGCCAGATACTATTGTGGCCACCCAGACCAGTGAAAGTCCTCGTACATGGATGCCCTCAATTTTCTTTTCTTTTCTTTTTTTTTCACCCGCGTGATAGAAATACGCACGGGTCTGGTCTGGCCAGCGTGAGGCACAAATAAGAGGTCTTGTTCGCGCTTGGCAGAGCCAAGGCTGAAGCGCATCCAGAGAGATGGACAGAGAACTTATCAAATGTTGACCATCTCCTGAAAATGTATGGAGGTTTGGATAAATGCAATTGAAGTGAGGTTGAACGTTTGATGTCGAATTAAGGTTGCCGGACCCTGATCCAGAGTTAACATCATTCATAATCAGCTACTATTTATCGCTTACATTTCGTCCCCATTGACAATGCTCGACCCAGGAGCCATCATTGCGTTAACTCTCCTCGCATATCAAGGGGCTGACCATGCATGGCATATATTCCAAGATGCCCTACACTACTCTTCAGACTCAGAAGACTTACTTCTCCAACTTGAACTTGAACGGTTCCGCTTCCAAACATGGGCAAAAAATGCAGGGCTCGCAGAGGGCGGGCTCTCTCCAGGCTTGCTTCCAATATATGAAATTGTGGAAAGAACACTACAAGTAATTGGTGAACTATTCAAAAATGCCGATGAGCTACGTGATAGGTATGGTCTCTGTGCCTCACGGTCGGAAGCGGTGGAGCTGGACAAGGTCAAGCGATTCATCAGCAAGATGAGAAAATCAATTCGAGCGAGTGGCATTAAACTCGATTCTGGAGCAGAAACTGAAGCAAGAAATGAAATTGAGCAGCCATGTGAACCTGAGGCAGGTCGGCCTATCGGACGGGCAAAACGCTTGCGATGGGCTGTTCAGGATAGGAAGCAGTTCCGGAAACTGATAGCCGATCTCGAATCATACGTTGCAAAGCTCAGCCAACTACTTTCGGAAACGCAGCAAAGATCTGTAATAGACGATCAGAAGAGAATTGATATTGTCTTTGTGGGGAATGCCAATGATGATGGGTCTCTTCAGTGGATCCGAGATGCTCTTGGACAAGAGCCACAAACTTCATCGATCCGTGCGTTGGTGGAGCGAAAAGCATTGGTTGATGGGCGGCCCGCAGGGCCACACTCCGGTCCAGCAGCTCTCATCCCTTTGATGATGACGGAATTTTCGACCCCTGCTGGATATCAGACGCAGAATCGTTTCGTGGCTAAAAGTATCCAGTCCGGCGACTATGTCCTTCTAGAAAAGAAGTCCTATGATAGCGATATATCCATGCAAGACAAGCACATTCTAACGATGAGAGTGAGCCGCCTCGTTCTCCTGTTAAGTGCAACCAAGTCTCCAGATTTTCAAACCTTACGAGCAATTGGGCTTATTCTCGATCCGACAAATCATTGCTGGTGGATAGTCTTTAAATTCCCAACAACGATCATACCAGCGATTATCCCGACCGCGGTCTCGATTCAACCAGTATCGCTTCTTTCTCTGCTGGAATCGAAGCTGCGACCATCACTGGAAACTCGCTTTCGCCTCGCCAACAAGCTTGCCATTACACTGTCTGAGCTCTATAGCAGCAGCTGGCTACACAAAAATATACGCAGCGAAAATATCATTTTCCCGGCCCTGTATGAAATGAAACCTATTCAGAAAAAGGAACAATGGCCGCTCGGCGCCGACTCTAGTCTGCTTTTATCACCACTAGTTGCAGGTTTCAATTACTCTCGACAAGAGACAGAGACACAAACAATCGACAAAAACCGGTTCCATGACGATATCAGGCCAGTGATCTACAGGCACCCGAACTACCAAGGTGATGCGGCCCAGGGATACCGGATTGATTACGATATCTACTCTTTTGGACTCGTGTTGGCAGAGATCGCGTGGTGGGTGCCTCTGTCGTCATTCCTAGATGCGAAGTTGTCCAATGATTCTGCATCATCGACAAAGAACCGTGTTTCAAACACTACAACTACAGCTCCAGCTACTAGCACCTCCGCTACTTCAGTTCAACTTTCCTCCACTATGAAACGGTTCCAGCAACCCGAAGCGCTGGAGCTGCAAAGACGTGTGACCTCGCGAGCGGACCGCGAGTTACCGTTTCGAGTTGGCACGGCATATTTTGATGTCGTGAAATGGTGCTTGGGCTTCGCTGATCGGCATAATGACGTCGACGGCACCATAGGCGGGAGAGCTACGGCTGATACCGTTGCTGCCACTACTGCAAGTGAGGGCTTTAATGATTGGCACCCAGCATTGGAGTTTTATAACCGGGTTGTTGTACCGCTCAAGCAGCTTGCCAACTGACTGATGCATGTTGATTACATGCATGTAGTTTTGATGATGTCACATCAAGGGGGTTTTCGGCGATGTATCGTAGCGTCGATGAGTTTGTAAACCCGCCCTACTTTTATGGTTCTTCCAAGTGTGCAGGGAAGCGAAGGATACAAGGTCGTCATTGATTGACTGGAAGTGTAGCGAGCTGATTGAGTAAAGGGGTTAGCTAGTAGATGCATCTGGGCGAAACTGACATTTTTGCTAGGATGTGATATATCGAATGGTTTGAGAAATTATTGGCCTTTAGATAACGTGCAAGTATTCCTATTTTGCGATTTTTTATTTGCTTGGTTTGTCAATCTGAGCTCGGGAAGTGGATTGGCGAATCCTTGTTGGTGATTATTGCTGATCATGGTTGTAACCCTGACGAGCGGAGTTTAGCGATCATGGCAAGGTTCACCCAACATCAATTATGCACTCAATCCCTCTCCATTCCCCCCGGAATTGCTGAACAAGTTCCATATATCTGAGACTCCACATAACCACTTCCGTCCGACAATATATGTACGCACTGCATTGTTGAGGGGAGGGGAACACAGACTTAAAACAGTAGACGGCGAAAACAAAAGCATCGAGAACGGGATATATGTAACGCTACAAGCTATGATATGAAATCAAAGAAGAAACAAACAAGCGAGAGAGCGCTCAGACATGTTTTGTTGGGAGATAACACTATGGGAACTAAAATTGAAAATGCGTGCCAAAGCGTCAAAAGCGAAATAAGTCCTTCGTAGACCTGTAGCGCAGTGACATACCCCCATAGCCAACACCAATGTTGCACCTAGAAATTCTGGATGGGATCAAGCACGAGTGGGCAATGTCCTTGAAGCTCTTAAGGAGCAGAGCATCCCTAAAAACGGGAAAAACGGCAATGACAAGGAGAAGGTGAGGCAAAGTGGCGTGATGTACCGCGGACGGTAACAGTGTTGGCAAATAAATTGGTGAGGACGTATCCAATTCCCATATTTTGCACATCAGACATCTCAGATGACATCATTCCCTCCAGGGACGCTCTTTCTTTCCATAGCTTTAATAGTGTCTTTGATGACTTCAAGATGAAGGCATCGAATTTTGCTTGTTGTGCGGACTGACCCGCGGCGAGCGGTCGGAATTCTTGTTCCGATCATTACCGTCTTTTCCATTTACAGACGGAAGCCTTTCGATCTGCCGCTGTGTATGCCGATGCATGATTCTGGAGTAATCCTCTAGCGGTGTCGGTGTATTGTGCCGCGAGTCGGAGTTCATGGTGGATGAGAGTGGGTCAGCTTGAGGATCGGGTGACTGCCCGTGACGCTCCGCCGACGCAGGACGCGATCCCGCGGTGGACAAGCGTCTATAATCCTGCATATGAAAAGAAAAAATGGATATTGACAAGGCGCAGGAGGGAGGGATACCAGATGCTGTTGGACGCGCGTTGTGTTATGTGAGACTTTTTTTCCATTTAGTAGGCAGAAGTGTATCAGGGGCGAGTACCCCAAGGTCAATAAGAGAAATATAAACATGAATCACTTCAAGCAAACAAGCAAACTATCGCAGATGGTTACTGTTATGGAGGCTGAAAAGCAGAAAAGCAAAGAAAAAGAAAAAAGAAAATATCATCACAGGAATTTTGATATGAGCGTGCATTTTCAAGAATCAGGTATCAAATGGGAGAAAATATGTAGAGCAAGCTTCATGGGACTAAACAAAGTGTGCATCAATGTTGGAGTAAGACCGCTAATAGAAGCAGGTCTAGCAAGAAGTTGGTTATTGAACTGCTTGAGCCACTGGAAATCAGAGACAAACACATCAACGAAATGCTGTGGTGGCGTAGGAAAAAAAGGGAAAGGAAAGGAAGAGTGATATCACTCCAGCTCGAATGGGAAAACCGGAACAATACAGCCACTGAACCACGGCGGGAAGATTGGGGGACAAGTACCTACATAGATCTCTGCGACGTTGAAGGTGAAAAAGTTGTGGCAAACAACTTACCGCGCGACGCTGTTGAGAAGGGAACGTGTGAAGCGGGACTGATCCAGAAAACAATGAAAAACCACCTAGGTTTTGGGAGTTATATGTGAGGAAATAAAGTATTCATGAAGTTATGTCGTCACTGACGGGGCGATGATGATATAGTTTGATAATCCAGCCCCAGCAAACCAACATAACGGTTTCCGCTAGGCAAATTTAATAATTTCTCGAGCGGGAGTGCAGCCACTCACCCCACCATACTTCGTATTCGTACATAGGCACGATATTCTCAAGGCTAAACAAGGTTGAATTGTCAATGCCAGTCAATGGCCGGAGCATTTAAACCCGCGAAGCCTGGTCTGATAATCCTCTGGCCAGGTGGGGAGATGGCCTATCAAAAACCTCCACATGTATGACGTCCAGGAACAAAGTATGCATCACAATCGATGGAATTTCCTGTTGTTTGCGTCTTTCATCGACCATGAAAAGGCCTAGTGGGCGATTATGGGGAGTCGCGGAACTCGCCATATGGTGGATATAGCTCCATATCGGGTCTAGTGAAGAACTTGTAACCCACAGTAGAGATGCCTCAAGTCTATTGTAATTATAGTAAACAACCCTGAGCAAACGGAGGTACTTGATCCCTACACGGAGAAGATTAGCCGCTTGCACGATTCTCAAGTGTCCACCTCAATGACAACGGGAGCATATACAAAATATATCATGTAATCAAGAAAGTATAGTTAATTAATTATGTAGTTTAACTAATCGGTGGGCTGTATCTGGCCAGGACGCTTTGCAAAACATGATCTCGGGGAAACTTGAGGCCAAACAGAGGTCGCGAAGTCAATGAGGTCATGGGCATCATCATTGCCATAAATATCACGTGATTGGCTACTTGACACTTTGCTCGAAGCTGATGAAATTGTCCGCAAGAAACCCTGACCCATTTTCCACGAGCGGATGCGCAATGCTAGCAATTATCAAGGAACCAGCCTGCCTTGCACCGCAATTTTAAAAATAAATTAAAGTGACCAATACTTCACTCAAATATAACAGGAATTCACATCAGACAGAGATAAAATTGTATAAAAGCCCTGTAAACGAGACTCCCAGCGGGTTATATAACGCGTGCAAATAGAAATACCAATAATATATGAACATGAACAACTTTATTCTCATTTATGCCATAAATTAATATAAGAAAAGCCCATGTCATCCGATCGCTGAACGAAAAAAAAACTAAAACCCAATTCAAACAAGAGAGAAAGATCCCGGCCGATGACCACCTTATCATACGTAGCCTAAAGAAAGAGAAACATATCGAGCATCAGCAAACCTGTATCCGGCAAAGAAATAATCACGACCCACAGCTTAGGGAACTTAATCTCAAAGCCGTGAAAGAAATAAGAAGAAGCAGTGGAAGAGAATGTATACCTTTCCTCGCACCCTGGAAGAAGAACCGAACAATAAACACCTGCAGCCCAGCCATTGTCATCATCATCATGCCCTCGATAAGGCTGAAATTGAAAATCCGCTGCTCAGTACTGCGCACAGTGCTGAAATTGCGATTTTCGCGCGTCCGGAAGTACTTCTGGTTACGGCTGATTGTTGACAGCTGAGCTGAGATCTTGAAAATGGATTCTTCGACTGCAGACGCTTGTTCGGGAGGTGCTCCTTGTTTCGAAGGGAGTTGGGCCTTTATTTCGTTTTCGACCTGTAAGTGGAGAAAAGAAGCATATGAAGATTAGATAAAACAAGATCCAGCACATTATTATACGGGGGTAAAGGTGGGAGGTGCGGAGAACAAAAAGCATACCGCAATCTCAAAATCTACCATCTTTTCCGCAAACGTAGACATCTCATTGTCAAAGCAGAAGCGGTACTCGCCTACAGTCTCGGCGTTGAAGACGAAATCACCCTGTCTCTCTCTGTGCCCGTCGACGATTACCTTCTCATCGGGACCCACGATTGAGTAATCGACATCGAAAGAGCCACCCGATTGGACCTGCCAAAATATAACACAGAATTCAGCCGCCGTTCCCATACGCTGATGCTGCGAGGAGCAACGACAAGCGATTCAACCCAGCGATCGCAATTGGCCCCTTATATCAAAATCCATTAGAGTAATCAGATATACTAACCGCAAAATAAAATGCAATCTTCGCTGGCGGAGAATCTACATATGAGTAGAAGCAGGCCTTCTCACTCGCATCAAGCAAATATGTGAGTGCGGTCGCGGACACGAGGGTGAGCCCATGGGCCAGCGAGCCCAGCACAACTGTACGTAGCCGCATTGTTCAAGTTCCAATGGGCCGGGGCTTAATGTGATATTGTGGATTTGAGAGCGAGATATTGTTGCAAAAAGGGGAGGATGATGCTGGGTCGACAGCTACCCTGAATTTGACAATGTTGTCTCCTTTGGCCTATTTGGCCGGAACAGGGGCTGTATTTGCATTGTTTGCATCACTAACCAACTAGGTAACGCCAAGCTTTGTGATGAAAGATCCTAGTGGCAAATGCTTTTCTTGATAGCTAACTCCAGTACCCGTTGAGGCCATATATTGGCGATCCCCATTACGTTTCTACCACACCATGATTGTGGTCGGGGTTGCCAATATTTATGGTCTAGCACTATACCTTCAACATAGCTTTTCTTATCCAGGTATGGGCAGAAAGAAATTTGATGAAAAATGAAGAAAAAACAAGCACAACGAACTAGAAGCGGTGAAAATCGATATATAACCCATTTGCTCCCCTATCCTCCATTGCCAACTTCCTAAATATCTGTACATGTATTTTTAACTCCGTGTGGGAGGTAAGAAGGTAAACCTTTGTTTAAATTAGGATGCTGGCAAAATGCAATCCAGCAGCTTCTCTGTTTTTGTTTGAAAGAGAAAAGAGAAAAGAAAGAAAAAAGAAAAGTAACAAAAATTGGTAGTTGACTAGTTCCGTATCGCAACGAAGCAGAAAAGGAAAAACAATGTCGAGATATGGAAGGAAAGACAAGATGAAGAAGTATAGAGATAGAGATAAAGATAAAAATAAAAATAAAAATAAAACGAATACCATTGATGATCAAGTTAAACCGCCATAGACCGTAAGAAAGAGAAGGATATGAAAGGATATGAAAGAACATTAAAACGCCTGGCCTCTTCAATTATGCATCTATCGAATAAAGAAACTTTCGCTTCTCCAGAAGCTTCTGTTCTTATTTACATGATCCAGTCCGAGCACATCTTGTGGCTCGGTGGCTAAATCGGCGAGAACGTCATCTGGAAAATAACCGTGAAACAAAGTTAGTGACCACAGAATGAGAACACCCTAGACCTGGTAGTTCAAAACCTATTGGGGAAATATGAGGAAACGAATTTCCAAAGGAAAGTACGTACCATCTTCAATGTATCTTGGGGTACAGAACCCTTGACGTAAAGCCATGGCAAACTTGATTTTCTCAAACTGCTTGCCTCGAATTCCTGTTCGTTTCGAGAGCCGTTCCTTGGTCTCCTTGAAGATCTCGCCCTATAGTTTAGAATATGAATTAGCAATGCACATTCCCTCTGTGAGACAGGGGGTTATGGAGTAGTAGTAGTAGTGGTAGTTAGACATTGAAAAACAATATATATACGAACCGGTTTCACAACAAATCTAAAAGGAACTCCATGTGGCTTATTGGGCTCCTTATCAAAATTGAAGCAATCAATTTTGAATTCACCTTCTTGCATGTCAAGTTCCTCCTGTGGTATCCGCTCGATATAGAGAGTAACATAGTCCGAGAGGCTGAGAATGCTATAGTTTTCGGGGATCTCTTTGTAAACTTTTCCGCCATAGACCTCATAACAACGCAGATTTTTGGACGTCTCTTCATCGAGGTTAGCCCTCTTCCGGAAGCTTAATAGTAGATCACCAATATTGCCGCTCTTAGAAACAAGAACGTCAAATGGTTGCTGTAGCAGTAGATCCTGTTAGACGGCCAGAACATTATCAACTGAAGTGGGGTAAGCGAACCTCTTTGGAAATGCCATCCGGAAGCCAAGTGACCTTTATTATCTTCTTCGTTTCATATTCGCTTAAACTGGTTTCCAAAATTTCGTAATAAAGGGCGTCTGGTCGATGCGCAGCATACCCGTAAGCGGAATACTGGCTGGTGAGAATCTGCTGGAGATTTTGGGTCGCATTCCGTTTGATGAACGGCTTAGGTTTTCCACTATTCTGGAGTACAGGTGCAAATCGTATATGAGTCGGATCGACATTCAAATGTTCACCAACTTTCGTTGTCCATTGCTCGTATGTCATCTTGCGGCTGAGTGTCAGATCGAAAGTTTCGCTATCATCTGGCTTTAGGGGAGCAAATTTGACTGAGATACGGTTGAGGAGGTAATCGTAGTATTGCCTCGCATCTGTATAAAGGACAGTAGGAGGGAGTCTACAAGCAGGATTAGTTGCTAATACCAAGGAAAACAGGAGAAATGAACATTTGAGGTATTTCATACTCAGAATCGTTGACTTGGCGTTGGAAGCAGATGATATCCCCATCTTGTATTTCCGACTGTTGGAACGTCTGTTTAGATTTCATTGGCTCAATCATGGAGTGTTTGATTTCCTAGTTGTTGTGGTAAGTTGCGAGCCGTAGAATGTGCTGGGGAAATTAAATACATACCTCATATAATATGAATGGGGTTCCTGCAGGCCAATTCATAATCTCCAGTATTGGCCCGGCCAGTTCTGATACTTTAGAGTGCTTTCGAACAAAAGCATGACCTACTCCAGTGAGAGTTTGCTGGAGAACATCAAAGTGTTTCAGGAAAACGAGGCTCGTCGCGTTATTGCCTGAGGTTTCTGGCCAGGTTACTTTCCCATCCGTACCTGTTTCTCCTACCTCGACAAATAGCCGGAACTGATTTCCCTTGGTACCAAACCGAGTAAACGCCTCCTCAACAGACATTTCGAGATCTTTCAGGGGCTGATCAGGACGTGTTGTTTTATTTTGACGATTCACCATCACCCATAGCCTCACTTGATCTGGTGTCAATCCCTTTTCTTCCGCGATCTCGGCCGCAAACTCGCCAACTTTCTTAGCCCTAAGGACGCGGTGTATTTTCGCAGCTGCGGGATTGTCAGGTTCCAAATCTAAGCTGGTCAAATCAAATCCGTGATGAGACTTGAAGGACTCATCGGTTAACAATCCAACGTTCATATAAAGATGTTGTTCCTCCCGCTCCTTTTTCTTCCGCGCTAACTCAGCACGTTCCTCATTGAGACGCTTTTCTATTATGATTCAGATGGGTTAGCAGTCAGCGCCTATGTATTTATTAAACGCAATACACAATGGAATGACGTACCGAGGTGTGCAGGAATGTCATCTTTCTTCAAACTAACAAGTACATCATCCACGCGAGATTTCCTGATATAAACCAGCATGTATGCGTTCATTGATCGTTTCGTGGAGAAGCCTCGCATGTATGGTTGTCTAACCCCGGCTGTTCCGTTTGCGAGGTTGGGATATTCCCCACCAAAATTTTCCTCCAGAGTTTCCTTCATGGTTGCGCGAATAACCTTGTCGTCGTCAAATCTATAGAATAAACTGTCCTTAGTTGGTCGCAGATATGCATAATAGTGCCCAGCATTGAAGTCACCGCTATGCACAAGAACGCCGTGTAATTGATAGATCCAAGGTTCTGATTTATCTGCATCCTCGGAAAGATACGGTGCCGCGTCAAACTCTTCTGGAAACTCGAGTCTGTCGTTGATTTTCATCATAGCGTCTCGGTTGATGTCATATTCGAATCGTTTGAGATGAAGGTGAAGAACAGGAGGGAAACTCTCAAATATCACGCCCTTTTTCGCCTCCTGTAGTTTGTATGGTTCCCCAGCATCATACTTGTTCTCTCCCTCTAAGGTTTCCACCTGGATGTAATCTTTGAAACTGTCATCCAGCGTCCGATTCCCTCGAACGTTCAGTTGGATATCCCAAAAGTCCTCTATCCTGGACGACTCGTAGTCAACGTGAATGCAGGATATATATGTCTTTGTCTTTCCAACGAAAAGAGAGGGAAGTGCTTTTTCGGCAGGAGTGCCTTTCATCTGTCCTTCGAGTTTGTCCATTAATAACCTGGAAAGTTCTTGGACATCCTGTTGTTCAAAAGTATGTCTCGATTCCCAGCCAAAGGAGGACGTGAGTTCGGCTGTCGACACTGGAAGATCGCTAGTTTGCAGATGGTAAAATAGTCGCTGAAGGGTCCACGCGGAATTTGACCTATTGGCATCGTGTTCTGTGGGTATTTGATATACGGCCTACCACTTTGTATTTAGCAGCTGTTGTGAGCACGGAAGGAGATGGAGCCTCACCTTTCGGAACGAGTTTGTAAAAAATAGAGACTGTAGTAATGAATTTAGATAGCAGGTGGCACCCTGGTTTCTGAGCCCTACCATCCCAGTTTCTTTCTTCGAATCGTAACTACGGCGGTCTATTAGCTTAGTAAGGTCTAAGTAGTATGACACGATATACAGACTTTTGGAAACTATGCCATAAAACTCCTGTTGGATCCTTCACAACGCGGACATATGCGGTAACGTTGGCGGCTTCATTCTCTACCAACGGAGTACCTTTATCATTGATGGATTGCTGGAATAATTTCCGCAGTTCGCAAAACCGTGTAAAACCCCAGTCGGCCTCATCCGCATTAAAGCGGTGGTGTGCGACTATGGAGCCGGGAAGTCAGCCAGGATCCAGTAAGTACTATATATCCTATTTCGGTGATAGAAAAAGGGCTGCATACCATGGGTGATATATAGCGAAGGGTCATTTTTATTCCAGAGAACCAAAGCAAATTGTACACAAGCATACCAACCATCCGGAGGTGACTTCTCGAAGCCGTGTTCGAGGTAGAAGGACGCATGTTCGACACCGTTCCCGAATGGGAAAAACAGGACGCGCCTATATATTTCGGGGTTAGAGGGCAAGCTTTCACTTTGCGAACGATTGCATAACGGGCTGGGACCTGGAAGTATCAGGAAAACCCACCATGGAGCTCCTCCGCATTCAAAAACCGGACCGTGCTCCTTCCGCCGCAACTTTGTCCAGTTCTCGATGTTCCATGTATGATACGTCTGCGCTTCTGTTTCCAAATCCGGATTCTCAGGAAGCACCTTTGCCATCATCGCCTCAACTGCAAACAGAATGAATTGTTAGAACGTAAACCAACCCAAAGAACACCACACCACATCATATAATCTATTATGGTAGATAGGGCGTAGCTGGCAGCCGGCGGTGGACGGTGGATAATGGGCGGCGGTGGACCAGAGGTGAGAGCAATGTCAGGCGGGGCATCGCAATCGATAAGGAACCATAATACAGAAACGGGGATACCGATAACTCGTATTGCCAGAGCAGAAACAAACAAGTAAAGAAAGAGGAGGTGGAATAGGGTCAAGGACATACAGTCGGTAGCCAGAGGCTCCGGTTCGGGCTCACTGGCGGAGCCAGGTGGAGAGACGACGACGACATCAGAACGGTCATTGCCGTACTGGTCGTAGTCATCGACAACCATATCATTATCCGTAAGCTGCAGATTACCCATTAAAGAGGGCATGTCAGCTGCATTCCCATCGCGGTCAGCCATAGTGGCTACGGTTGGCCGTTGAAGGGGAAAGTTGGGGCACCACATGTGTGTAGTTTTGAGCGAAGAATTCGTTTGACCGCACTCACATTGTCCATTTGCTAGCAGTATATGGCCGGGGCAATGGCGGGAAGCAGCTCTCTGCCTCGTAGTCCCCAAAATTCAAGACACGGAATCAAAGAAACCGACGGGTAGGCACTTGTGTTGTCAGCAAATGTCGATGGTGCACCGAGTTCGAGTGTGGAGAGTAGTTTGGTGTAGTTGGCGTAATGACTTTTTTTGTTCTCTAGCTCACTCTTTTAACTCATCGTTTGAGCGTCACAGGGCTGAGTGGCGGGACTTTCGGTCCTGAGAAGTCTATTGTGATCTAGTTATCCTGTTCAATCGGTCCAACCGAACACTTGTGAACGGTACCAGTATTTCTCTGCATAGCTTATTCGACTTCATCAGCTTTGTGCTATTTTTCTACCTGGAAACAAGGCCGTTGCGGGTGGACACACTACGGTTCTGCCAACAACATTCAATCACCGATATCCAGGAGCATGATAAGATATATTCTCGATATTCTCAATATTTTTCAAGATATATATACCAGCGAAACGGCCCTACCGCCAACATTAACTGTGTATGTGCTGGTAAGTGAGTGCTACAGCGGTGGACCGGTGAGCATCCGCGAAGGATATTTGTCCTCTAGTTACTGTCCATTAAACATCGCCTTGTTTAGCTCAAGTGTCGAGCGTCAAGCTTCTATTAACTTAGCACATAGTTATCTCTTATTCGAAAACAGAATATATCTTGGTTTGGTCAGTTTTTCACCACATACTCTGTCTGGGTGTATCCAACTGCGGTGCAACATTTACCATAACTATGTCAAAGCCAACTGAGATTAGTTACAGCCACGATGAGGTCTCATTCATTTAAGTTGCCTTGATTCAATGCTTGCAACACACATATCACCAATAGAAACTTTGATGGAGGAGTTGGAGTGACTGCTTTGCACTGAAAACCAAATGATCGGGCCATAGCATCCATTCAGCAAAGCATGGATTCAACCTGCGTCATCTATCCTCATTCATCGTAGCGAGGTTTCCCAGATCTGACAAAGACGTGAAACAGCATGATATCCTGCAAGTCTTCACAGCATTTACCTGAATCTGCACATATAACGACATCCGCCTGGCAGAATAAGCCTCAGACCTTCTGTCATTCCACAATTGGTAGGTCGTCTCGGAGATTGATGAAGAGGGCCAAAACCAGTATTGAAAAGAGAGTAAAATCTAGAACAAAAGAATAGTGAGAACGAAGAGGGTTCAGGATCGAAGATTGCAAGCAAGATAAACATGCTTCATAAATATTGCAAAGATGGATCCCACTACCTTGAGACGAGATCTGTTTGAGGCCTTACTCCCCATTCATTGTCAAGAATTCCCAGTCAGAATTCATCAATATTTAGGGCCGAGATGATGAAAGTTTGCCTTCGCGTATGACCACCAGACCCATTCTCGAGGTGTTCCTTTGTGTAGATGATTCACGGAGGAACTTTGTAAGGGGTATTTTGTGCTTTGTCTACATAAGGAGATTTTCCGCCTATCCCAATTGATACCAGGAGAAAAGCAGCTGAATCGGAACTACTATGAAGTTAGCAACGAAGAATCAAGCTTGGCTGACCATAGGCTTCCTTGCCCATCAAGCCTCTTGGGCTCCAGCGTTTGCAAAATCCGTCCCCCAAGTATTGATAGTGGCACGTCTTCTCCAACAAGAGACACGGGGTATCTTAACCTGATTCTTTACACTATCTCCTTCTATTTCACGCTAAAACTCGTGATTGGAGCTGCAGATGTCTGCCAGAACTCCATGTTGTGTCGTCCTTTCCCGTGTCAAACTGGAATCAATATGCGTTGTGGATGTTTCCGTCAATACATCGACTTTATAACCATACTGCATTGTTGCTGAGCAACTAGATAAGACTGGTAGAAATTCTGCTAGGCCAAAGCAACGACAACCTACAGCTACAGCTACATCATACGACGCTGCAAAACGCCCCTGCTTCCGAAAGTTCCATGCTGCGGCTGGACCAGGAATTCCGGCTTAATGCCGGTAAAATGGGCCCCAGGTATTTCATTTCTCTGCCAACTTGAGAGCGGACTTGAAATTTCAGCGATATACAAACCCCAGAGATTAATATGGGTACATGCTCTATGCATTGATCAGGACAGTCGCCAAGTGCGCTCACATTGGGTATGCGATGTGGGACATCTATCGAAATGCCAACAGGTGCTAATTTTAATCCGAGAAGAGAAGAAATATACAGCTACATCATTTGAGATCATGCCTGGATTGACAGAGCATCGGGAACCAGCTATCAAATTCGTCTAAAGCGCTTGTGGAACTCCATTATTCGATGTATTCACTCGGCCGTACTTCAGACAGACGTGGATCATACGAGAGTTAATTGTCCTCAAAAACAGCCTTTGCGATATGTGGAGGCAGGAAGGCCGACTGGAATGCTTCCGCGGGGCTGCAAACCACATTATTCAAGTTGAGCTACACCAAGACCATCTATCCTACCATGCACAATATTCTGTTCACCCAACGTGCAAACTAGGTAGAGTTCTGGACATTGACATTCTTATATTCGATTGAAACAAATGGAGCGTAGCCTAACGGCTTCGTAAAGGGTGTATGGTTAGAAATTAACAATAACAAATAACAAATAATAAATAATAAATAATAAAAACAAAAACACAACACAGCAAACCAAAACGAAGAGCGGGTCAAACTCCTAAGCTCAAACTCCAAGTCCGCTAGTATGCCAACCATGGTATGTCTATCGAGAATAATCAATCCCTTTCATATTTCCAGTTGCCCAACCAATTACAGCGCCCAACATACCACCTGGAAAAAAGTCGTTAATTTCGGTTATTTGCTTTCTCCGCAATCGGAGACTTCAAATACTTGGGCCCAAATTCCAGGACAATCCACTGGCAGAACGCCGTCCAATCGGCTTCCCAAGTATTAAACGCATCAGCCTGCTGCTTCGGATCCATGCACGAATGTTCAATGCTCCATTCGGCCAGAATGCGACAACCATGGAGCGTGATGGAGTCGATGTGTAGGATGGTTTGATAAAAATCGTGAGAAAGTGAAGAGCTTATCAATTACGAAGGGAATATTTGTGTTAGCCACCACACCATCCACACGCACAACCATTGGAGGTGAAACTACCAGGGAAAAATAGATGAACAAATGGAATATAAACACCTCAAGAACTTACCTGAAATACGCTGGATTATCACTATTAATCGTGCAGGGTACCGCATTTGCTAGAAGGATTGGTAACACATGATTCTTCATGGATGGGCACAGATGCAGGATCTCATTGGAGATAGGGCAGATCTCCAGCGCAATTCCGCGCTCTCGGCACATTTGCATGAGTAGTGGGTGCTGGGGGATCGCGAAACCGTGGCCGATGCGCTTGGAGTCAAGAAGAATGGCATCGTAAAGGTTGTTGTCTGTTGGACCCTGACTCTCTAGGGTTTCTCCTGCGTGGAAGATAAACGGGATATCCAAACCGAGGTTGGTGCAGGTGGCTCTAAATTGCAGGAGTAAGGGGAGATAGTCGCGGATTTGGTTGCCGCGGCCTTCGCAGCCGACCATATCGAATCCTGAAAAGTGATGATGATGTTTTAGTTAGGTTCACTGCAAAATGAATAACGAGAGGCCCTTCATTTACCAGGGTTAGACAGGTGAATATCACGAACCGCAGATCAATTCTGGAAATTCTTGTTTTAAGGAGATGCAATCGTCGAGACACCAGGTCATTTCTTCGCTTTTGATAGAGCGGGGAGCACAGTAGATTACTTTTAGTCCTTTGAAGCGGCTAGCACCGTTTCCACCGGCATCGAGTTGCTTGATTGTGGCATTGACTTCGTCCCGGATGATCTGCATCCAGGAGCGGTGATCTAATTGTCTCTCACCGTCATCGCTGACGATATATTTGTCGAAGAAGTTTGGTCGGACTTCGGCGTACATAATGTTGTCTTCGACGAAGCTGTGAATAGCTTTGCCGATGTAGTTTCGGAAAGCGGATTCATAATTAAACAGCCCCTTCATCATCTGTGTGCGGCGGTTAAATAGATCCCAAACCCTAGGTATTTATTTAGTAAGACGATATTACCTGATCGAATAAAGGGGTAAAATAAAGTTGTTATCATACTCCTCTAAGTTTTGGTCAATCGCGTGCGCATCCTCCAGCGAAATAAGCAGTTTCTTCACCAACCATTCCTCCGCCTGTTCCCTGCCGCCAGGAAAATCCTCGAGAAATTTGGAATATCTCATCCAAGCTAGAGGTTCGTAATTTGGGTCGAAAATGTCTGCTCCCTCGGTCGAATCTTGCAGCACAGAAAATGTTATTGCAGCATCATTTAAATTGTCATGCACATTCAGAGACCGAGTGCTCCGAATGAACATGCATTTGACATTGCGCGCCTGAGCGACAAGGAACGAAGGGTGGAGAACGGTGTTGAAATGGCAGTGCAGATGCGCTCCCTTTGGCAACTTTCTGGCTACTCGCATCAAGTCACTACCGCGGTTGATCAGGTCAACATTTGCGAGGAAATGGTCTGAGGCGCCGGCTTTGAGGTATCTACTCCGTTCCTCGTCGCGGATAGCCTGCACAACTGAGGCTGCATCATTTTCGATCTTCGGTGCTTTGTCAACTGCGTCGGCATCGAAGGCTAGTTCGAGCTCTTGCTTCCACAGCTTGTCGCGGGCCTTGTTATACCGGGCTATTAGTGACTGGGCGATGGAAGTTGAACTTCCCGTAGCGGATTGGTTGTCGCTCTGGGATTTCTCCTGATTGGAGAATGATGCCAGTGCCCATCGGAACTTGACCATTTTTTTCTTTATTTTCCTGGGGGTGAGATCTTCGATGTGTTGTAGATTTCCAATCCTACGCCGTCGCTTTTCCCTTCGATGTTCGTTGTCCATCCAACACAACTTTGCGAACTGTGCGCATCAGGGAAATATATATAAAACAAAGGTGGGCATCGAATGCCCAGTGAGGCGGTGCTTTCTATCCATTTACCGAAAATAATTTTTACTCAGTTTGTTCCAACTCCCGGCTGGCGTTTTTGGGGGATTCTTCCTTTGTCTTGCGTGATGGCAGATTCCCGTCACCAGCGGCCAAATTGTCAACAATCCACGGCGGATTTCAAGAAGTGGCTGATTCCAATCGAGATCCGAAGATTCTTCCCATTTCGAGAACGGGCTGACCCGCATCATATAAAACAAGAGCTTGAGTCAAATCCAAAACTTGGGCCATAAACGTGTGGCTGTGAAGATTTCTAGCGTACCCTGGCATCCCTTTATCTTCAACGATTGGCCTTTGTTCACGGCCCGTTGGACCACTAAACCAGCCACCGCCAGGGGTTCCAACACATATTAGATTTTGGTAGGCTCGTCGTTGCTTTGTTCAAGCTATATACACATGGGTTACGAGGGCTTCAACCCGGCGCCAACCAGGGCCGTCTGAGGATCGGAGCAACCTTTCCAGCCTACGGGGCAATATGACGGGTGAGATCAATCGAAGTCCAAGACGTGCTAGAGGCTCCGAAAAGTAGCTACTGTCTGCCCAAACTCTCCTCAAGTACAGAGTTGGCCGAATGAATTCAGCAAATTCAAGATGCTCAAATTCCCCGAGAAACGCAATGACTGGAGTCTAGATATTGTTAGCTTGCTCGCCGTCATTGGCGAAAGCGCCATGTCGGCACATTCCCAACCGCTAACGGCTTCAATTCTTTGTCTGCTACCTCGTATCCTGCCTGCTCCTCAGGCGCTTTTAAGACACGAAAGGCCAACCCGCCTCCCCTCCATTCCTGCACATATTGTGAGCATCCACTCCGGCACTCTCCTCGTGGAGCTTAACCATTTTGCAAATCTCCTCTACAGCATCGATCTTCCTAGCTTCAACATTAGAGAGATCCGGATCAAACATCGAGAAGGCTACAAGGAAACGCTCCGCGACGAGAAAAATCTTAGAAATCGTGTTCTTAGAACGCCAAAGGGTGTGATTCATGCCAGGCGTTTTTCGCCCCTATCCATCCTATCAGTTGCATCATTCTTGCTATCTATTGGCCTGTGTGTATGGGCTGTTATCCTCGAGGATGGCGTCGCAGTTGTTGCGATCGTGGTGGTGTCATTAACGTCTAGTATCATTGGATTATCCTCCATGTGGCACGCAAATTTGACGGTGCGGAAACGCAAAACGGTTGTGCCGGACGGTGATCTGGTTGTCCGGACGAGACAGGGAGCATTCATCATCATACGGTGTACGGAAGAGGTCGCCCGCGAGCTCTACACAGGTACAGAAGAATGTAGCTACGTCGTCGGCGACCAGATATTCCGCGCCCTAGTTGGGGTAGGCACATTCCTGCTTATGAGCGCTGTCATCCTGATGGGAAACTCTACTTGGACTATGCAAGCGGCACTCGGCGGTTCATACGTCTTCCTGAACGGTTGCTATCAGATCGCCGCACTGTTCCCCAAAGGCTGGCATTGGAATCTTATACGTTATGAGATGGAAGAGATCAGAAGCATGGAAGGTAATACATACACGCAAGCACTGTGGAAGGCCATTCATGTTTCACAGTCCACCGACTGGGTGCGGGTGAGCCATGCAGCTCCCAACTCCGAAGCATGGAGGGCGTGGATCGATCTAGCCGCGGAAAATATACATGATCCAAATTGGGATGCGCAGAAGGTGTTGGACGACCTGCTAAATGCAGAGATGAACGAGGCTGGATTTCAACCTGTAAAAATGGGTGTTGTGAGGGAGGAATCACTCTCACCTAAAAGTGATGAGAAATGATGATTATCCTTGCGTTTTTGCGTGATGACATTGGTTTAGCATTTCCTGTTTTACGTACGTACTTTTTGATAGAGTTTACGGTTTATAAATACTTGTCGGGTGCTTCGCACGCCCTTGCGCAAATTTGAATTATTAGCTCATGAACAAAGATATCGAGTTGAAGTTATCGGAATAAGCTCGGTACTCCTCCTATCTACCATCTGGTCTACCATCTGGTCCAGATTTCCCGGGTTACTGAGGCTGATGGGTCACTATTGGTACCATCAAAACCCCGGGAGTTGTCCCCAGCCATGGTCAGGCATACTTGAGGCATTCTTGCAGACGAGCGCGGATTTTATTGGGCAAAGGAGATAAATGCCTTTTGATAAACGTCGCGGAGGGTCTGGTAGTATCAGTTAAGGAGTCCCGATGTCCAGAACCCAAATTAGGCTCCCTCAGGTGAAGTCTTGCGGTCGGAAGTAACACACCACCATGCAATATATTCGCGGATCATAACATATCAAGTTGTTTGCTTGTTCAAGGCGAGGGAAAGCCTTGCAGTCCAGCCACTGCTCACGGTGTTTGGTGCCCACATTCTTGCGCCCAACCACCCAAAATCCAAGAGGCTAGGACACTGTAAATTGGGACCCGCAGTATCAGTTGTTGTTCCACTCACGGAAAATGGTATCCTGTTTGGAGACATGAATTCCAGACCGTGGTGGTTGCTTTTCTTCACGTCCCTTGCAGGATACACAAAGGCCATCTGTTCAAAGTTGCAATAGCAAACACAGTATTTCCAATCTCGGTTGGCTCTCGGATGGTGGAGTCACCAGGTAGGTTGTTTAAAAATCCGCTTGATTGTTGTACTCTGCCGTAAAACCCAAGAAGCCCACTGGGCAAAGGATCGCAAGGCGTACAAAAGAAGTTCACCCAGGATCCGGCATCCCTTGTTCAAATAGCGCCTTGTAACTATCACTCACAGTGATAAGGAACTTGTCTGGCCAATGACGAAGCTGCTGGCACCAGACATCTGTGCCAATAGCGTTGGCCTTGGGGCCTGTGAGGTTCTCGAATCTCAGCGGGAGCTTGACAGGGAGAGCTGTTTAAAGTTTCGACACCGTTCTCACCGCCCAACGAATGACACATGCAACTCTCGGGTTATCAAACCGCCCGCATCCGCGCCCACACCCCACAACCTTTTCATCTACTCGATATCTCTCGCATCGTTTTTGGCCAGCATTACAGCAACTGTTTAGGATGATCTAATCACTGCGGACAATGAGTTACGCCGATATACACCTCCTTGAGCAGGCCCATGTCGAGCGTCTCTTGGAAACCATTCCCTGTGCGAGAGACGTGAATGGCATTCCAGGATGCTTCAGCGGCAATCAGTTCAATGGCGGAAAGCCATCCGGCTGAAAGCCTTTTTTGTGCAGACGAGGTTTATCTCATTTGACAAGCAAAGCCCTCCTCCATGGCGACCAGGCTCTGTCCTGGATGAGTGAGTAAATTCCTTGTTCCTCTGGTCCACATCCGCTTTTGCCCAGTATTTATACAGGATTGGGGAGGATTCATTGCTAAAAAACCAACTAAATGCCTTCTAGATGGGTTGAACGTGAAGTGAGACCGATCAGTTTACGCCAGTTGACTTTTTTTGGTCGCACAATAACCGAGTCTCGATTGATTAGCTCTGCAAACTATGTGCGAACAGAGCTTCCCACCAGGTCGGTGCCCATTCGGTCATATATCCGCTCGGAAGCAGGTTGAGGCCACCAATACCGAAAATGATCTAACTCAGCGTTGACCTGGTCATTTTTCTAGAATCGCCCACCGTCTTCGAGACATGCAGAAGCTTCCTTATGTTGTTGTTACCAATCCGCACCTATCCCTCGTTTATGAACTTTACTACAAGGCCTTCGAGAAGTTCCGCGGTGTTCCCGAAATCAGAACCTTGGAAGATAATGACAAATACTGCGATATTCTACGATCCACACTTAGGGAACATTTAACCGTAATACCAAATCTTGCAATGGGTGTATTGGAGTGCCAGAACCTGTTGAACCCGGAAGAAATGGACCGATTTATGAATACTTTGTTGCGTGCGGTACGTTAGGGAGGGAAATTATCTCGGCTTGTGCCTTTCTTTTTGTGGTGGTGAGAAAATTGGCAGGCTGATAATATTTCTCTATAGCGGATTTCTCGTCGAGTTATCGCAGAACAACATCTAGCACTCACAGATACCTTCAATTCCCCTTGGCATTTCCCGGATTCAAAGGATCGGACAGACCTGAACTCGGATTTCGTCGGAGAGGTATTCCTGAGATGCAATGCGAAGGAGGTCGTTGAAAATTGCGGCAAACGCGCGACAACGCTGTTGAAGCAGGCACTTGGACCTGACTGTCGGGTTCCTGATGTGGTTGTTCAGGGTCACATGGGAGCAACATTTCCTTATATCCTAAGTCACTTGGAGTATATTATCGGGGAATTACTACGGAATTGCTTCCAAGCAGTTATCGAGAGATTCGGCGGCAAGTCCGAAATGCCTCCTCCAATTGAAGTTTTGATCTGCGAGGCTCCACAACATGTCATCATTCGGGTTTCTGATCAAGGGGGAGGCATATCTAGAGAAGCTTTCCCGTACCTATGGTCATTCTGCAAGGGACCCCATACTCAAGCCCGCCTTCACAACCTGCAGCAAGTACCTACCATGGCGGCGACAATGCAAGAAGTGAAAGTTTCCGGCACGAAATCGGATGAGCAGGGCGAATCCCGTACCTGCTACTACACTGCAAATGGACATCCGCACAGAGACAGTTCACTGGCATCCCTTAGTTCGCGCCCTCCAAATTTGCGGCTCGGGATGGGTCTGCCTATGAGTAGGGTTTATGCAGAATACTGGGCTGGCAGTTTGGAGCTGCATAGCCTGGAAGGGTATGGCGTCGATGCGTTCTTACAGATATCGAAACTTGGGAATAAGAATGAGCAGGTGACCACAAGAGCTTCGATAGATGCAGTGTGAAATGCAAACCAATTCTCTTGATCTAACTTCTCTGTTTTCACCTTTCTGCCTTGGGCTCCCATTTTTTTTTTTTTTTTTTTTTTTTTTTTTTTGCGCATTGAATACTTTGCAATACATTTTTAATTTAGCATTGCATTGCACAATTGAGAGCTAGGAGCTATTTTATTGCCAGAATTAGCCCTCACAATAATGCTTTTTCCTTTCATGTGGATGCGTCTTTCCTACTGCTAATCTTTACTCAACAACCTGGTTGTTTTTGGGGAAGTCTCGATCATAAAACAAACCAGTTCGAGCCTTCCCAATATAACAACAGCAGGTTTCAATAGTCAATATATGAGTTAGGGTGGAAGTTTACACATTCAACAAATGAACGGTCTGAGGATATAAGTTCTTTACTCTCGAGACAACACCAACTTAGGAGTTCATCAGGTATGCTGCAATAGTACTGAACCACTCTAGTTCGTGTGGCTCAACACCTCCATATTTGTCTGCATTTTATTTATTCTGATGAGGTAGGAGTTTCCCCGAATGATTTCTTCAAGTGCTAGCTGATAAGCGGTCCATCGCTCAGAGTTGTGTTCAACATACATTGACGAATATCGTCCCACACTTCCATATACTGAGCGCACCATCCTTCCCAATGGCTTCCTATCCACAGAAGTATCACTATGGAAATGCGCATGGATATGAATATCCGCATGAGCACCAATCCCGCCTTGACACACCTTGGTCCCACGCACATAATCTGTGTTTCGAACAATGGAAACGCCAATATTATGGAAACCCTCCAGATTTCTACGTAAAAAACCCGTTACTACCTATTATTGATATTGGTGACGAAAACTATTCTCGCGAGGTAGGTTAACTTATCTCCCGTAAACCATACAATCACCGGTTTTGAATAGAGGATTCCAATGGCTGACTGGCAGGTGTGTAGGCAACCAATCCTGCCGATAGGTTAACAGAACAGGAGACGATACCGCCACTCAACCCTAATTCTGGCCCAGCCTTATCTAACGTCACATTCATTCTTTATGGAAACCCATTTCCCGAATGTAATAGTATGGCTGATATGTACCGCCCACGTTTTCATGTGTACCCTGGAGCCGCAAGAGATGCAGTCCCTGAACTTGATGTTAGATTCCGTCGTGAGGGCCCCAGAGTCGTTCACATCGATATGACAAAATCATGGAAGGGCCTGTCCACAGATAAGGCCGAAGAGCTACTGTTCTGGGAGACAATTTTTAGAAATGTCTTAGAATTCCTTTTGCACGATCAACTTGAACTCCTGCTACAACAATGCGGAATCACCACGCTAACGTTTCATAACGGTGAATATCAACGGGGCCTCTCGGATAAGATACATTATTTACCAATTGGTATGATCGATATTGCGACAGCTATGGTAGCCTCATACAGTCAGCATCGTCGGATATATCATTGGCTGGCGTCAATGGGAAATATTTATAAAACTGTTGCACAGTTTATCCGCACTCATGATTGCTTTGTTGCTCCCACTGTGGACAAGAGATCATTCGCCATGAATCACGACCTTAGAATAGGAGTCAAGCTATTGAGCTCAAATGATTGCCCCAAAGGGGCAGCAAATCGGTTACTGGACTATCCTGTCGAAGTGAATTGGGCCCCGGATATGGTTTCATTTGATCAATTTGACCCATTTACTACTGAAGGGCAAGAATTCCGTTTAGTTCCTCGATATACCTCTTCGCTCACTTTTAGTGGAGCAGATAGCGTATTGGAGCCGAGACATATCACATACAAGACATCTGCCGCTTGGCTATGGTGGGATACTTCAATTTCCGGGTTTAGCGGAACTGTGCCAACATACTCTGATTCGGGTGACCAGACATTGGATGCCTCAGGAGGGCTGTCCGAGATGTTCACCATTCGAATAACGGTTACAGCGACCTCCTTGGAATATTTCGATACGGCGGTGAGATTCGAAAAGACTGTCAGATCCAGGGTGACGATCAATGTTAAGAAAAGGAAATCCCCACAACTCAATCCCATTCCAGACTATACTTTGAGGCTCTTTGAAACAAACAGCCGCGAGTATAATGCAGGTGCCCTCTCACCAGGCAGTGGCAAGTTGCGGCTGGCTAGCCCTCAATTGAAATGGTGGGACGACCCATTTATTGGACCTGGAGTTTACTTTGGTGCTCGCCTGCATTCAAATTTACAGTCATCAGCGCATTGCAATTTCAAGCAGAGCAGCCACCCATTCAACAGTTTAAGCGAGCCATTTCTGTTTGCCACCCATCTGCATGCTGGTTTATCAGCACTGCCAAATGATCACCAAATTGGTGAAAACAAAGAATTTTCACTTCCTGCACCAATAGATAGTGCTTTGCACATCCCCCCGCTTCGCCGCCGAAGGCGTTCCTTGCACAGCCTTAAGCCCCTCAAAAGTAGTCCTAAAATTGGCTCTACAGTTCCCCCGCAAACGACAACGTATCGCGTTCGCAATCCTCAAACCGAATCAGGAGATAAGCGGTTACGTCAAGATATCATCAACATGCTGGACATCCCGCTTCACTGCAGTCGGGCGGACGAAGATCTAGAAATGAGGTACCGTCCTTGGGAGAAGCGGTCATCTTGGCGAGGTGCAGGAGTATCCGTCCAGAAGAAGGGGAGTGGATATCCTTACCAAGATCGCCGCCTACTGAGAAATTCAATTTTCTCGGAAACAAACTCAGAGGAGGAGGATGCATCGTACATCTCGAAATACTGCCAGAATATGAGGCTTGATTCGGATCAATTGCAGCCCAGGGGTAACAAATGGAGCCGGGAATTTAATTTTTCAAGAACTCCAAGTTCTGAGCCTTTGACTATGAATTGTTCTCGATTCTTGAATTCTCACGGGGACAGGCGTCCAGAGGGCGAATCTAAACCAGATACGCCGCGGACACCACCGGCCAGTGACACATGCCCTTGTGATTTTGTGCTTAGCAGCCTCCGCAGCGCAACTGATATGCAAGCAGGCGAAGGGTGTCGTAAGCTGGGAAGTGACGCAAGCGACCTTTTTGGCACTTCCCTTCCCTGCACGTCCGAGGGCGATTGGGAAGATGTTGACACCGATGAGGAGGGGGTCAGTATCCTTGAGGATGAGGATAGTGATGCAGATCAAACAAATCAAGGGGTGCCGATTCCCTTTCGCGGCTCATCCATCAATGACCAGTGATGCTATGCGCCGTGCTCTGGCTTGTCGTCTAGGTTGTCACCCACTTCGTCTTGACGGTCAGAGGAACCATCCATTTCATTGTCCCCAGGATTTGAAAGGCTGACATCAGTTGCGCTGTTTACTCACTGCATCACTCTTCAAATCAAGAGAGTCACTTTTGCAGACAGAGACTATCATACTGTCTAATCTCTCAACTGACCGAAGTGGCAATGGCGTGGAAGACAAAAATCAGCCGCAGATGAAGAGCAGAATGTCTAATTAAACAATTAATATTAATATCATAGTGCAGCTATAACTGAATTCAAATAAATAGACTCATAATTTTTAATTCTCTAGCTAATGTAATTTATCAATGAGTTGGCTATAAAATTTCTAACAGCTCAACTAACTGGCTAACTGTAAGTAAATTATTATCTGGTAAGTTGCCTCTACTTTCAGTCTAGCAAGCTTTTTGCTCTGGATCTATATCGCCACATGAGACAATCCCATACTGAACCACACCATCTGGCTTCCTCTCAGGACGTCAATGTCCAACCCGCACAGAAGGAACAGCCACCAAAGAGGCTTCTTTCCTGGGGTGAGCTGAAACTGCACCCGTTTTACGTACCGCCCCACGTAAATAAAAGATAACTATCAGGACAGCATCCATGGCAGATCAGCGACAAGATAGCCAGTTACTGCTGCAACCGCCCGAACCACTTAGCCACGAGAAATCTAGGCCACTAGGTGTGGGTATCTCAGACTGTACCCCTCTGAACTCCTTAGGGAGCGTCGAATCGTCTCTCGTGCAGCCGTCAAGCATCACCAAAGCTCCGAGTATGCAATCTTCTATGAGTAGGGACACGTCTTCACCTCGACGATCCGAATATTTCCTCAAATCCGATGCATTTTCTGCCGCCACCAAGTTAGAAGTCAAACGACTCGCTGGAGAAAATTGCTGGGCGTGTGGGAGTGAGCCAGCCCATATTTGTCACATTATCGCGAAAGAGGACTCGCAGGTGGGAAACGCTACTCCTGCTAATTGTTATCGGAATGAGGCTAACATTCTCCCTATGCGCAAGGCACCATTATGGAATGAATTTGGTCTAATAACCTTCTCCTTAACCTCAGCTGGAAATGCGGTCCCTCTATGCCCTACATGCCATAATCAGTTTGACTTGGCTACCGACCCAGGCTTCCTCTTTATTCCCACAGATCTTCAATACTTCATCCAATTCGAGCTCAAGGACAGGGGGCGCAGAAGAGCAGATATGGAGCAAGGGATCATCTCGAAACGAGAGATTCCAACTAGGGACATGTACAGGGCTCATCAAGTGAAACAAGGGATAATTTCGGCTGACTCTGTAGGAGGGCTGTACCTCCCAATTTTTCTGAAGCATTATTTCCATTGTAATCAACTCCCATTTGATGTTTTGCCGTATTTCTCCCGACCGAAACAGTGGCATGGAGCTCCCTTGGCCACTTTCCGTAGGGCTTTTCCTGTCCTTGGAAGTGCACGTCTAAACGCTCTAAGCCGTCAGACGCGCCTGGAATTACAGCAGCTACGCGACTTGTACTTCCTCACCGAGGAGGAAGATTCGCCAAGCATGGTTCCTGGTTCCATGCCGACGCCAAGACCTCGAGCTGACGACCAAGAAAGCAAGCGATCACCCGATGACGATACGCGAGATGACACAGGCTCAAAAAAACCAAAGTCTATAGCAAGAGGAGATGCAGCACGAGAAAAGGGCGACAGGAGTGGGGAGGCAGGCACACATCGACAATGTCCTGCCACCCTCAGAGATTCTTCCCTCGACTGGGTCTTGGGGCCAGACATTCCTACAGAAGAAGCTGTACGCCGATACGCACCAGTGTTAGCTCGCTCAAGTCTATCATCTACCTTGGAGGGTGCTAATGTTACCTAATGGGAGTCAGGTCTAAGCCTGAAACTGTGATTCTTTGGTGCCATTTGAGGGCGTGTCTTTGGTGTTGTTCAACACTATTCTCCAATCTGTTATTCTTACCTTAACACGCCATGGTATATGATATGGATTTTAGGGGAGCATTATCATTGAGTTCTCCCAACATTACTTCGCGATACGAGGTTGTTATTCCGGGCACAAATAAGTGTGTTTTGGGCTTTGAGCGTTGCTTTCATACCGCCTATATCCACACTGGATAGATAGGGATCCTATCTTCTTTCCGTTATTAAACATATTCTCTATGTTGAGTGGTGGGCTCGCCTAACTTCCCTACGACTGACTCCTTTTCCGGTTCTAGAAATCCCACAACCAGCATAACTGGAAGTGCCAGCTGCTTAGTATTTTTATTGGCTAATCGTTTTCATGCCAAGTTACCATGCTTTACTGTACATTGTTAACTTTTTCTGCGACCTCAAATCGATATCTATATTCATATTTCTGGACCGCGCTTGGTGGCTTGTATCCATTGTGCTGATATTTCACGTGGAGATAAGGTTCCTACCAACCATCCACCGTGACGTCATGGGATACTCTATTTCAACTCTCCGGGGGTCAATTGCCCTTTTAGGAAACACCCATTGCTCCTCCTCCATGTTTTGTATCGCTTTCTTTCTCCCCGCGATTGACGTCTGCTCCTCTTTGTTTTGATATACAGGATATCTGGATACGTTCTGCAAACCTCCTACCACCAAACCCAAGGCCCCCCCTTCAGGACATTCTTATATTCATCAAGGTTTCGTTCCTTTCCAATTGAATTCCTGCTGTGGTATATATATGTACTGGTAGTGTATATGTACATGTACATTTGCATGTGCGTGCAAGCCTTCCACAGCTATCCGGGTCCTTACATATTCACCTCACAACCTCCCTCCCTATGCCCGCATCCATCGAAGAGTATATGACGCCCCTGAATTGGATGCCAATCTCTATATACTCCGGTATTCTTCTTAACTACTCCCTCGACCATTACCCGCTATTAAACTCGCCAGAATACATCGCACCGATTTGCATTCGGGGGGATTGAGGACATTGCCTTTTCATATTTACCCTTCACTCAACTCCCCTCAATGCACAGTGGTGTTCTGCAAAATCGCCCAACTAATACAACAAGAAATCCCAAGCTCAAGGTGGAAAGAGAAAGCACCCATGGCAGCAGATGCACTCTCTGCTCTTTTTCTGATCATTGTTACGATATTCAGTAAGTGAACTGTTAGGTGTTGTATTTTTCACCCAATGATAGCCATTTGAAGTGGGAATCAACTACTCCAGAGATGACAATAGGAGAAAGGTGGAAAGAGGACAGGGCTCCAGCAGGATCGATGTTTTTTTCCGCCCCCTTATATCTGTGAATTGCTCTCAGACTCCTTTATTCCTTGTTACTTGACGTCCAGTGATGTGATAGTACTGACTCGAAATTTCATTCCTGTAGTTCCCCCTTTGGGAGTCTTCTTTATTAGCGGTTGCTCTCCAGACCTTCTCATCAACATCTGTCTCACACTTCTTGGGTGTGTTTAAATCGCTTTCTCCCTTAACAATGCTCTCCGTTTTCTTTACAATAGCCAGCGAACCATCCTGTTTAGAGACTAATGCTTTCATCATCCTTTCTTATCTCGGCTAGATACTTTCCTGGTCATATCCATGCTTTCTACTGTGAATATGCCTACTACGATCGGCGTGCAAGGGGCCAACAGGGGCGCATGGCTTGTTCCCCTGCCCCAGGCATTTTCTCGAAGAGAATCCAAAATGGCGGCGACGTGACGGCTGAGTACTATTACCCTGCTCCACCTGCTCAGACACCCGCGACAGTGGCCCCAAACTCGCCGTATTCTCTCCCCCAAGTTCCCCCAACGCAACAAGAGTCAGGGTGGACCCGTTAATTGAAGTATACCGCGGTTTTGAGCTCGTTGGACACAGAAGTTACTGTGGTGTTGTTTAACGGACAGAGCCTGTGTCTGGAAGAACGACATGACTGTTGAAGGATCTGAGAAGTCAAAAGTATGAGGTAACGGTGGTGTTCATGCCAGTACAGGTGGAGCTTTTGAGGGAGTTGTTGGTATTCTTATTATGGGTTGGGAAATCCGTGATGGGCGTTTGAAATCACTCCTATTCTGCTTTTTTTTTTTTTCGAGCTTAAGCGGATACGATGTATTTATACTATGAGCTAGCTGGATTGGGTATGTCAACAGGTGCCCTTATTGCCTCTCGTTGACTCAAATGGGCTTATCGGGAAGGTTTACATAGAACAACTTTTTTTGTCCTCGGACAACAAATTATCAATTTCCTATGGGCCTATGGACTCCCTCTTTGCCCTTCATTCTTAGCATTGGTTGTTATGAAAGGAGGTTTTATCATTGTCGATAATAAGATCTATGAATAGATCTTACCATTCACAAGGGGTTCCTTGCAACAATAATACCCTCACCCTGGTGGCTTCACATGGTGACCTAATGATTAACCATTCAAAGGCATCCGAAATGACACAACAGCGAATTGGATAAATTGGCAATGTAAGTCGACCCTAAAAAAGACCAAGCTTAAAATGTGATAATCGTAGCAAAGACTCATATATCAACAAGTACTAGACGTAAAAGCCAAACCAAAAACCTTCATTCGACGAGCTGCCCTTCCAAAAATCTCTCACCCCTCCAATCCACACACAGCTCAGCTCGACTTCTACCCGCCGTTCTAGCCCTCCTTCTTGCCCGCAACTTTCAACGCCGGGAAATTAAATGGTTTACTCCTGCCACCTTTTCCACCAGTAATAATAACCGCATCAAGAAGCCCACCAAGCGCGCCGCCAATATTCTCCGCAATCTTGCTGTGCGGACTCCACATCAGTGCACCTATCCACGGCTGCACATTCCAAGCGACAACTAGCTGCGCATTCTCACGCAAGGCAATTTGACCGGAGATATCTGTAATCTGGTATTTGGATTTCTGGTTACGGAGGCGGAGGAGGCCCCGATTCTTGGGCTTTTTAGAGTCCGAGGAGGTATTTTTGTTTGTTTTGGAGGAGAACCTGGAGGATTTGGACTTTTTGGAAGGGAAGAAACGGCGGGTTAAAGCGGGGATAGAGAGCGGGGATTCAGTGGCGGGGATTATCATGTCCCAAATTATGGATTCCGTGGTTAGGTTTGATGACGAGGAGGAAGTCGTGGGATAGGAGGCGAGGACGTAGACGAAGACTTGCTTGGTGTTCCAGTTGAAGAGGGAGGTTAGGTCTAGGGATAAGAGTAGTTAGTTGCTTTAGTTAACTTCGCGAATAGTGCGGACATGAGAGCGTATCGTAAAATACTCACCAGCATCGAGATCGAATTTAATCTGCGCATACTCCTCGCGCTTTCTTGAATAGTAATGCGGTCGTCCTTTGCTCCTATAGATGTCCAGAATTAGTCCCCACTGTTCACTGCCCAAACAACTACCCATTTCCCGACGATGTAACTCATCCCTGGTGCAGTAACTAAGGGAAGCGGGTCAAAACATGTCATACACTTGTATGTTCGAAAGGCTAACGTTCGTAACCGGATCTGCAGGACTCAACAGCACCGTTAACGATGTCAGTGCACCTAGCAGGAATGCGAGGGTGGAGCAGAATCCAAATACGCCCTGGAACCGATTGAGTGCGGAGTGCATCACGGCAGAATTGAAGAGCGGAACCAACCGCCGTTTTTGCGGAGTCCGACAATGTGTGATAGAACTATTATAAGTATTGTTTGTGTCTGTTTGAGGTGTTCGGCCAGATGTCAATAACTACCCGGAGCTTGCGCGCTTATTTAAGCGTCGCGTCTGCCGCGGGTATTAGTCTTGGCATGTTTCGCTAGTGGGTAAAATTCACCCCAAGTAAATCTTTATGAAGTAGTTATTTTATGGTGAATAAAACGGAAATAAAACGTACTATCATTCATGGCGCTCGCTTAGAGTATATACTAAGATACGACGTTGCTATTCTCTCAAAACCACTGCAGATCAGGGTACCATGCCATATACGTATTATTTCTCAACGAAGATAAGCAATTAAATTGAATGAAAAAAAAAAAAAAAAAACCTTTGCTAGGTATCAGGCAGAGAATCTAATAGATGCCGAGGGTAAAGGAACAAGGCAAAGAAAACATAACAGAAAATAGGGTAAAAGAAAGCCCATGCAATTCAACTCCATCCACAATCTACGAAAGAAGGCCGGATCACTCGATCCCATCAAGTATCTCCTGGTCATGCCCCCGTACGTTCTGAGAACGGGAATCTGGGCTTATATTGTCGGGAGAAGGAGTCCTCGGGATTTCCGTGATATTTTCATTGTTTGTAGAGTCTTCGCCTCCATACAGTAAAATTCCCGACAGCAGTTTTTCTGGTTCGGATTGCTGAACGGCTTCATCTTTTAGGGTGACTGGGGCCTTGGAGATCTGTATTTGCTCATTTTGGTTGAGCTTCACCAATGCGCGTGTGGATGGTTCCTGTCGGGGCTCTTGCTGGCCACCACGTACCACTAACCTGTTTGCTTGGGCAGGGGAAGCAAGCTTGATTTCTGGGTTCTGTTCAAGTCCAGCTGAGTCATTCAAAGGAGCAGTCTCGCTTTGTGGTACCTTTGAAGGCGGATCATCCACCAACAGTATTTTTAGCGGTTCAGTATCGATCAACCTCGGCCTTTCGTCAGCTTCATTCCGTTTCAGTCTTCCCTCTTCCTCGTGCAATTTGAGAAGAAAGTTCCGGAGGCGACGTCGAAGAACCCGTGATTTCATTGGCGGCCAATCGTCATATTCGTTCATCTCCTTTCTCACCAGCTTCCTAATAAACATGTCTGGGTCCCACATAAATTTTTCAAGATAAGTTAAGAGATACAGACCACAGTCAGAAAAATTAGGTTGATGTGGGATATGTTGAGCAGCCATGCCCCCGATTCTTCGTGTGTCAATGGTAAGTGATCGCTTAGCTCTCCCTTCCTCTTCGAGATAAAGCCGAAGGATTCTTACGGTGGGGGATCGGGAACAGCCTAATGAATCGAAAGTGATGATAACGGGTTCCTTTGGATCATATTGGAACTTCCGGTGAGATTTCTTCGTCATGGTTCCTGAAAAATCCCTCAATTTCCCGGAACGCAACGATTTAGGCTGATTCGAGTGCGGTGAAGTGTTTAGCTCTTCCTCTGTTTGGACAATAGAAACGAGTGGTCCGTTTTCGGCTTCGTCCGGCCATTCACTCTTGTCTTGAGATTCAGGACTTGTGTCATTTTGCGGGGTATCTATTTCCGGTCTATTATCCGATAATGACATGGAATCGAAATCATTTTGAAGTTGGTCTTTGCGATTCCCTAAAGTCTGCGCAACAGTGTCGTTATCCTCGCTATGCTGTAAGACAGCTATATCATTTTGGCCTGTACCTCGATTTCCCAAATCAGGTCTCCCTTGTCTATGCGGAGAATCATCGGCCATGTCGTTTTCGGGTTCGTGGTGTTCGACAATGGATTTTGGATCACACAGCGCAGGGATGTTGCATATAATGGCCATATACCAATGCGCCTTTTCATTGATTGGGACGATAATATAATCATAACTGAAAAGGTCCACATTCCTCGTCCACTTCTCTACCGCCTGGTAATTAATCTTCTGACCCTTAGGCGTCTTTGTCAGGCTTGCGAAAAAGAAGGAGTTAAAAAAGTAAACCCGTTTCGCCAAATCTGGTCTCTTCGTTTCCATGTGATACTCAAGGAAACGTAGATAAAAGCCGATGAGATTGTCGTTTAAATATTCCCCGTCCCTCAAACGTTCTAAATCGTGGAATTCCACTTCAGCTTTCCTTTTGCCTTGAGGTGGGTATACAAGAGACCTGATGAAGTATTAGCAATATCTTGACAGACTGATAATCCCATACACTTACTTTAGCCATTTAGAACCATCTCGGAGAGGCGAAGGCGAAAGCTCATGGTCACTGTGTTCAAAAAATTGGTTAGCGACGGCCTCCAATAATGTAGGGAAAAATTTACCCACCTATTAATAGTTGTGGGTTCCATTCGCTTCCGCGAGCGTGTGACACGCGAGCCCACGTTAGTATTGTACGTTTTAACAGGAATAGGTATAGGCGGATCAGAATTTAGATGACTGGGGCTGAGAGGCGGCGAGATATGTTTTCCACCCTTGCTAGATCCGCGCAACTGCAGTGTATCTTCCAGCGGGGAGATTCTTGTTGCCCCGTCACTGTCACGAAGGCTCTCGCTGAGCTTCTGCCGTTTAGGTTGCGTTGAGGGACGGACGATGCCAATCTGGGCACCCTGAGGGCTTTCGCGTTTCGAGCCACCCAGATTGCGGATTCCTTGTCTCTTCTCCTCAACAGCGCGTTTGAACATACTTTCCATCCAATCACTATATCCATCATCAGATTTTGAATTGTTGCCCTTCAAAATATTGGTGTGTTAACATACCTCGCTTTATCCCTTAATTTGACGTCATTATTAAGTTCCCACATCAATTTACAGTATCCAATCGCTTCTTTCTCAGACGAAAATTGTATTTTTAGCTCGTCTATCGAGCCTGAAACCATGGGAAACTTCACCGCAACTCTGGGCCCGCCGTGCCAAATACTGTTGATTTTTTCAATAAGAAATTCCTTGGACATCCAAGGACTGTTATCGCTTGTCACAAAAAAGGTACGGTCTTTAGCAATAAGCGTGCACCATTCCTCAACAGTCCGCACCGTGTCGCGAAACATAGTAACAGAAAACGAATGCATATGAGTAGGTGAGTCTCTATGTCTTTTATCCGTACGTTTTCGGTCCTTCTTCATTACGACGGAGAAGTTTGTCGGGCTAATATCACCTTGCATTGTGTCCAGACGATCTTTTGCAGCACCACCTCTCCAAGCCTCAGGAACGGTCTTATCCCCCTGAAGCTCGTCTGGGCTCTCACGTGCATAAGAACCACGACGCTGACTGCCCATCCGGGCAAATGAATCAGCAAGCTTGTCGGTAGAGCTATGAGTCTCTGATTCCGTTGCACACGCGCCACCCAAATTGTTAATCGGTGGTACTCCAACAACAGCACTCGCTTTTTCGGAAGCGCCAGACAAACCTGGGCCACCTGGTCGGGCAATGGCCGTGCCGATCTTCCTCCCAAGTCGCTGTGCTTTGGCTTCCATCGTAAAGAGCTCATCCTCGGTTACATTCGGAGTTTGTGGTCTTTTGCTCTTAAAATCTTGCATCCTCCTCTCAACGTTCCAGAATTCATGAGTCGTAGATTCCCTTTGATTAGTAGGACCGCGGTTGTTAGATATCGGTGTATTTTGGCTTAGGTGTCGTAGGTCATAGGAATTAGGTCTGGGAGATGAAGGAGATTCCGAGCGTATAATCGAGTCGTCATCATTCACCACAATGACCTCCGCAAGAGCATGTGAATCGTCCGTCCTACGTCTTTTTCTGGGCCGCTTGCCTTCTTCTAGCTCCCGAAGCAGGTCTGAAGCGTCTTGTCCAAGTGAAACCGACCGAAGAGGCTTATTGCGATCCCTCCCGACCAAAGGGTGAATCTGTTTTCTATCGGCACGGGAAATAAGGGTATTTCGTGGAGCAAAATTCGCAAAGGACTTTGTAATATCAAACAATTCCGTTAGTAACCGAACAACTCTTGTCTACGGAGATATGAGATTCTGCAAATGATACCTTCAAATCGGTACCAGCTCCTCTTCTTAACAGTGCTCCTGGTGTTATACGAACGGCGTTCGGGTCCTTTCTGCTATATTCACCGCAATGTAAGATTAAAAGCTCCCTTGGACCTAAAGAAGCGGACATTTTCACGGACTTGGAACCTCCCAATAATCTCCTTTCCTCCTGTAATTCTTCTTCGCTCTGGGGTGTAATTTTGCTAGAGTAGTATCAGCGTTAGCATTGGACATGCTATCATAAATAGCTAGCGAGGGGATTCAAAACACAAACCCACATTTCGCGTTTCCTTAATGTGAAACCAGAGGTATGGTTGGATTGATGTCGATGTGAAGAAGTGGAGGCGGATCGGACTCCATACGCGTTCTACAGATTCCAACGGAAGGTAAGAATTGGTCAGTATCGGCAATCACCTACGCAGCCAGCATAAAAAATTGCTATAAAGCAAGTGAATTAAACGATATAGGGAGCTATGCTTGCCATACGCTTCCGAGCTGAAAGAACTGAAACGTGTTGCTCACCTGTCCGTTTGTAGCAGACAGCTGATCACTCACACCGGACATCTGGACCGGGACTGGTTGACCTTCGACACCATGAGCTATGTGTCGCCGTTGCCACCGCTTTGAAAGCTCTGGAGTTCGTGGTTCCCGTGCGGTGTTTGAGATGTCGTGTTCCGGCCAGATGAGGTGGGATAGCTTATATAGCCACTTCATAAGCTGGCGAAGGAAAACATTCGCGGCTGAGACATTATACACTGAGGAGTAGGAGGCATCAGGAATATGTATATGGGCTGTGGGGTTTGGTAGGATTGCAGGTTGTTTGAGCCAGGAGTGAGTGAGTGATGTGGGGAAGGCAAAATTGTCAATCAAACAAATTGACTGATTGACCAACACTGCTCCACCATACATTTACGCGCACCGGCGTCCCGGCGGTCAACAGCCACCAATGGTACGGAAAGCCGCCACCCGCAATGGCCATCTCGGAACGGGATTTTGCAGAGCATTCAGTATCAGAATTTACTTAGAATCGATAACCTACATTCCGGCCCAAATCAGCTACTATAATTTCTGTTTTCTACGGCTTCATTAGTATATATTTGAAGTCTTGGAGGATGTCAGATATGTAACTGAATCGTGGCAAGAGGCAGAAAGGTATTTGCTTGTTCCTGCCATTGTATTCCTTCCAGGCCGTTAAATCCTCAAAAAGAAACTCAAAACACAACAAAAGGTCTAGCTAGAATCCACCAGTTGATCAGAATAGAAGAAAGGCCCATTTTGGCACTAAAATTTCCACTACTCTTTTCCACCCATACAAACGCAATGTGTTGAAGAAACAAAAGACACAACAAAGACCATCAGCAGAAACCTGTCTGACCGCAAATGCCGGGACCACAGCATCAGCACAAAAATAATAGGAAAGCGGGAAAAAGACAAAGAGCTACTGTACACTGGCCACATTTGCATGCGGGCCTTTCTTTTATGATGCTGCAGTCCGCCCTTTATCAGCCGAAGTGTCATCTTGGTTTTGCCCACGTCGACGATCTGAGCCCTGATTATGATGACTTGCATTTGCAGCGGCTTTATCCTGGCGGGCCTGGTCGATGGCGGAACGTTGCGCAATGCTATCGTCATGACTTTTCCAGGCAATGTTGGTGTCTGGAGGGAAGGATAACAGGCGTTTTATAGTTTCCCTGAAAGAAGGATTAGTAGCAGCACGGGCAATCGAGCTGTATGAAACAAACACCAAAATAACATACCGAATTTTGATATTCCGCCCACCATCAATCCTCGTCCAGACAGACAGGACGTCTTCCCCACTTCTAACGCTCAGAACTGCCCCGCACACCTCATCGCTTGCTTCCGCAAATTGATCACCCACCATTGCCAGAAGCAAATCTTCCCAATAGCGATCAGCAACCCCCTTCTTCAATCTGACGATCCATTTCCCTCCACGTTTGTTTGCTTCATCTTCCCAAACTGGTCGTATTCCCTTCTTAAAAATATGGTAGTCCGACACCGCCGGGAGCTGAGAAGGCCTCTTAAGGTGTGAGTAAACGGCCCAAAAACTCTCAACAGAAGATATCGATGCAAGGGCTATGGTAGATTTCTCGTAGTCAGAATGTTTTGGTGTTGGGGGTCGGTACCAAACGATCCAAGTAGACCTTATGGGGTGTTCTTTAAGAGCAGGAGTTGTTGGGGTATTATTGAGAGAAGAAGATGACGCCTTTGACTTCACGGTTTTATTATTCACCCCTTCGTCTTCCGGCCGCGTTTCTCGTTTTTCACTCGATTTTGGGGCGCTAAGATCAAATGCGCCAGGGGTTTTTGGTGTTTTGGCCGAGCCGAAGGAGGCAAACGCACCAGATCCTAAGCCAAAAGCGGACGAGGCGCCGGCGGAGGGAGATGGTGCGTTCGTAGTGAGGGGTAAGATCACGTTGAAAGGGTTCGATCGTCCGTGAGAACTGTCAGGACCAAATCGCTTGGATGTATGACTTCGAGAGGAATCTTGTCTTCCACTGGTCTCTTTGGCGTCCGAACCGGACATGGAAAGGGAGAGCTTGCTAGTGTCACTTGGGGTCAGCATCAAGACACGCTACACTTCTATATCCAGAAGGATCATGTCAGTTTATAGTCCTACTTACTTCGACCGGCGAGTCCACAGGTTGGCATTGTCCATTGCGACCAAGCGATTTAGTTGAAAATAAGAGAAAGGTGCATCCAACAGAAGGAAAGGAGAGTAGCAATGTGGATTCAAATGTCGTGATACAAAAGAGTGGAAATGAAAAAGAAGGCAAAAGTAGCGGGGTATGGAATTCGTGCAAGATGGGTATTGGGGAAAATTTTTGGAAATGATTTCTTAGGCTAAAATGCTGTTGGACTTTGAAAGTTGAAAGCAAAAGCGGAGCATCAAACATTAAGCTTTGCCGCAACACGTTTGTTTACCGCGCGTCTGGGGTCTGAGGCGCCGCACTAGGCTTCTTTGGGAAGTGTACCTTTTATCCCAAAGGTTCAATTCATCCGTGAACAAAAAACAGTGTCAAACATCTTGTGCATGGCATGAAAACACTATCGATTCGTGATATCCCTGCACTTGTAAATACATTTCAATTTCATGTTGGTGAGAATAGGTCTATACGGAACCAGGAACTGCGGGAGACGCTATGTCCACGGCAACGTAAAGTGCAAGTTGAAGCATGAAATCCAGGTTTACTAGGATCTAAAATGATGCGACCACGATGGCTATCAAGCACCCTGAAATTTGAATGTGTCAATGTGTATGGTAATTCCAAGCTGTAATTTTTGTTACAACCCCAGTGTAAGCAATGCACCCTCCGGAAACCAATTTATATCGTGCTAAGCTTTTATCCCCCCCTGGGTCAATTCTTTCTAGATATTAGACTCAACTATTACCCTTAGAGGAAGTTAACACATCGGAAAATGTTGACAACTGTAGTGGTCGGAGGTGGCGAGATATCCAAATAGAGCCGCATACATTAGCCTCTCTCTTGAAGCGTGTGAAAAATCTTCCAAGACTGCCATATTGATACCCTCCGGTGGTTGACCCTTCGATAGGAGTTGCATAGAAACCATTTTCGGACAATGGATGACAACAGGATTTCCGAGAGGGGATTCATATTCAGGTTCTAACGAGTGATGTTCAATGATCGATATAATATTGCATTCCTTTGTTATTCTCTAGTGTTTGCACTGCTATATACAGCCGAATATAATTATTTAGAATATATCCGGATATATAATATTTATTTTAAAGGCCATACAGAGCATAACATCTTCTTGGCATGTCTTTTTGGCCTTCTCATGTTTGTATGTACAATAGCGCTCGCTTGCAAACCCAACGGCGAATTTACCCTCAACGACATGGCTCCTGTTGAGTCGCACACCTAATGGAACGTAGTGGCCAGCGGGAAAAATCGTTTCGCACTTGCAGTGATCCCACCATTTCTCCCTTTGATGAAGAGATCATACCCTCGCTTCCTATTCCCGCCTGGGATCGAGGACCCATTCGTCACTGCTATAGGGGGAACCCTCAAACCATCCCAGATAAGGATTCTACCGTATAGGATATCTAATTTTGCTATCACTGGTTGAGCATATCGTCAAATCATCCTTATGACGGCGAATCCGGGTCTGAAAGTTGCCCAAAGCGTAAGGAAGCTCACCAACATAAATTGCGTTTTCTGCTGGAGGCAATGATCGTTGTGCCAGATGCTACAGATATGGCAATTACGCCAGCCTATGGCAAGGTTTGGAAAAGAAAGAAGTCATATTTGAGACCGATATGTCACGAAGAGCATGATCATGTGAAGGAGTTGCCAGTCGCATCTCAAGAAATTTTCTGTTTGGCAAAACCCAGGCGAATACTCGAAAGTATTCGTACCTGTCATGTGGTGGTCAAGCTGAAAGGTACTCGCGCCGCCTCCTCCGCCCCTCTACCAATTTATTATATGTTTTATATATAAGTTAGGCAACGCGTGTGCCTGTGAACGCAACCAAGCCCTCCAAATCTCTGTCTGACACAGCAGAATAAGCAATAACGCGTGGAAGAGATCTGGAAAATCTTGTGTGTTACATCGCAAAGGCTCTCACCGCATCAGACAAAAGCCACCCCAGGACGTCACGCAAACTTTAAAACAACAAGGTTGGCATCAGCGGAAGGGCAAAATTCACCTAGCAAAGGATGCAGAGTTTGCAGTGGAGTGCTACCATTTGCTGAATAATTCGGCATTGTAAGCATCTGGATTCTGGCTATGACATATCCATTTCCTCAAAAAGTCAACAACTAAGAAGTCTCCCAGCAGAATTATCGTCAGCCCTCTAACGAGGCAAAAGCTTGAACGATAAAGGAGGGAAAAATTCAATACTGGGCCATAGCAAGGCTGTGTTCTGACACTCCGAGTTCGCTTTCCATTTTGGATGAGGGCACGGATATACTGGCCAGTGTAGTTGACCTTTTTGTGGAGGGGTAAGACGCGCACCCATGCATTCTCTCGAAAGGGAAAGTCGTTCAAAGATTTTGCCGAGGTTGGCTGGGCCTTTGGCTTGCCAAGACCACTTTAGCTTCGATCAAGGTTCGGTTCATATTGTGGTTTCGGCTAGACTTCTCGCATGCTATGTTGCTTTTTTGGGGGGATACATAGTATTGTCTATTGATATGAGGGAGTTGCTACGAATATTTCCTCATTGTTAGAATCAGTTGAGGTTCGTAGCAACACCTGAAACCAAGTAGGGGGATGCCGCAGTCATAATTGTTTTTTCTCAGGAATGGTAAAGGGGGAAAGCCAACCAAGCCGTGAGTTATCTTGTATCCAACAAGCCTTTTGCGGATTGACGCCTTCCACAGAACAAGCGAGACATCTATACGGAGTATATGTCCTGCAATCTGCCATCCATATAAGGCCAATAAACAAGGGACGGACTTTTCCGAACAACCTACCGACCACATTTTGCGCAGCATCCAACAGCTCGAAATCCGACTGATAACTTTGAAATACATCGTCAGCCCTAGTGGGGAAGGCCAATCCGAAGAGTTCCAGGCGAATTCTTCCACAGAATGGCGTGAAAAAGAGTTAAGTTGGTCGATAACTTGCCACGTTGGCGTTATGGTAGCCCATAAGTTCATGATAAATGTCCAAAAACGGGAAGTAAAATCCGCCATAAAGATGCTCTTTTGCTTTGCTAGACGGCCTCGGACAATTGAGAATTAATGTCCGAATTCCCGACTCGTTTACACTAAGTTTTCATTTGATTTATTTTCTTCTTCTTAGTTCTTTGTCCAGTGAAAATCAAGAATTCGAAACGCAGACCACCCGTGGCGTGATAGTACGAAGTGCACTCTGTTTCTGCGGTATTTGGAAGTTTTAAGGCCAGCAACAGCTGCCGGCGTTTTCTCACTTGTCACTTCCTCACAAATGTAGAAAGCAGATAACTTGAATTGGTATTGCTCTCCACTAGGACTGAAACCGAGAGATATATGCCCCCGAGTTTTCAGGTGTATTTGGGAAGTGTCTACTTTCTCAATTGAAGGAGTAAAGTTAACACTCCCATTACCAGTATTAGCTTGATAGTGAAATCGAGCTATCTTTGCAACGCAATATATGACAGGTCGACAGCGAATGACTCGAGCAAAACCATGCGTCGGACCTCAAGTATTAGCGTTCATAGTTTGGAGTCTAATCAGGATAGGAAAGTGGTACAAACCGATAATGCACTTGAACTTCGGGAATCAGCAAGGTTCCCGCAATTGCCATGGAAAAAAAAATGGTGTTATCTTGGGCGAGCTTCTGCGTCCTGAATTTTATATATGGACGAAAGCTGTTTCGGGTTTGCACATATCTCTGGAAGTTCAACCACGTCATTTTGGATCGTCTCGAAGGATCCAGTAACCAACTTAGCTCACTGGGCCACGGAAAAACAACACACGGGCACGGCTTCAGGCGGGTGTGGCTGATAACTATTTCCGGAGAAACAGGGGGCGATCGCATTTGTCTCTTCAAATTATGAAAGGGGATCCCGGTTCACCGATATTGATCATATAACCAAAGAGGGACATCGTAACGATTCGAAATTGAACCGCTTTCCAAGAAAGTGTAAGCGCCAATTGAGGGGCGGAAGTCCGAAGGGGTTCAAATGCCCAAGCAAGCATTGAAATAAAAATCCCAGCTTGACGCAAACAGGTGACGGAAAGCCGGAGCGGAAATTGTGTTTAGTGCCGTGAATCGCTCATTGTCAGCCGGAACGAAACCTTGTACAGTGCATAAAAGCAACAAACAATCCTCGAAGGCGAAATGAAACGGCCAATGCCAACAATCAACATTTTTTTTTCCTCGGTGCATATGCTATAGGATAGTGACCAAAATGGGTTATTCGCAGTTTTCCACTCGAGCATCCAACATTTCATCAATCACATCATCCATCATGATGAGAAAAATCGAACGCGGCGATCCTCAGGGGTTCGATATCGACTTGTCTAAAAATGATAATTGCCTTCTTCGAGAGGAGCTAGCCGTCAACTGCAAACCCACCATAAATGACGAATTGCATCCGCATGTAAGACTATTATACCATCCTGAATATTAAATGAAAATATTTACTAATTATCACAATATCAGCACTCGTATGCGAGAGGGGTTGCGAGAGAGCCAACGCTTCAGGGAAGCCTCGCAAATTTATTTAACAACTATTTTAATCCATGCGTACCTGTCAGCCCACATCATATTACCATAGGGCCAAGGACGAAAAGTTGTATTGATGCGTTGCTTTATGAGATATGCGACCCCGAAGACGGCGTCTTAGTGCCAGGACCATGTTGGAGTGAGTTCCCCTTGTTACAACTCCAGGCTGCACATTAAAGCGTCGTATGGACAATCGCAGCGGATGAATAACATATCAGAGCATTATAGATGGGGATGAGGTGGATTTTCGAGATCGTTCATCTGTCCAGCCGGTTTTAGTCAAAACAGAAAAATTCACGGATATTTTCACAACAAAGTTGATACCCAAGATGGAGGAAGCGATGGATAACGCAACCTGCAAGATAAAAGCCCTCATCCTAACGAACCCACATAGCTTATTCGGACAATGCTATACCCAGGAAGTTCTGGAAGCCTGTCTCAAGTTTTGTCAGCGACGGGATATACACCTAATTGCTGATGAAGTGTATGCAATGACGACATTTTCCAGTGCGGAGATTTCTGACCCAGCTCCATTCATTTCGGCCCTGTCCTTGGATACTAGCGCATTGCGATGTGACCGGTCTCGCATCCACACAATATGGGGCACCAGCAAAACTTTTGGCTCCAGTGAATGTCGAATGGTAGGTTATCGCCAACCCTTAAGAGCATCTGAGTTTTGGTTGCTAATTTAGAAAAGGGCTGTATAGTATCACAGGATAACGGAGAGGCCAATTTTAGACCTACAGCCGCATCCAATACTCAGCTTTCCTTGCTTTCTGCATTGTCCGCAACCTCTCTTCTTTCCTCACCCACACTACCTCTGTTAGTCGCATTGAGCTCGGCTAGGTTAGCAGAATCATATATCCTCGTAACTACATTTTTTATTCGCCATCATATCGACTACATCCCAGTAAACGCAGGATTAAATATATTTGCAAGGCTGGCACCAAGTGCGAAGACCTGGGAAGACGAATCGGCTATAATAACGAAACTCAAAGCGAAAGGAGTGGTAGTTCAAGGTGGAGGAAGCTACCTCAAAGAGAAGGGGTGGGTACGAATATCGTTTGCTCGAGAAGAGCACTTGCTCCAAGAGGCCCTCCATAGGATTATAGCAGCACTGGATTTTGAGTCGTAACGTTGCGGGTGATTAGATGTGGGTTCCGCGTCTATTGACATAATTTGCATTGCGATATCTGTTGGAATCAACTTGCATGCTATGTGTTGTCATTGCATCATGGACGTGTTTGTTGCCGTCACCGGTATGAATCGAGAAGTGTTATCGGCCTGCGGCTTGGAGGGTATTGTTTTCCTCTCTTTTGTATCATCCTTCCACAAGCCACCATGTTTGATGACTAGCGTCCGGGGTTTCAATCCGTGTATATATATATATATATTTACATATATGCTGAGAATAGAAACAACTCAGATTTAGAAAGGGCCTGACAGCCTGGTATATGACGAGAGGAACTTTGATAGAGTATGGAACCGGTCGTTGACATCAAGGCCATCGGTGCTCAACGTACAGCTTATGGCCAGGAGGTGTGTCACAAAAAATTGCCATATGAAATTTCCAAACAGCCTATGAATTCTGGTACCTACCACCATCTACATATCCACTCTACCAGGGAAGAGACTAGCGATATTGGCGTTGGAGCGTAATGTGATTGCACGATTCTTAATAGATTGAAGGGTGAGAAGAATCAGACAGTGAAATGATACGTCCTTTTCGTTGGATTAGGTCAAATCATGGCAACTGGTACGCATTTAGTCTTCTGATGGCTAAATAATCTGCCAAATAAGACGTATATTGAAAGGCTGCCACTCCTGAAAGTTGGGGCAGTCCATCCTGGACGCTGATAGTTCGCCGACAACATTGTAATGACTAGATAGTGTTTTGGCTTCCAACAAGGAGCTATCACCGAACCGTTCAGCAGGTGAGCTGGCAAGGAACAAATTGTTGAGGGTTTGGATTGGTTCGTTCCCTGGACGGGCTTAATAAGCGATTACTCAGGCGGTCCGTTTGCCTTCCAACCAATCGCCATCTCATCCTCAACTTGAACGCTGAAGGCGCAATGAGCAGCAATTGGGTGCTACTCGAGTTTGAAGTTTCAATATTTGGGCCTGCGATGTTCAGTTAACATGGGTTTCTTCACTCCCAGTGCCATATTATAACTCAAGAATGGCAATCATACGAGCATTATTTGTTTACCTTGGGGATTGAATACCATGACTATGATATCTAATTGAACTATATCGGTAGTAAGTAATGGAGATGTTATTGATATTTACTGGAGTGCTGATGTTGATTGCAGCCATTGACAAGACCCTCCCGAGTCCCTACTCGAGGGCTACAATGTTTTACACGTTGCGCGTGGCTTTCGAGTTTCATTGTATGCCGTTTGTCACGTGTCCCCAACATGTCCTCCAATGTGCGAATGATGACACTAGAATATGGCACCGCCCATTTCGCTCCTTTCCTTTTAACAGGGTGGAAGCGGAACTGTGGTCGTGGATGGACCTGAAGGACTAGATCAGCAGTGTGGCCTTGGATATCAGCACCAAGGAGACTCCTCTGCATTGAAGTGTATGTATGATAGCTCAGCATACATATGGACATTATGGAGTTTGATAGCATTCGTCTATTGCTCCTTCTTCCGTCATTCATTCTCTCAACTTGAAAAAAAAAAGGGGGGGGGAGAAGAAATTATGCAATGAAAACTACCTGCCCTCAGACCTTCGGCGCAAACAGTGGAGGCAACTTCACCTCCTCCAACGTCTTAACAACAGCGTCTCTCTTCACCAAATTTGCGATCAAAGCTGTATATTTGGGGAAATCCTTCTCCATCTCCAGCTCAATAGCCATTCCCCACCGATAGAAAACTAACAAATACAGATCCACAACCGTAAATGAATCTCCAACCGCATGCAACCCTTCTATCCTACTCTCGACGAACTCATAGGCAGCTATTATATTCAGCTTTCCCTTCATCTTAATGCTCTCCAACGCATTGGAATCATCCGAATATCGTTCAGACCTCCAGAGCCCACCATATCCAATTCCGTGCAACTGGCCAGAGAGCCAATTCATCCACTCGTACACTCTGGCGGTTTCGATGGGTGTTTTGCCGAGTAGCTTACGATCTGGAGATCCGAGCTGAGCGAGCGCGGTCAGGATTGCCGGCACTTCTGTGATGATCTCACCGTCGATGGAGAGGACAGGAACACGCCGCTTGGGATTTATAGCGCCCAAACCGCTTGGGGACAGGTCTGTGACATGGATGGTTTCCACGTCTAAACCTAGCTCGCGCAAGAGGATGTGCGGAGCTAGAGAGCAGCTGCCAGGCATATACCAAAACTTGAGCTTGGCCATGATAGATCAAGGATATATACTTTTTTTAATTGATTAGGATTCAAACAGAGAAAATGATAGCGTGGTGATATTCACAACCTAAATTTTGGGGTGGTTAACTTGTATAAATCAGGTCTATCCCACTGTATTAGGGTCCTGCGAACACAGTAAAGTCCTCCTGTGATTACTAATTGCACCCCTTGTATGCGAGGCTGTAGCGGAATCCAATCCGAAAGCATTCCGCATTGGACTTCCTACACTCCTTGAGCCGAAGAAAAGAGAAAAAAGAATAGCAAAAAGGAAAAAAAAATATATATGGTGACAGATGACATTTCCTCTTTCCGCAGTACAACGATAACAACCTTTGCAATGAGGCTACAGGAGACCGGCGATTATCAGTCCAGAAATCTATTTCGGCAAGCTTTCCGTCCCTTGGAGAGGCTGCTCTTTTGAGGCCCACAGGTATCAGAGTCCCAGCAAATATGATCAACGGGGAAGAATGATGTGTATCAAGCAGGGAACTACTTGATAGTGTTGAGGTTTGGTCATGAATTTGGGAATTTGTTTTCCGTACAGAAAACCCATACTTTCCATGTGATGACACTATGCATTTTGAATACGGGAACCTTGTCCCCCTAAAACATACTACGATATGGCGAGGGCGTCGAGCCTCTCAAATAGATCTACTATATCCCCGGAGTTCGAAACACCAAAACAATAATACCTACTCAGCAATAAGAAAGTGCTTAGCTTTTCCAATAGAAGTGGATACATTCTCCGCTCCAGGAGAAGACATCTTCCTCGGCTTACATTTATTCATATTTCCCCTCACTCCTCCGCCGAGCTAGATTGATGAACAACTCCATAATCTTAGAAGCGCTATCCGCTCACTAGCAACAAACGAACTTTGGAAATTGGTGACTAGTAAGGTGCAGACAAAAGAATACGGGGATGGTCGAGAACCTCATCACTGAGCAGGCGTTTTTTGTTCGTGCAACCTTTAGCTATAGGAGTACAGATAATCACCCCAAAGTTTTCCCTTTCATTTGCCTCGGTAAATGGCAATGGATGAGAGGACCTTGAGCTCGACCAAGCTGCCGTCACTGACAAAGTTATGTTCATATTGTTAGACCAATGTATCGGTCTGGAGTGATTGCAACAGTTTGGGCTTTGTTTGAGCTTTGTTTAGCCTTGGGGTGGTAAGCCATTCAGCCGAGCTACCACTCAAGATGTTCCGTCTAAATGAATATAAGGAGTTGGAGCAAGGAGGGAAGTAGAGAACTACTTCGTTTTAACATACCCGACTTTATAGCTCCTCTTGCTTTCACTGAAAGGGTAGCAGAAGAAGCAATTGCCAGCCAGAGACTTACACTTACTTCGCTGCCTCCAGCCTGTCTTGTTAAGCGGTGTCTTCTAACTTTTGAGACTCACAATTGTGTAAACAACTGTAGTGATGTAAACAAAGTCTATCATGCCTTGTAAGCTAATATTCATATATGATTTTTCTAATCCTGTGCTCACGGAACGGGTGCTCCAACTCAGTAACAAAATTCGCCGCTTCCGTAGCCGGCACGCTGGCCGCAGCCGCTTACCTCGATGCCAAATACCTACTCCGACATGACCTCTCTGGAGGGTCAATTGCCGCCCAAGCAAAAGATGCTGTGCAATTTCTCACAGAGTGCTGGAAACAGGACAAAACTCTCATGTACCATGTCCTCGAGGCTCATGCGCGAGGGAAGAATCAGGACAACATATTCTTGATCTTCGAAGGCCGCTCCTGGAGCTACAAGCAGTTTTTCGAGGACGTACACGGGGTGGGAAACTGGTTAGTGAAGGATTTAGGAGTTGAGAGGGGCGAGCTTGTTGCTCTGGACGGTGGGAATTCGCCTGAATATCTCCTTCTGTGGTTCGGGCTGGAGTCCATAGCTGCCTGTCCGTCATTTATCAATTGTAACCTTACAGCCGCACCGCTGGTGCACTGTGTGAAGTTGTGCGGTGCAAGGTATTTGCTGGCTGATCGAGGAACGGAACATTTGGTCCAGGTTTGCGAGGAAGAGTTGAAAGAGGCGAATATCCAGACGATATATTATGATTCGGAATTGATGAGTTCGTTCAAAGATAAAACACCCACCCCAGATTCAAGACGCACGGGAATTGGAACAGAGGATCTGGCGTCATTGATATACACCTCGGGTAGGGCCTGGGTAACCCACACGGTCATTCAATTCCGTCGACTGATCGTTGATGTTCAGGTACGGCCGGTTTACCCAAGGCCACTAATTTGATTCGACGGAAAGAACTCACCACGGCTAGGGCAGTGTGTAAACACCTTGACCTTAAGCCTGGCAAGAAGATGTATACGTGTTTACCACTGTACCACGGCGCAGCTCACGGACTTTGCATCAACCCATCAATATTCGCCGGTTCAACTGTGGTTCTCAGCCGGAAGTTTAGCCACAAGACCTTCTGGCCAGAGGTTTGTGAATCGCAGGCGGAGATTATTCAGTACGTTGGTGAACTGTGCCGGTATCTCGTTAATGCACCGCATTCGCCCCTGGATAAAAAACACAACGTGAAAATTGCATGGGGAAATGGCATGCGGCCAGATGTTTGGAGTGTTTTTCGTGAGCGATTTGGTATTGAAACCATAAACGAACTATACGCAGCCACTGATGGGGTATCATCAAGCTTCAACGCCAACAAAGGAGACTTTGGACTTGGGGCAATCGGCGTACGTGGCCTTTATTGGAAATGGGTAAATGGCAGCAACGAAAAGCGGGTGAAAATCGATGTCGTAACTGAGGAAATCCAAAGGGACCAGGATGGTTTCGCCATTGCATGCGAAGATGGCGAGCCGGGGAAAACACTTTACAAAATAGATCCCGCAGCACCCGATGCCGCGTTCGTTGGATACTTCAAAAACAAGGGGGCGGGCGAGAAACGGAAGATTCGCGACGTGTTTCAAAAGGGAGATATGTGGTTTCGGTCTGGGGATATGATGCGCCAAGACCCGGATGGTTGCCTATACTTCGTGGACCGTCTGGGAGATACATTCCGATGGAAGAGCGAAAATGTGAGCACGAACGAAGTCAGCGATGTGCTTGGGAAATTTGACAACATCGACGAAACAAACATATATGGTGTGCAGGTTCCTCATACAGACGGTCGGGCTGGCTGTGCAGCCATTGTGCTGGCGGAAAGCGTGACGGCTGACTCGTTCGACTTTGGCGCACTGGTTAAGTATGTGATAGGCGTGTTGCCTCGATATGCAGTCCCCATTTTCGTGCGTGTTGTACCGGGTTTTGAGACAACTGGGACGATGAAGTTGCAAAAGGGAAAGCTGAGGGCTCAGGGAATTGACCTGGATAAGATCAAGGAAAACGGCACGAGTGACCGTTTGTTCTGGCTTCCGCCTGATGGGAGCAGGTATACTCCTTTCGAGGCAGATCAGTGGGAGGCGCTAAAGGCTGGGAAGATCAAGTTGTAAATTGGAATTCGTTAATGCACGTCGTTGCGGCCATTTTCGTGACAAGGCACTCCATATTTCATAACATGAATGAAATGCAATGTAACAAGACGTCTCGAGTTCGACGTGAGAGGGGTTGGCTGGGTAATAATGATAGTAGAGTTAGACAAATATTGGAGCAACGGAAAGATACGCCTCCAGCCTCGGGCTCGTGTCGCATGCGTCATTCTATGCCGTTTAGCAAGTGGTGAGACGTTATAATGCATATATATTTAAGATGTCAACCAGATAAATTTCCCGTCCTAGGTTGATTTTCAAGATTGGCCCCCATTTTTGGACCCTCCAGTTCCAGAAAACATAACCAAGAACCCGTTAAATCAGATTCATGATGTTATCCTGCAAAGGCTTAACATTTTCCAGCCGCTTAGCTTCAACCTCAACCTCTTTCAACACCCTTAGGACATTCGCCCCCACAATCCCTATCAGATCCTTCTCAGACACCCCGCGTCGCAGCAGCTCTGCAATAAGATCCGGATACTTCGACACGTCTTCTAGTCCTTCCACCGTATTAAACATTCCGTCGAAATCCGCTCCAAGTCCAATATGTGCATACCCGATCAATTCCCCCGCGTACTGAATATGGTCCGCAACATCCGACAAGGACGCGCTTCCCTTGCCATCGCAGCGTGTATACTCCGGGAAAAAAGTAATCATGACCACACCGCCATTCCGCTTCAACGCCAAAAGCACATCATCAGGCACATTCCGCGGATGCGCACACTTAGCATGTATTGATGAGTGGGAGAAAATCACCGGCGCCGACGAAACCCTAAGCGCATGGCGCATTGTATTACTGCTCACATGCGCCAGGTCTACGACCATCCCCAGCCGGTTCATTTCGCGAACCATGGCTTCTCCTGCTGGTGACAGACCGTTATGGAGCGGTAATTCTGGGGATGCGCTGTCGGCATATTTGTTGTGACAGCTGTGGGTAAGGGTGACATAGCGTACGCCAAGTTGATGATACATGCGCATGATGCTGGCGCTGTTACCAATTTGGTGCAGGCCCTCAACGCCAATGAGGCTGGATATCGCATCGGACTTGGCGAAATTGTTCCATACATCTTCCGCGGAGTAGACGAACCGTATATGTTGTGGGAATTGCTTTGCAAGACGGTGGACGAGGTCTATTTGTTGGATGGTATCGTGGACAATCTCTGGGTAAGCATTGTCTGAGAAGTTATTGGAATTTTTGGGGCTGGAGAGGGCTTGGATGTCAGTTATTGGATGTGGTCGTCAAGCTGCAACAATATATAACTTACCACGGAATATAAGCACTCCAGAACTGGCCTCGCAGCCCACCCATTCGCAAACGTGGGAAGTCCACTTGGCCTGGGAGTTCCATATCATCGGACATGTTTTTCTGATATATATCATTTTTGTAAAAGGCTCGAATAAAGAATGGAAAGTCGTTGTGTCCATCTGCATGGCATCATCTTAGCTGACCCTGACCGGCAAAACACAATCCCATTCTGTGTATGAATCAATGCATTGGCAAAATTTACCTATCAGAGGTGCTGCTTGTAGGATCCGGTCCACGGGTGAAATGGATGCAAGTTTGCAATGGAAGATCCTCCATGGAAAAGCAATTGATGGAAATAGGGTAAACAAGGTTAGGAAGATGCATGCCGCCCCAATAGAAAGGGTGGAAACATAACTAGGCAAAAACGACCGGCGCTCTGGCCTGGAATACTCATTACCCTTCTCATGCATTGTTATCTAAAAGCTACTATGGGAGACGTCGACTAACCATCAGAGATTGTGTTGTGTACAAAAAAGGTCGAAGTTGTTAGGCCACTAGGGCAAAAGAGCTCTCTCACAGAACCAATCCAAACCCCTGATCGATTAATAATTCGATTATTTAAGCAGCCCCGGTTTAAGGAGATTCCAGCAAAAAAAAAAAAAACTATCAGTTATGAAATTGAATTACTGCAGATTGAAACGTTATTTCTCAGCAAGTTGTATTTATGTTCAGTATATGGACGTATAATTTTCCGTAGGGCTCTAAGTTCTGTTGCTTGCAATTTGAATTGCAAGTTCTGTTTGGCTTGGGAAAATTTCATATTTCATGCGAGCACAACGAGCGAATCTAGCTCACACCGAGAAAATGTTAGCCTGTGCCAAAAATCGGACGAGGGTCAGTCCCGCCCATTCCATTCCGTAATGATTGTGTTCTCCAGGACATCAAGTCAGACTTTGCCGTGTTGCCTCAAACTCAATCAGCGGCTCGGGAATCGATGTTACTATCATAACATAAGATGTTTGCCCGAGTGTAGTTGCGCGGTTGAGTACTTCGGATTACCAGAGCTGTCAAGTATCCTCATTACTGGAGAACGACGCACACATGCTTCTGGGGCAAGAAACGAAGGAAACAAGTTGGAAACTCACAGTGAGCAAATTCTAACTCCCCCTGTTGGCAGATGAGGTGGGTAGTAGCGGATTGATCCAATGTCGACCTTCCGCCAATAGAAACTATCAACATATAAATCTGTCTAGAAAGTTGAGACATAATAACACAAGCCCCCAATGCGACGATTGTCCCATCTTTCAGGTCATCACCGCATCATGGCAGCCCCTTGCGGAGCCCTCGTGATGATGGTTTTAGAAGTGGGATTTCATCGATCTCGACACACTCATCGGAATCGCCAGAGCAGTTGAAAGAAAAACCTCAGAAAGGTCATGGAAGTTGCTAACTGGTGATGATTTGAGTTGGTGGTCTCGTTGAAGGGGAAAAAAGAGAGGAGGAGAAGAAATAAAAATTTATCGCTTTTTGAACCCAACTAAGGTAGAGTAGAGTAGCCGCTTTAGGAACATTAGTGCCGATCATGTGACCTGACGGGCAAGGCGAAAAGGAGAACCAGCAAATCTTGTCAAGAAAATGCCTACGGAGTACTAAGAATAATGATCCATTCTGTAGTCTAGTAATAATCCAATGTAAACCATTTTATGACTCCAATGTCATGCAAAATTATAATGAAATATTTTGTCAAAGTTGAGCAAAGCAGGCGTGGTCCAGCTTCATACCCAAAGAAAAAACATTCGCTCCAAATGGACGCAAGAAAATCAGTGCTTCATCACAAATTGGCATAAACAGTACCATCCCTTAGCTCGTGAATCGTCTCCTTATCCGCCGGCGAACCAACCTCTGCATACCGCCGCCCATCCCGCAATTCATGAATAGTAATCCGACGATGTCTCGGCTTCTTCGACCGCGCAAATTTCTTGAAAATGCTCCCCCTGCCTCTGTTTGGGCTGCTACTAGATGCACTGGAGATAGAGCTGCTTGTCCCAGCACTACCGCGTGTCATTTCCAAGTACTCGTATTTCGCCGCAAGCTGCTCCCCTTCGTCCTGATACCATTGCCGTAGAGAAGCAATGTATTCATGCTCCTCTGTGCCAAATTCAACAGGAGGCCCATTCATCTGCACATTCGTATCGCCTCCCCTAGGGAAGACGGCCCACGCACTAGAAGTCATGCTGAGAAGCATCATTTTGTGGTCCATGCTCTGAACTTTGAAATCGCGAAGGAGGATTACATCCCCTTTTTTTGCGATGGGGAGCGATGATTTCGTGCGTCGGAAGATTTGAGCACATACAGTTATGCCAGACATAGAAGGTTCTGTGAGATGTAGTGTCGTATAATACTCCCGGGGTCCACTCCGCGACCGTGATATTTTCGAAGATGAGATAACTACGGATATGGTATCTGTCATCTTGTTGAAACTATCAGCGAGGGTGGACAAAGGACAGAAATACGATAGGCCGCTACGAAGGCCAATAGCATTGGTATTCGGTTGAAATATGGTAGGTGATTCAATCGTAGCATTTCGAATTGCATCGGCATGCTCCATCTCCTTCTTCTTTTGTGTATCATACTTTGTGGTATTATCGATGCCAACATTTTCTAGAATCCTTGGTGCTTGCCTCTCAGGAGAGTGTGGAATGGGGAGTGATGGCCCATTAACCAGGTCGGGCGTTTGGGGGCTAGTATCGCGAATTTGCTCCTCCATGTCACAGAATAGTTGAGAAGCAACGAGCTCATCTTCAGTTGGATGAGAGTCCGACGACGGAATCGAGGACAGAATATCTGAATATTGCCCAGCTTCTATAAGTGTAACAAGTTGGCTTTCCGAATTCGGTGCTAATGAAATCCTGGGCTCATTCGTACCATCGACATCAGCAACTTTGCCGTGAGGTAGTCCGTGATCAACGCTACCCCGGGGATCGGAATCGGTCACTGAGCTCCTCCGGGTTCCAGGCAGGTATAATTGAGGATCAATAGCAAGTTCATTGGACAGAGCGAGCTTAGTTTCTGGTTCCTCATCAGACATGAAACCTGAGAAGGAAGGGCTTGCATGGCGGTACTCGTTTAGGTCTTCAGGTTTATGGCCGGTATCTTCGCCTTTACCATTGACCACCACAGAATCTGCCTCAATGTGAAGTGCTGTTTCAGCTACGTAACCAATCTTTTCTTGCCGAGGAATCTCATCGAATCTAGAAGCATTTCCAAGATTTTTGGGAGTAAAATCTTGCACAAGTATCTCTGTTTCCGCCCCGGAATCTCCCGCTTCTAGTCGTGGACTCTCACCAAATCCAATCTGAGGTTGGGAACCAACAGTAGTAAAGTCCTGTTGCGATAAGTTTGTCCGTTTGATATCGCCTGATGCCAATTGAACATCCGGACTGTGGATATCCACATGCTGTGGAGCAGAAGTAATACCAGGGGAGGCCTGACTTTCGTCATCACTATCCAAAACGATTATTTCTGGCGTAGTACGGGGAACAGCAAGATAAGTCGGTCTCGGTGGAAAGGCATCCTCATCCATCTCAAGCCCCGAACTTTCATACTCCTCTTCAGATTCGAGTTGTGGTGAGTATTCATAGGCACCACTTTCCATTTCATCGCCAGAGTGTATTTCCATGTCCTCGTCCCGTTCCTCTTCAGCTAACTCCTGCTCCTCGTAGTTTCCGTTTTCTTCCTGCTCTTCATCCTCATTCCCAGCCTCCTCCTCGATTCGCTCTTCCATTTCTTCCTCCAACTCCATCAACTCTTCCTCTAGATCTTCATCCAGTTTCCGGCTTACATCCTCTTCGAATATATCTGCATGTTTCTCATCCGCATGTTCTTCAAGGTCTTCTTCAAGCCGTGATCGCACAGATCCTCCCATATATTCATCAATCAATTTTTCACCTTGACCGTCCTCATCAATCATCTCTTCGTCTACATAGCATCCCCGCCGGGAGGGGTCTTGTGGCATTGTTAAAGCAGATTGCCGATCCTCGCCTTCTAACTCTGTTGAATGGCGCTTGCGCTTCTTCGTACTAGTCACTGGCGCCACATGGTCAGGCTCGGTGGTTTTGTGATCAAACTGGTCTTGTTTACTAAGGCCATAGACAGGTGTTGAGGATAAGGGACCGTTGATTTTATCAGCACAAGGAACAGCCATACGATGTACGTCTTCAGGCGCTGTTACTGTAGCCTCATCTTGAAATCCTGCTTCATCGCCAGTTTGACCACTTATGCTTGGTGTAACAAGTTGGGAGGAGGTAGTGTCGTGTCCATGAAACAGGCTCGACGTTGGGCTGCTGGATGGTGGTAGATCGCAACTTGCATTTGAGAATAGCGTTTCAAGAGAAGAGCCGACAGGAACCTTAGGAGCTGATTTTGGCACTGGTGGTGTAGCAGCACGCTCAAGGTTGACTACCGGTTGTTCTTGCTCAAACGAATTGCCAAACGAAGTAAAAGGTGTTATGGTCGGTTGCTGTGAATGTGCAATATTCCGGCTTGAGTTCTGGGAAAATATGGCGGTCGGATACTCGGTTTGAGAGTGGGTAAAGGTATCGTCCATACTTGAGGATTGCAGTAGCTGCTTCAGTGGCTCCGAAATCTCCGTAGCCTCATTTTCTTGGACTCTATCATCCATATGAACAGTCGCTTGGGAATTAGGAACGGTATCGCCTTGGGAAAAATGTCCCTCCACTGTAGTATCTTGTTGGTCCTCGTCCAGTGCAAGGGCTTCATCTTCCCATCCATCCGCAGCAGCCGGCGGGGGACTGGGCGACGTATCGACAAAAATCCATTCACTGCTTGGCCTACCGAATTTCGTCCGTTTCCTCCCCTTACCCCAGATATACCCATCCTCTTCTTCAAGTGGATTGATTGCTGAATTTGGAAGGGAACCAAAGGACCTACTGAACTTCTGCGAAAATGCAGGTGAAGCCCAATTTTCTGTAACCAAGCCAGTAGGTTGTCCGTTCGTTTCTGTTTGTGGGGTTGAGGGTGATCGATTGGGAGTTGCTGGGATTGTGCCATTAATATGTGGGTGATCGTCCCGAGAAGCTTCGACCTTGACAGTTGCAAACAGCTCGGAATCGCGGTATACCTAAAGATATATATATGAGTTGACAAATGCCCCATTTTTGCATTCTCTGCTCGGAATTATCTGGATTAAAATAGAATTACCTCAAGCCGCACACCGTTCGAAAATGCAAGAACCCAATCAATATTCTTTCCTGGGGTACAAATTTCCGCGTCATGATTCTGAAACCGTGTACCGTCAAGACTCAAAATCACAGTATCCCCGATGCCAACTTGTGATTCTGCCACCGCTTTCGCACTCATACCTCGGAAACTGACTCTGACCTGGCCCTTTCTGTCTCTGAGTCGGAAATCTGGCTCCGAAAGGAGCAAGCTAAATTGCTCCGTGGCAGACGAGTATGGCCATAGCAGTATCACAACGGCCCGGATATGACGTTCCTCGAGATTATCAAGGGACGGGGAGAGTTGCTCGAGAGGAGTTTGCATCCTCGAAGCCAGAGCCGATGCCCCGTGCAAATGAGGCGAAAGATCCATGATGTTTTCCACGACCCGATGACGGCTTACATATTATCGCGGACGGTGCATCGTGTCAGAAGTCGAGGCCGAAACGAGGCCAAGAAGACGTTGTGGTCACGGGCTCCAACGCCATGTGAAAGCAGTGCTGTGGGATCTGATATTGGTAGGCAGCATCGCTACTAGTAGTCAGGACATGATCTGAGGAGGACGTGATCGATCCAATGGATGATGCCAGGCCTGTGTGAATCACGTGATATTTTTTTTTTATCAGGAATGGGATTGGCGTTCGTTCTTTTGACCCCTTCCCTCCAGGAGCATAGAGTTCACACAAGCATTTTTTACCAAAAGTCAGTTTGCCATGCATCTTTGTATAACTCATTACTCACATACACTATCATACCCCCTTTACTTCTCCATGGGGACCGCCGTCGAGGACTTCCACAGCAACCCTACGCCATGTCCTCAACACTACTTTGGTTGTGTCTTCAGCTGGTAAGTATTCCCCACGATACGGGAACGACCGAAAGGCATCATTCCGTCTTGCTCAAGGCTTCATGCCACCCCCGTCCTTCTTTCCCCTGGCAGCCGTGAGGGACCCCGTTTATAGGCGTCAGAGATCTGCAAGCCATAGATCTGATCCGCTGGTACGGTTTTCATCAGTGCATCCAAACTCGCCTTGAACTTCTAATTCAAATTAGGTTCCCTGATTTGTACAATGCACCTCATCTCGCTTCCTCAACAAATCCTGAGGGATTTGTGGATTCCGCCTACTCACCACCAGCCACCTGGGCGTTGTCGAGACACAACTCAAATTTTGGCCTGTTGACTTCACGGACATGCCCATCGCATTTCCATAAGGAAGCGTGCGTGGACCAGCACCAACCTTCATAAGCCGGACCCATATTATGTGCACTCAGTAAATATGCTAGCCGCTCAGAGATCTGAAACTACATCCTCACGATTCGTGGATATCTCATGGGCTGGAAAGAGTCTGTGGGTCCAACCCTTTGATACGCGGAGGTTGCAAGATTACCAATTATACTTGAAGCATGTTCGTCCCACACACTTATCAACTCCATTGCTCTTTGGAACGCGTCGTATCACTCTTTAGATCCATTTTAGCAGGATGTAACATCATCACTCACTCTAATGCCAAGTATGCGACACATCAGTGGACTTCCCCAGTTGCCGTACAAAGAGCGTTGTAGTCATTTGCAGTTATATCTTAATGGAGACCCTGGTTTGCAAAATCCTGGAGATTGGGGCATGCAAGTTCAACCGCGGAGAATTCCGCGAGTTTTCTGAGTAATGTATATCCAATAGACATTTCCAGCCTTCACTTTTCGCTATTTTATTGATGTTTAGTTGATCCCATGTTATTGCAAAAAGTGCAAAATTTGCCCACTACCCACTTCGTGCGAGATCTATCATGTGCAACCAGTGTCTCCTCTGGAAGTTACATTTGCATTAAAGCATCATTGCAAGCTGCAGACTGGGAACAGACAATGCTGGAATTTGCACAAACTGCGATATTTATTATGGTTACAACCGAAGTGACCCAAGGGTACTCGTGATATGACGTCACATTCCAGTTGTTCAGCCAGGTAGTCGTGTGGAGGAACACATTTGGCACTTGCGGGGGAAAATTGCCATCAGAGGCCGTTTCATTTCGCCCTCTTTCCAAACAAAAGTAATTCAACTGTGGATGTCGTCAGCGTGCCGATTGATTGGGTATCTGGTCAAACTTTGACTGGCTTTTATCCACACATCCGCAAATCAAATACACTGTTTCGCATATCCCTAGAGCCGAAACGCCGACGCGGTAGTTAGTGATAAACGCTGGACAAGATAGCCCAGGGATTTATGCGAGCAGTGGCCACATATAAAGCAATCAACGCCTGTATTGACCCGCCAACTGAGGATTAGTGCTTCTTTAATGTTGGACGATGCGAGGCATTTCCTCCCCCCGAATCCGCAGTGTAGCAATTATTGGCGCCGGCCCGTCAGGGTTGGCTGCGGCCAAGTATGTATTTGATCAGTGTTCCCTCAGATTGCCGTTCGTAGCGGGATACTGACCCCGTAGATTTTTGTTGGCCGAAAAATGGTTCGAGAAAATTGACATTTTCGAACAACGGAGTCGGGTTGGTGGGGTTTGGAACTACTCACCGGCTGCAGACAAGAAACGTGCTCCGATTGATATCCCACAAACCAACGCCCACTTACCTGTTGAAGAGCCCATTTGGCATTCGTCGGTTGGATCACAAGAAGACGCGGACTCAGCGGGGGGAAAAGGCAGAAAGGAAGCCTCATTCATATCCCCGCTCTACGATGGCCTGGAAACGAATATCCCTCATACTTTGATGCGGTTCTCAGATAAACCGTTCCCCGCGGATACACAGCTATTCCCTGGATCTGAGACGGTTCTCCGATATATAGAAGAGTACAGTGAGGATGTCAAGCACCTGATACAGTTTCAAGTCCAAGTTGTGGATGTGAGGCTTGATGACGCACATACAGGGAGTTGGGTGGTCACAAGGAAGCATTTGGAAACGGGATCTAAAGAAGATGACGTCTACGATGCCGTTGTGGCAGCGAATGGGCATTATAACGTACCATATATCCCATCGATCCCCGGGATATCGGAGTGGAATGCGGCGTATGCAAACGCAATAACACATTCCAAGTCATATTCATCGCCTGCCGAGTTTCGGGATAAGAAAGTTGTCGTTGTTGGCAACTCCGCCTCGGGACTTGACATTGGGGCTCAAATTAGAACCACATGTCGCAAACCACTTCTTGTCTCAGTAAGATCTGCTTCCAGCTTCGCCGTCGGACCTGATGACGGCAGCAAAATCGAGTATCCGCAAATTGTTGAGTTCCTGCCACCAACTACTCATAACAGGGCTGTTCGATTTGAGAATGGGGAGATTGAGGAAGACGTTGATGCTGTGTTATTCTGCACGGGATATTTTTACTCATTCCCATTCCTTTCATCACTGAAGCCTCCAGTGGTTGAGGATGGAAACAGGACACTCCACGTTTACCAGCAAATATTTTACGCCAACCATCCTACTCTGGCCTTCCTCTGTTTGGGTCAGAAAATCACCCCTTTCCCAGTAGCGGAAAATCAGAGTGCTGTTATTGCCCGAGTCTGGTCCGGACGCCTCAATCTTCCCTCAAAGCAAGAAATGTACCAGTGGGAAGATGCTGAGATAGCTGCCCGTGGACCTGGCAAGGCCTTCCACGTTATGAAGCATAACTTGGATGCTGAGTATGTCAATGGGTTGCATGCATGGGCTGCCAGTGCGGAGCGGAAGCCTGGTCTTGAAAATGAAGGTTGCGGCAGGGAATGTACTTACTGGAGTGAAAAGAATAAGTGGACTCGGGAGCGGTCCAAGCTAATCAAAATGGCGTTCATCATGAAAGGAGAAAAAAGGCATCAATGTCGAACCTCAGAAGATGTGGGTTTTGATTTTGAGGCGTGGAAAGCGGAGCAATTGATATCATAGATATAGAATTGATTTGATAGCCAAGCATCTAACAATTCAGCTTCCATAAATCACGCGACGAAACGCGCCAGAAAATACACTCCAGCTAAAAGCAAGAGGATTAATGTAAGCCTTCATAACTCCATAAATCTTAAGAATTAAACACTCGTTAAAGAGAATTGATATTATCAATTATTTTAATTTAATTAACCTATAGCTATTGGCAATTGCTCTCTTATTCTCTAAAAAAAGAAGAAGAAAAGAAAAGAAAAACCAGATTCCTTCTTCAATCTCTTTTTATAAATAATATAAACCAAAACAATGACTTGGCTCAGGTGGAAGGAGGGGAGGTTAAGCCGCCAAGCGGTGAAGCTTGGCGGGAATCATCACGTGGGACAAGGCAAGTCCTTTCTCAGCAGTCTCTTACTCAAAACTAACTAGTTCATCGATTAGCTAGCCGAATATCATAGCATTGCCTTTGAGTACATCCTCATTTCCACTTGCTCCTGGACATGGAACGTATGTATTTTGGGTGCTACATGATACAAGAGTCAACTTGTTAGGAATTCGGCTACTTAGTTTTTCCCTGTTTGTTGAAAATGGATAGTGTTTTTGTCACTCCTATGCTTGCATACTGATAATGCTGTCTCGACTTGTCCCTGCTACCACTTCACAACCACCACGCAAATCTAGAAATACACCCAGCATCCAGGAATCCACTACTGCTGGATCGGAGAGCTCGTTTGACCTATCTGACAAAGTATCTGTCAATAGTTCTCAGGAATATCCTATAAAGAGTATTATTGGCGAATCTCGCGACAAGTATCTCATTGCTTGGGAAGGCCCGTACGAACCAACCTGGGTAAGTTCTATGTGAGGAGCCCATGTTCACCGCTTGCACCAATTTTGCGGCTACACTGGTTTATCCCTTTTAGTCGATGTCATATGGTTTTTGCTTTTGTGTTAGCGCTTGACCACACTATTGAGGTACATGTTTGATTTCCTCTTCGTCGTTGTGGCAAGGTCAGCTAAAGGTTCATTCTCCAGGAACCCAAGCACTTTGCAAACGACGTTGCAATTCGGTTCTGGGAGAATAAGAAGAAGGGGACAGGGAGTGTTGCCAACAAGTCTTGTGACTTTGATCATCAGTCTTCTTTAGAGTCTTCAGCAACCTCTGCCGCTGGTCCACCATCTACGGTGCCAGAGACTGCGCACTCAGGTCTCAGTCAAAGTTCCGTACTTTCGAGTGGTGTGGGCAACCAACCTTCTTCAAATCCTTCTCAAGGCTCTGAAGCAAGTGGCAGTTTGTACTGTCCAGGCACCTCTGACCTGGCCACCCAGTCGAGCGGTGGTGGCTCAATTCAAAGCCAACACCAAATCTTGACCAGAGGCGCCCTTCGACTTTGTTCAACACAGTCTCTTAGCGATCACTCTCTGTCCACTCAAGTTGAACAGAGCCCTACTTCAGGATCACCCCGGTCTTCAAGTCATTGCTCCCGTCAATTCATTCCACGCAAAACCCGTAGTGAACTATTGCACCAACTTCGACATCCGGCACGCCACGATAAGCTGCCAGTGTCGCACAATAGTTCGTCCTCAAGCCTATCTACAAATCCTTTACAGATTGGCTCTACAGCGAAATATTCCTTAGGCATAATTCAATTCCAGGATACGCACGGTTATCCTGCATGCGGGGAGACAGATTTCGATCCAGGGAAGGCAAAATCAAGTTCATGCAACAGCGGAACCGCGATTGAGATCGCTGAGACTCCTCCAGCACGCCTCTCATTGTATCATAGCGAGAGCAGTAGCCATTCTAACCCGCCCCATTGTCATACCACTCTATCTCGCGTTTCAATTCATCGTTCCCCTTCGCAAACCTCACAATTCGGTAAATACTTTCCGAGGGCCGGCCCAATTATACTCCTATCACTAATACAAGGCCTCCAGTATATAAAACACCTATTCGCCAGCGAGACGTTAGTTTAAGCAGCACCGTGAAGAGTCTCCCTGTTTACACTCAATCCCCGGATCCAACGACCTGGCAAAAGAACTTTCAACTTTCTAGGAATCTGAATAGCATATCCGTGTCCACCTCTACACAGTCGTCTATCAACGGTGTAGCACAGCAATCCGCGAATATTCCACGAAACTTCATCAGCATGGATGAATCCGCGGCTTCTCGCGAGACACCGAAACCGCTAATTACCATGGAAGAAGCGCGCCGTAATAATCCAGGGACGAATTTTCGTGAGAAAATGAGATTTATTCGTGCACATGAACGCTCTCTCATCGGAGAGCAACAGAGCGTCAGTACAAGTGTAACACCTTCCTCTGCTGGCGACATTGAGCCATCACAACCTGCTCCTGCTAGAGATGGAGTATCACCCCTTAATATCCGTGTCGACAAAGAGCCTCAGACTCATCCACCACATGTCATGGCGGCGGCTGAAAGCCCCAGCACGTTTATTGCACCGCAGGCTCTACATTACGATGTGGAAAATCCAGCTACTGTCGCGGAATTCCTCTCGGGGTCACAACCAACCCTTGCTGGAGAGGCAGGGTTTCCGGAAGTTTCAGCCGAGACAATAGTCGAGCCAGAGGCAGGTTTCGGACCGACCGCCGCCTCCATTGAAAAGGTTACAGAACCTGTTGGCATTAAACTCGGGCCCATGGAATTCGCTATTCCTCTCTCCATGGATTCTAGAGTAAAGGATGATTATGATGTTACTCTTTCTGCTGAGAGTAAAACAATTGAGAAATTTTTGAGGGAATCCTCATCCCTGGGAGAGAATATGAGCAGTTCTGATCTAGAGGTTTGTTGACCCTTTGTGACATTTGACATAACATATCATCAGTTCTCACACAAATATAGTCCGATACCCAAATCTCGAAGATGCGGAAGTTGATTGATCGCTTGAAGAACATTACAACACATCCCGATCTCAATGACCAACCTGCCGCAGCCGGTGCCAATCCGGCCAAGGAGGCCGCGTGGGCGGAATATTCGAGCTCGAAATTTCAATTTCTAGGTTACTTAATTGATGCAGCCGCTAATGATGATTTGCATATTCTTATAGTTGGAGGAACCGAAAACGCTGTCAAACTAGTGGAAAATTATTTTATAGGCAAAGAATTTGCTTATACCCAACCATCGACAAATGGGCCGACTGATGCTGAGTTGTCCCTCTGCAAAGGGCAACTCAGCTTTACGATACGATCAGCGACTGATGACCGAATACTACAACCCTATAAACCCCCGGCTGCGATTATTGCTCTCGATAATTCTATCGATGTGGACGCCCCAGCTATTCGGAAAGTACGAACCGAATCTTCCGCTCATGGAAAACTTTTACCGGTTATTCGCTTGCTTGTCTCTAATACTTCAGAGCATGTCGAACGGTGTTTACCAGACACATCAAAAATTAATGCCCTTCGTCTTCTTGTCAAGTATACGCGGGACTTCAGTAGTACCGCGGGAGAGCTTCAAGATGACGCGCTAGGAGTGCAAGAAAATGCGGAGGAAGTTGCCCTTTACTTAAAAATGGACCCTGCTACACGCGTGTGGCCGATTGCAGCGGTTGAGCTAATACCGATCGAGACTCCGAGAGTGTCACCTGCTTCTGTGGAAGCCGAAGAGCTTCGATCGATGTCATCTTCACGACAAAAGCGTTTTTTGGTAAGCAGAAAGATTGATGAAATCTAAAGTGTATGGCACTAATCGACGTGTAGGAAAACGATGAGGGTCAAGCTAGTAATCAGACAAAACGGCAGCGAATCAGCCCTTTCCAAGATATCACTCACATCAGCGACTCAAACAAGGGACCAACACAGTCGCAGGATGAAGCCGATTCTCACCTTAGCGAACGAAGTTTAGCCGAAGCTAAAAACGCAACGGGATTTGAAGTTAACCAGCTTCAGGCTGCGTTGGCAAAGATGCAAACGAATCTACAAACCATGGAGAAGAGTTTCTCCCAACTGCAACACCGATATGAAACCAGACTAAACAATTACCACAAGTTACGCAAGGAACTGGAGGAAGCCCTCGAAACCTCAAAGAAATCTTCCGAGCGCCTCGAACGGCAGAAAATGGAGATAGCCAAGCTCAAAGACGAGAAAGCCATCTTAGCCAAAGAGCTGGATGAAGCTAGAACTACCATAAAGGAAGGGGGAGGCACGGATGCCGAGTTGGAGAAAACGCGAGAGGAAGTGCGCCGCCTCACCAAGGAAAATGCCAGCCTCCAACGCACAGTCCAGCAAGAGCGCTCTCAGGCAGAATATACAAGGCAACAATACCAAAACGCATCCACATCGGCGGCGCAATCAGCAATGGAGCTCCAACAACTCGAGGAAGAGTTGGCCAATCTGAAAGCCAAGGCCGCGGGAGACCTAACGAAGTTGAAAAAGTTGCGTTTGCAAAACAACGAGCAAACGCATCTTGCTCGGATTGAGGAACTCGAATTAACGCTAGCGCAAAGGGATGAGTTGTTAAGCCGGAAGGAGGAGGAGCTGCGGGAGTTGAAGAAGAATCGGCCGTCGACTCGAGCGACAAGTCTGCAGCCTCGCAGCCCGAAGTGGGGTTCAAGTCGTCCCACGAGCCCTGGAGTGAATAATGTTAGCAGTGCGAACATTCGGGGTAGTACGTTGAGGTTTCCGTGCTGAATCAATTGGGCTGAGATCCTATCCGTGCGTATATGTATATATACATATATATGAATTTTGTCGTTCTGATTAGGTTGGTGGATGGATAGAGTAAGTTTCTTTTTATGTTTTATATGTAGTTGTATTCGTTGTTCACATCCACTACCCAGATGGGATTTTATATTACTTCCAGTTGAACAGCCACCACGATGAGAAGGCAGGCAAGCAGCGGGAACTTGTTGGAAGATTGAGTCATGGTTTTGTTTCTTAGTTTTTCCCCCTTTTTGCTACTTTCCTGCTTGCGAATATCCTTTATTTTTACTTTATATATTACACTCATCCGCATAACGATGCAGGTGCCCGGGGTGGACTGGCTGCTCGTAAAAATTGATACGAATGACTTCTGGTATTTTTCTTGTTTCCATTTTGGTTTATTCGGTTTACTATTTGTCATTTGCTGCTCCATTTATATATACCGTTCGGGCTTTATTGTTGAGTGTCGCAATTACTGTTTGACTTATCCATGGCGATCCTGGGCTTGACTGGAGTTCTTTATTTTTATTTTATTTTTTATTTCGTTTTTATTTTGATCTTTTGTGCGGACTTGGTTTTGTATATAAATTACGCATATGATATGGCGATATTTGATGATACGTTTGTAATTATTGCGCAGAATAACCAACAGTCCGTAGTCAACTGTCTGAAGCAATCAAGCTGCAAACTTAGTTGCCTGAAGGAGCTCAATACTTAACTTACGTGAGCGCCCCGGCTAAGCAACTGGAGCCCGGTAAACTTTTGTCCCCCTCTTGACCTTGGTGGCCATTCAAACCCCACCAAGTTATAACCTGCTCTACATCTACGCAACAATAACAAAATTATTTGTCCCGCCTCTATATTTTGCCAAAAAGGCGACCCTACAAAGAAGGAAATTACATCGTAGTCTACTTACTTATAACCTTAGGTTGCGTGTTCGTATCAACACGGCATCATCCGAACGCAACCACGTGCGTCAATAGCCATGCCAGCCTCCCCCGCTATCTCAGTTCCAGATCTGTCTACCCCACCCATCACGTCCCCCACGTACAAGCTTGAAGTAACTGCGTACCCGGAGGCTAAAGATGCCCTTTCGAATGGCTTATTGCGTCTGAGGACAGACCACGTCAGCGGGGCCAAAGACCTCGCTACGACGGCAGTATTTTCATTGGTGCGCATTGCAGAAATTATCGCGGAGAGACTTATTGAGGAGATAAAGCAGGATGAGGCGCAGACACACGGGGGTAAGTTGCACGGTTCGCCTCACTCGGCGGTGGAGACATGGTGGGAGTCGTGTCGGAAGGCTGGGTGGATCCTTTCTAAATACGGGCGACCGAGTATGAATGCGGCGATTACAAATGCAATTGTCAAGGTGTTGGATAGGAGCAGGCTGGGACTGGCACGGCTGGATGAAGAGATGGTTAGCGATCGATGTGGGGCATGCGGGTTGAAGAGGAAGGTGTCCGGAGCGGATGGTGACGGGGGGGAGCAGGCTGAAGCTCAAGAACGATGTATTAGGATGGGTGTTGAGAGGATGCATGCTTATTTGATGGAGAGGAATGAGGATGCCACACGGACGCACATTGCCGTGGCGTTACGGCGGTTTTTATATGAGAAAGGTACTGTCCAGGATCAGAGACGAGTGGTGAAGATCTTGACCCTAAGCTCCAGTGCAACGGTTGTTAATGCGTTGGCGACGGTGTTGGAGACGGAGAGCAAGGAGAGCGGGGATAGAGGGTTGAATATTCAGTTGAAGGTCATGGAATCTCGACCGCTCTGCGAAGGGGTAGACTTTGCCAAAGAGCTCGTACACCGCGCAGGAGACGTCGGGGCCACAGATCGGCTGCATATAGAGATCGCATCGGATTCTAGCGTTGCAATCCTAGCGAGAGACGTTGATGCTGTTCTACTGGGAGCTGATCGGATATCTGACAACGGCAATGTGAGCAACAAGACTGGTAGTTTACCTGCTGTTCTTTGTGCGAAAATGTTGTCAGATAAGGTGTCTGTCGTCGTAGTATCTGATCTCGATAAAATTTCCACGCCGGGAGCAATGGAGACGTATAGAGAGGAAGAGAATGACGTACGAGAGCTGGAGTGCCTATGGGACCAGCATCCTGGCAGAACCGTGAAGCCGGCCTCATGGCGCACAATAGTGGAGGCTCGAAACGTGTACTTTGAGTGGGTCCCCGCAAAATATATCGATCGCTATATCTGCGAGACAGGTATCCTAGATCTCAACGGGATTAGAGAGCAATCTGAAAAGGCCCAACGTGTGGAACGACAATTGTTTGGCTGTTTCCCCTAACGTTGACATGGAAGACAGTGATCTACGTTCAGAGTAACAAACAGCCACTGGCCCGAAGGCGGTTCTACTTCCCCGTTCTGGTCCGGTCATATCGACAAAGTGCGAGAGACAACTGGCAGCCCATATAAGCAGAGTAGCTAGCTAATAGCCTCTCCACCTTTCGTTGTTGTTCCATTTTGTGATGTTTTCCCAGGTTGATATCACGTTTTCCATTTTGGGATGCACGTGGGGAACCTTCAGCCCTACAGATCGACACCAGTCCCAAAACGGCAATTCGTAAACAAGCAACACATCATCCCGGCCGAGGCACCCAACAACCATGACAATCATAACATTAACCCACATCACAACTCTCCTCATCACGCAGCATATCAGCTTGTCTAATGGAGCTGCTAATCATCTGGTATTAACTGAAAATGGATGTACAACCTCCATCATAACGGCCTCCTCCAATTCTCTCATTATCAACATCCCTGTCGCTCATTGTTAGGTAAGCGTGCCGCATTGTTTGTCGTACTGTTCTGTTCACCCGGCGGACTGGTCTCATCTGAAATCCCACCTCTTCTGTTGATGCTCATTCTTATGGTATCTCTAATTGTCCACCGCTCTAGTTCATCCTATTACCATCTCTTCCGCGCCAATTCTTTGTAGCAATGGCTCCGGCAGCACCAGTTCTTCCCACTCGATTCCCCTGTTGGTGTCAGGCTGTATACTCATGGGGTGGAGAAACAAAGAGAGACTTGGGGTTTGTGGAAGGAGATCTGATCGAGTGCTTGAATGCGGGTGATGGCTCTTGGTGGACTGGCCGTCTACGTCGAGACAAACGCATGGTTGGAGTGTTTCCCTCGAACTTTGTCAAGGTACTTGGGGACGACTTCGTCCCGGGAAGCCGGTCGGTCAGCCCGCTCCATGGCGGGCCCGCAAGCTCTACGATGGATTTACGCCGGATATCAGCTTCCAATTCTGCAGCATCGCCCAGGAAACGAAAGACGGTTTTTCGAAAACCATTCCAAGGCTACAAAGAAGGTGTAGGGCCTTCTGAAGCTCTGAAAACGCGGCAGAATGATGAGGATACGCATAGCAACATCCCCAATAAAAATAGCAGTAGCAATAATACTGGGCATATCGTTTCGCCCTCAGGGAATCCTTGGAGAGCGAGTACAGGCTCAGCAGGCACGCCTCCATCGTCAAACCAGCATCGCGGATCTCTTTCGCGTCAATCTCCTCGTCGTTCTCCACGTTCTCTTTCTCCTGCCCCCGTTCAGCATCGACCATCCATCTCTCATGCCATACCTCCCTCACCTGGTCAGCATGCTGGGCTGACTTCTCGTGAAATATCTCCTGCACCTATTCAACATCATGGTTCTATCTCCCACCATCCTGCTCGCGCAGTCTCACCATCTCCTATGCACCATCGTGGGTCTTTCTCTCATCACCCTCCTCGCGTAGCTTCTCCTTTGCCGGTACGACATCACCATTCCTTCTCTAATCCTCCACCGAATACCACTTCCGCAATGCCGATGCAACATCGTGGTTCTTTCTCCCATCATCCCCGTCCTGTTTCTCCGGCACCAGAACAGTATCATGGGTCTATACCGCGTGCTGCGTCTCCCTCACCAATACAACATCATCAGCCTTTCTCTAGCCCACATCCTCGTGCTCTTTCTCCTGGACCAATGTACCATCCTGATTCCACATCTCGCGCCGCGTCTCCTTCACCAGTACATCATCATCACACTTTCTCCCAGTCACATCCTCGAGCACTTTCTCCCGGGCCACCACGAGATACTGAATCTCCTCCCCCGCTGCCGCCTCCTCACCGAATTTCTGTGAAAAACAAGCAGCAAGTAAGGAATAGTCCATCACCTGTTCCTGCGCCTTATGATATGAATCATGCGTACCCTACCATCGCAAGGACTCCTTCTCCAAATTCGCAATCTAATGCTATTTATGGACACACTCCATCTCCTGTGAGGGATGCTATGGAAGACGTCATGTCTTCATTGCAAGATATGGGTCTAAATCACAACGGCTCGCAAGAAGAACCGCGTCGGTCCCCTTCACCCTTCCATCCATGGTCCCCGGAAACATTTGATAACCCACACGAACAAGGCACATCTGATCCAACCCATCGCCCTCTAACCTCCTTAGGACTGAGCGGTGGCGATGGCCAGCGGCAGGAGAACAAAAATCAGCATGGTTTTACTAACCAGTACAATGATGGCCCTCCTCAACTCAATAATTATGTCCAGAGAATGGAAAACAGACTCCGCCAATTGCATGCACAGAGTAGAAAATCTTCCTATGAGCTCCATATAACCCCCAGCAGTAAAGACCTTCCGCCCATACCTCACCCAAAGGATCTCTCCCATTCCAGACCGCAATCATCGTCAAATCGAGATTACCAAGAGCCACGATTACGGACTCGAAGATCTGCCTACGAATTGAACAAAGACGTTCTTGGGCGGACATTTACAACGAAATCCGACGCAACAAATTCTTCCAGTGGCGTCCAAAGCAATGCAAGTGGCACTTCAGGATTTAGCGCAACTAGCGCTGCAAGCTACGCACGGCGTACCAATAGACAGGATACCGCCATAGATAACCTTCATCTCTCTGGACTAATAGGTTCTGATAAATCTTCTAACAGCGGGATGCGGCCTCAAACACCGTTAACCGGAATTTCATATCACTCCAGCCATAATTCCTCTAGACAAGGAGCAACTTCTGCCATTGGATGGAACGAGTACAGTAAGGATGCCCCAAGCATGTATGGCGGCCTGACTACACCCAAGTCAAAAAAGACAGGCTTTCTGAAAAAGATTATTGAATCTGCTAAAACGGGAGCTGCGACCGCAAGAACCAATATTGCCACAAGCCCAGTTGGAGCAGTATCACCGACCAAAGGTCGCAAAGCTGTGGGAATCTCATCATATGCATCTCCTCACTCAGGAAAAAGTGCAGCAAGGGACGTGGGATTGGGTACATCCATGGATTGGGTCCAGGTGCGACGGGACGTCAACAGGTGTATCACTCCAAGCCGTCATGAACTAATCGAGAGAGCAGAGAGGTGCCAGATGCTCGACTGTCCTGTGATATACGCGGTGGAGGAACTCTACGAGAGTGCAGAGGGAGATGAGGGAATAGATGGTTTACCAATTGCAGAACCGACTAACTGGGGTGCTGTGAATTTACAGCTGGTGGACAAGAGTGTCCGGTTCATAAGCAGTCTGCCTGCGATGATCAACCCAGTCAGTTTATCCCAAGGGTATATCTGTCGCCCGCATCGCAGCGATGGACAGCGATTACGTGCCATATTTACCTGGGTTGCGGAAAAGATTGCATGGGATGATGACATTGATGGGGACGTTGACTTGAAAAGAGTATTGCATATGAAAAGAGGTTGCCCAAAGGAAGTTGCTTATCTGGTACAAGAAATGTGTTCCGCCGTTGGAATACATGCCGAGGTAGTTCATGGCTATTTAAAAACACCCGGAGAACAACTGGATCTTGATCGCCTCTTCAATCCAAATCATTGGTGGAATGCTGTCCTGATAGATGGCGAATGGCGGATCATGGATTGCTCCCTGGCAAGTCCAACCAACCCTCGAAGAAGCTTGTATTCGAGTTTCAATTCGCAGGTTGCTGAAAGCTGGTATTTCCTAACCCGTCCCATGGAGATTTGCTATTCCCACATTCCGATTAACCCTGAGCAACAACATATCTGCCCACCCGTATCACACGATGTTCTTCTTGCGTTGCCCTGTGCTTGTCCCCCGTTCTTTAAAAATAATTTGCGGTTCCCAAACTTTGACACCAGCCTTACCCGTATTCATGGTCTTGAGGCTGTCCAACTTCGTGTGTTCGTACCCCATGATGTCGAATGTGTTGCAGAGGTTGAAGCTCTTGCATTTGACCGCGACTCTGATGGTGACTTATTTGAAAGTGGCGAAGTTGTCAAAAAGCGTGCACTTGCGCAGCCTGACTGGATTGGAGGACAGAAGCGCTTCACCATAAAAGCTGTCTTACCTGGAGATGAGGGACAGGGCGTTTTAAAGGTATATGTTGGAAAGAAGGGACTGATGCATTCTATCAAAGATATTCCCCACCCCCTGGCATTTGCACTCCCAATCACCCACACGGGAGATAACCCAACCTACGACTTCATCCTCCGCCATCCCACTCCTCACGCTCAGCGCCATGACCTCTACGTTATTCAACCACAATGCGCCAAACTCGCAATAAACAACACCTTCGTCTTTGCAGTTCGTCAACATCCGTCTTCCCTGCCATCCAACGCCCCTGACCCCAGCGAGGGTAGTGGTCGCATCTCCCCAAATCCATGCACCCGCCCCGCCAGCGCGCTCAGCATGGTATCTTCCGTTGCCGCAAGCTCAAACGCGTCAACAGGCTCATCATACATAAATCAAACCTTTTCCGCCTCTAGCTCTAACGTCTCGTCGAATAGCAAACAGTCACAGCACCCCTCCAAGCCAGCGAAGCTAGCTATACAAGCACCTTCAGGGCGGATATTGAGGTTGACACGCAAATCTGAGAACGTTCTCAGTACCAGCAGTGGTGGAGGAGATTTAACGGGTGATGGCTCACCCGACGGCAGCGTGTGGGAGACAGTGATTAAAGTTGGTGAGAGGGGCGTTTGGAGAGGCCTAGTACTTGCTGATCGCAGTGCAAGATGGTGTGTCTTTGGGGAGTGGGAGTGTTTCTAACCCTCCGCCTTTTTGCTTTATTCTACCTTTCATCTTCTCTTGTTTCTCCTACTTGACTTGGCCTGGATGGCCTTTAATGGAAGCCTGAGCGCTGTTCTCCTCAGCCCAGCGAAGTTTGTTGGAGTTTAATTCCTCGTTCAGCCCTCTTATCTCTCATCTTCTGCTTCATATGTTATGATTTGGGCTAGTCCTCAGTAATTTCTATATCCACTGATTAGTCTTTCCTGACGTGGATTTCTTTGTCTTCTTTTTTTCTGCTCAGGATGTCACGTCATTTTCTACCAATGTCGATGCCAACACTTACCCTAATTCGTTTCAGAGATTCTTTCTCGCATTCCTGTTTCATGTAATCACAAATATTTTGCCTGTGGGGCTTATTCCTTAATTAATTACTGGGTTCATTTGGCGATTTGGTTCCAGGAATAGAACAGGAAAAAATAAAACATGACAAAATAACGAGCACTTTTTAGATTGCCTTCCCATAAATCGTTTGTTCAGACTCTTTTGCTCCCGTATCGTACTCCCCCGTTTCCTACCTTTCACATTCCCACCGGTCCACCTTGGAGAATTATATCCTCAAATTGGGATAATAGATTAGGAAGATTATGTCCAGTCATCGTGAGTTTTGCAGGCTTAACCTGCGTATAACAATTGACCTCCCAGTTCCAGAGCATGCTTTACTGTTCCAGTTGTTATTGTCTCACTTTGTCTTTTCGTAACACATTCTGTTTTAACTATTAATTTGCTGAATCCGTTGAGGCCCAGTGGATTGGAGAGCCAACTACAGAAATCTTTTTACCCATATGTATACTGCTTTGTAGCATCCACATTTGTCCACGGTATGCAGAATATCCATTTTATCCGGTTTCCTGCATTGGAACCTTATGTCGAATATTTACCCATTTTAGCACATACGGCGTTTGATCAGGTATGCTCTCCTATTCAGATGTTACACTCCCCTTCCTTCTTTTTCTCGACTTAGACTCCAACACCACGTAGAGTCTCCCTCAATAACGGTGCAACCTGCTTCCTACTCTTCGACACATCAATCTGTCGCCAAACACGCAAATACGACCCGTCCCTATCATCGAAAACGGGGAAAGTAAAATGCCCGGTCCAAATTCCCTCTTCTAGTCCCAACTCTCCAACCGCGACTGCATGGAAACGCTCCACACCGTTGAGGCACTTGCGATTCAGAGCATAGAGCAGCAATTCACGACGAAAACCAGCTTTCGGCTCTGGCGTCCTGAACGCTGTCATGACGACCAGCAGGTCGAGGTTCTTCTCGGCTGCGAAGGAGGAGAGATACTTGAAGAATGTATCGTTGGGGGCAACATCTTTGGATTCCCGGTCACATTTCTCCATCAGCCAGGAGAGCGGTTTGACAATAGAGCAGATGCCCAATTTCACTGTCTTAGTGTGGTTTATGCCTGGCGGTTCTGTCTTTGTGGCAATAATCTCGGTCCACTCCTTATAATCCCTCCCCAGCACCTCTAGAACTGTTAAGTTCTCAACGCTATTCTCCTTCGTGAGAGCGATTGCATCGTAAAAGGACTGCCTATCCCAACTCGCGCCAGCTGCAGAGGATTGAGATTTACTTCGCAAATGTGCGTCAACGCCAGCCTGTATCTTGGCTTCCAGGAACGCAACCGCCGCAGTATCAACGGCGGACACTTTGCTTTTCGCCGTCATGTTAACTGTGTCGATCAGAATTGCTGCCATGGCTAGTTTCGCCGCTTGTGCTTCGTAGATTGCGGTCTCATCTGCGGGGGTCTCTTCGTCCAAGGCGGCGCAGGGATCTGAGAAGGAAACGTTATCGGCCCAAAGACCCTGGGCTCGCAACTCGCGGACGACGAGAGACATACAACTTCCAACACCCGTTTGGATACAGTAGGGATCATGGGGATGTGAAGCAGGTTCTCTTGGCACGAAACTTTCATTGTCGTGATGATCTATGCAGCCGACGACAGAGATGACGAGCCCCGGAAGCGCGTCTGAAAGTCCCTCAATGCCACCCTTCCCTCCGTTTAATGGGAGTTTTGGTAGCGTATTCCAATCCACCATCATGACATCTAGGTTTGTCTGTTCGTCTGCAGCATGGCTGGTCCTCCTGGATGCAGCTTCGTTGTAACCTCTTCTATCACTTGCCTCGTTTTCGCTTCGTCGACAGGCATCACCTGGACTACCAAGAGCCGAGAGTAGTAGCCTCTCCTTCAAATCCGCAACAGTCAAAACACTGCCTTCTAGTGCCTCCACCTCGTCGGTTCCTCTCTTCGCCAAAGACCCATCACCTGTAGCTCTGCTTCCATCCCATCCGACTGCTAGCCCCAAGGCCGTGAAAAACTCTGGCCTCAGCCTTTTCAACTCTTGCCCAGCATGAACATCTGGTAAGTTGATTAGAGGTATATGTTGACGCAGAACCATATCATTCCCTTGCCTTCCTGGTGATGAGGCAATGGTGGAAGGGCCAGCCGGCACCGCTCTTGTAGCAAAATATGAATATATGATTGCAGAAATGATGGAGTCTAGGTCCGCGGATGGGTTACCAAGGACGTATACCGGAGATTTGGCCGGAGCTATAGATAACGAAGAAGGTAGAACTTGTGGAAGGTCGTGAGAATGGGAATAATGGTAGGGAAAGGCGTGTGCTTGTTTGAGGAAACGGAGTAAATCTAACCGCCGTGTGACGGTGCGTGGCTTACTCATGGTGAAGAATATTGGGGGAGAAAATGAGGTAGCAATTTAACATAGAAATGGGACGCTGGCATACGATTATATGGATTTCAGCAAAGCATTTTGATTTTGCCTCGACATATCTGTTTTGGATATCGTAGTATGTCAGGAACGGAGAAGCAAACAAAAAGCAGCTGGTGACAATTGCTAAAGACTAAAAGGCCCGCTGATCCTATCAACAAGAACATACTAGAGAAGGAAGACAAAAAGATGAAAGGTAGACGGGGTGTTGCGGAGTATAGATAGCTAGGGGTGTTGCTCTCACCCTTTTTCAGAAGTAAGCCCTAATCACAAGAGAGATCTGTGATGATTGAAAAGATGAAATTTGTTGGCTTCCGAACTATCAATGAGCCGGCCAAAAAACAATTGAAATCGATACGAACCCTCAAACACCCCTAAATCCTAGGGCCGGTATCAGCGGACCTCTCACCGTCGAATATTATAGAGAGGAAGCACACAAGGAAGCCCACTGAACATGCCTATGGTGGATAATCTTCCGGCGTTAAATGTAATATAGATAGCTCGCCTAATCACGTGACTTATGACTGCTAGCCTCTAACATTAAACAATGACGCCGACGTGTTTGAACAACGAAGAACCAAGGCCAAGAATCTACTGTGAAATGGAAGAGAGTGGGAAGAGAGTGAGTGGGTTTTGTGACTAGAGCTATGTTATTTGCACGCTCTTGCTGTATTCAAGGTGTGAGGATGGCTTCGACATTGATCGGCCGCTCCGGTCGAGAGTATATTCGAGGCAAGATTCTCAAGCACAACCCAAAAAGGCCAGATCTCAGTGTCTATCTTGCACAGTGAGTCATACATCTCAAATTGCATGAGTCCATCTGGTTATTGACTGAAATATTTAGGTGCGGAAACCAATACTTTGTGCTAAAACATGTATCCCCTTCAATCTTCGAACAATCACTGGAACTTAAACAAGAGTTCCCAGAAACGCGTCGTCTTCGAATGCATGATGATGCAAATGAAGCTGAACAAATCCTTATCTACAATCACTTTAGTGATAATTTGCTTTCTCTTGTGAAGAACAACCCGAACATGTCAATTGCGCCTCGGAAACAGATATTGTGGGAACTTGGACAGGCGTTAAAGGAGTTTCATGCCAAGGACTGGATACATATTGGTAATGCATCAACCTGCTCATCAGATCCAGATACTAACCAAGTTCCCCTTTTTAGATGTCAAACCTGATAATGTTATGATTGATTACCGTTACCATCAGGCTGGTCAGCTCAGACCGGAAAGGGTTGTGTTAGGTGACCTAGACTGCTCCTTGAAGCTAAAAGACGATAAACTTCTTCGGCTCCCAAATGGAATCAAAATAGGAAATGTCATGTGGCGCAGCCCCGAAGCGCAAACAGGACAGGGGATTGGCAAACCATCAGATGTATTCTCTTATGGGCTTGTGGTGAGTGAGCTTATGCTTTCAGTTGAGGTGTTTTTGCTAAAGATAGTTTCCTCTATTGATAGTGCCTGTACACCATCACTGGTGTGGAAACCCTGCATCCGGATTTCGAGCAGTTAAAGAGAGACATGATTGAACCTGAACTGGAGATTATGGGTCGATTGATATCTTTTTTTGGGCCGGTCCCAGACGAACTTGTGATTCATGTCAATAATGAGAACTGGGGTCAAATCATGATTGCTATATCAGAAGGAACATCTGATGGAGGCCCAGTTGGACCTGGGCGTTTTGAGAAGTGGGAGGAGAAGGATTACCCCAATCTTGACTCTGAGACAAAAAGATTTCTCTGGAGAATGGTAAACCTCAGTCCATTGAAGCGAGCTACTATGGAAGAAATTATGGAAGATCCCTGGTGGAGCATGTAATAGCATATCTATCTCAATGTCAATATAACTACACATGAGGTGCAGCATAGCTTAAGAAAATTGAAGAAAGATTCAGTTCAAAGATGTTAATCTTGCTGCTGTTTCCAATTTTAATGAGTTGTATTATAGAAAGAATCTAATATTTCTTTCAGAACAAGCATTATCTAATTCTCTAACAAACAACTCAACTGCCATACTAAACCCATCTATTCATCCCACAGTCATCTAGTCTTCTGTTGAATTCCACAATGCATCTACTCTGCCACTCTTCATACATCATTCTTGACTCAGGGGTAAACATGCTTGGTAGAGATGTAATTTCCGTTTTCATCTTCGTAAACAGTGGTGAAGTGATCCTTACTATCACTTTCACTAGGGTGCTCGGTCTCGCTAATCTTGTTGTTACTATTTAATCATCATCAGTTGAATTGGAAAAGTGTATCACTCACGCTAGGATGGCGCTGGCAGCTCCCTCGGGAACATCTGCCTTCTCGATGGCTTTGACAAAGTTCTGCTGTACATTTCTTGATAAAAGCAGTCGAGCCCATGCAGTCGTCTGGGTAGCATATTTCACATGCAGATTTTTTCCATTTTTAACAATAGTCTTGATGAGCAACGAGTTAAGAATACTGTAAGGCATTTTTGCATGAGAAAGTTCGAAGAAGCAGTTGTTTGGCTTGTGTGGAGGGAGAAAATTTTTGATCTTGAGGCCTGCTCAATGAGAGCTGGGGTTATCTGCTTTTATCACATTCGACTGTACAGCACTAATAGGAGGAAAAATCACTTTGAATATTGGGCCCTTACAGGGAACCAATAACAGCATTGTACAGGAGACCACCCAACAGGGGTTTTCACCAGCGGCAAGAAAGCATCCAACACAAAACACCATCAATTACAGCACCGCGCTGCCGCTAATGTCCACTCGAAGTCAGCGGCTAGTCTAAGGAAGTGTTTGAAAGTGGCATTGCCTCAACCGGCTACGCCGTGTGAAACAAGGGTTCCATCCCAGCGAGCGCCGGTCTTTGACGCGCCCGCCCCCTCTCCAGCAAAGGGGACTTTCCATGACGTTGGATCGCTCCCTGCCGGGGTGACTGCTTCAACCCAGATGAGTGGATGAGCGGTTGATCAGACAAAGGCACCACTATCTTCGTCATCTCACAGTTTTGCATAGCAAAAGTGAGCCTCGGAAGGCCCCTCTTTGTCACTCCGCAAGCGCCCAACATGGAAAGGGACCCAAAGGAGATAGCCTCTGTTGTCTCCAGGGCATTGCGAGAAACTCCGCTGGCTGGATGTGTGCATCCGGTGCTTGCAGCACATGCCGCCCGTCAGGGCAGGTAACAACCAGGGGTGAAGGGAGCCTGGCGAGGGGTTGAGACTCGCAAGGTGATTGGTCCTGTTCAAAAGTTAGCAACAATATCCAAGGATATGGAGCAACCGACCCAGCCTGATACTGGCTGCGATACATTGTTTGGCATCATGTTGGTCACTTTTCAAGTGCTCAGTCCTTCGCCAAGAAGTGTTGATTTTGAAATCAAATCTAACAAGGATGATGTGTTGGGAGTTTGGATTGGTTTGTCCCCTCTACTACCAGCATGGCGCTGGTGGTGATTGAGCTCTTTTGCCCCAGTGGCCTAACAAAAACCAACACCGGACTTGAACCTCGAGGGTTAGATTGTCATTATGGAAAGAATTGCAAATGACCTGAGATAGTATTCATTTTAAGAACAAAAAGTTAACTATTATAAATGGCTTTACTGCGATACGTTCGCTGTGAGCAACAAGCCTATAAGCTGTTGGGCGGATCGCCTGCTATCTGGGTCGCGCCGGAAGAGACAATGTCGCTGGAATGGCCGCATCAAACAGGCGATGGTGAATTTGAACTTACAGGGACAACTACCGTACCTCAGATGGGCAGAACAGATCGCTGAGGCGCTTGTTTTTGTGCACGGCAAGGGCATAATACACTGTGACGTGCGGTCAGCCAATATGCTTGTTACCGATAGTTATGTTCGATGTCGTCCTCGCTGACTTTGCATCGTGTTGTATAAACGGGATGAAGGTGTCCAATGTGGTCAACAACACTAGATATCGTCCGCCCAGCTTTGAGGATCTGGGCCACAAGATTTCGCTTCAGGCATACAACAGTTCTCGCACGTTGTGTTGTTTTTTTCCTCTCTCCTTTCCTCCTCGTGTTTATTTATATATTTTTTATTTTCTTCCATAGCGCATAAGGCACGTGCCACCAGACTGCCAAGAATCTTGCCCAATTAGCACCATCGCATTTCAAAATCGCCCTTAATTTAAGTTTATCACCAGAATGTCAAACTTAGGACTTGATCTTCATGATACAACAGATTCCACAGAAATCAGAGCTAAAACATTTTTTCAATGTGCCACCGACGGTACATCAACATCGAATCCACTGATTTGTGACGTTCAACAACCCCCAACATCTCTCAAGACAGACTCACAATCAATTACGATCTTGCATCTATGAGTGATATATTCATTTTTGTGGTAGCCGTTCCAAGAATTAGCTGCTGATATGCTTTCGCACTCCAGCTCCTCAGTTTTCACCCATGCTGATACTGCCCCACGAAATATCATGGTGGATGAAAATTATCAAATTACTGGGCTGCTCGACTGGGAATATGCTGGGTGGTATCCTGACTATCGGGAATATGCGCAAATCATGAGACCCACCTGTCAAACAGGTGATTGGCAGTCGTGGATGGATGCTACTGCACCACAGAAATGGGATATCAGCGGCATTGCTGCCGCTCGACGGATTTTGTTCTAGCTTGTGTACTTTTCAAGAATGGTTCTTGCAGTTTTTTTTTTTTTTTCGGAACTATGGAGAAGTATGAAGTAGTCGAAGTGGATGCTTGGTGGCTGAAACCGCCCCTAGAATTTCAGCACATGGATGGTATGAAAAAGTCCGTGAAGCAAGAGATGACGCTGACATTAAACCAATCCATTGCTCGAGATAGCCCCAAATAAAGTATATAGTGGAGAAGTGGCATGCTTGGTGATATATTACGTTATTACCATTATTATTTTAAAAGATTTGAAAATAAAATAAAGTGTAAGAACTCCTATCTCGCCATCTGCACCATAAGTTTTGTTGACCACAGTTCTTCCCTTATCTGTCCACCTCTCTAATCTGTTTCTCCAATGGCGAAACATGCACAGAGCACACCATAGCAGCAGACATAAGACCCACAAGAGAAGTGTAGGTCCGGGGAGACGGGGGAGGGGGAATATGCCCCCTCCTCCAGCTTTGAAGAAACGTGAGCGTGAAAGTGCCATTATTGAGTTTGTGTTTCGAACCCCCCTTTTGACCTAGCAAGCGACCAGGGAATAGTGGGCAAAGTGGGCAAAGTGGGCAAAGTGAGTGGGAACGTGGAGAACAATAAGAAATTTGTGAAAACACATCTTGGATCTACTTTACATTAAACGACGCAGCCAGGCAGAGGCAGATAGCGCAGGCAATCGAGTAAATAATACGAACACGCAAAGCGGCTGAAACGAGGAATATAAAAGAGAACAAAGACCAGACAGGAACGAGCAAGGAAAATGTGCGTGAATCTGTTTCTAACTCTCCCTAGGTAACAGACAGAAGAATTGCGCTTTGTTCACTTTATTCATGTTGAGAGTCCCTTGGAAAGTCTGCAGGCGCGCTTGACACGGGTGGATGTCTCCCCACCCTTTTCCAAGTGTAACGGCAACTCAACGCAAATATATGATGGAACAAACAAGAGGGCAGTGTGCTGGAGTGAGCAACCACGAGCGAAGGATTGATTAGGAGTGTATAAATAAATAATAAATAAATAATAAAAATAAGAAGGGAGGGTAAAAGAGGTAACTGATAAAGCAGGAGTGAGATCGTAAGGTAGAAAATACCACTGGACTAACATTGTTATAGCGTAGGAAAAAAAGAGAAAAAAAAGAAGCAAGAGCAAAGCAAAGCACGGTAGAGTAAAAGAGCGCCCAGATATAAATCCCCTGCCCATTTGCAGACCCCACCACAATCCCCATGATAACTAAGCCATCCATGGCGCCCGTGTAATGTGTTAATAATGTTGATGTTATAACTTGGACAGTACGGAAAAAAGGGAAGACCAACAAAAACAGCCACGTTAAGGGTCAGAGGGCAAATAAAAAGTACACGTGAAATCGAAAACATTGAACAAAGAAAAGAAGAATCGGGCGATGGCGGAACGGATTCATGATGTTGAGAAAGCAAGAATAAAGTAATTTATATATATAATATATACGAACTTGGACCGCGGCAGGTAAGAAGAAACGGGGTTGATCGATCGTAATCAAATCACGTCAAGAATTCATCCGCAAGACAATTGTTGGAGGTATCCTCGCCATCTCGACCCTGACCCTCATCACCCATAGTGCCGTCCCCATTCTCCGCGTCGAAATCATCGCCGGATCTGGAGGTAGAACGGCACCGCGCACCACTGTTGCTAGCACTTCGAAGTGCCTCCAGCGCTTCATTCGCATGGCTAACCTCCAACGCCCCTATTTGTTCGGTGTCTTGGTTCGTCATCTCGGCAAAAATGTCTTCCATATCTCCTCCGCGTGGGCTGCTGGTAAAAGCCATTGGACCACCCATGTCGTCGTGGTCTTTACCCATAGTTTGAGGGTGGAGGGGGTTATTTCGGGTAAAGCTTGGAGGGCTGAAGAGAGATGGATCAAGACCCTGGTGATGGGATGGCGATGGGGGGTCGAATGAGGGGGAGTGTACATTGTTTACAGCCGGGAGGTATGCCGACGTTGTAGGAGCGTAAGATGGACTTGCATCGTTCGGTATTGGGAACGGCTGTGAGAAGGAGAATGCGGTTGGATGTTGGGAAGCTGGGCCTGCCGCTGCCATTGTAGTCGGAGTCGGAGTCGGAGCGTTACCCGTGGAAACCGATCGAGGGTCACCAGATGGTGTGTTAGAGCGAAGTACAGGTGCCGGTTGAAGAGGGGGCGGCCGTCCTGAAGCTTGGGATTCCGTTGATTTCCGTTTGCTGGAAAACGTATGCTGCTTGGTGCGCAAGTGAAGAGGAAGATCTTCAGGTTTTTCAACTCCAAGCTGGGCCATCATCTTTTGTTGCTTAGTAGGTCGTGGCTTGCGAGTAGATAGCGATACTTCAAGAATCGGAGGCGGTTCAGGTGCGACAGGCGACCACTTATGGATTTCCTGGCGGAAATAATTGGTTTCAAAGGCAAGGAGAACTTCTGCTCCTTCCATTTTTCTGAGATAGAAGATCTGTGTCGGGACCTCTTCAGCAGTCATGCAGGCAGCGGAGTGCACGAGTGGTCGAACGAACTCCCGAAATGATGTTGCTTGGTCGATGATCGATTCCAAAACTTGTTCTTCTTCGGGTTGGAAAGGGAGATCAGGAATTTCAGCCTGCCAATCAAGCAGCTCTTCTAATTTAGGGCGAGCGGCATCGCGGGGGATCTTGACACGCCAATCACAAATGGGACAAGTATAGCTGTCGAATTCTTTGACCTTGCCCCTCGCAATTTTCAAGCATTTTCCGTGGTACCTGACATACCCTTAGTTATTGAAATACGAAAAAAACAAAGGACAAAGCCCCTCTGCGAAGCTATTTCGAAACTTACCACTCATGACAAAGTTCACACTCAATCATCAACCCAGCTTCCTGTTGTCGACAGATACAAAACACATCCTTTTTCTTAGACCTACTGCCCGTCCAATTATGTGCCTCAGCATCGGGACTTGCCTCTCGTGAGGCCGGTTCAACAGGTGGACGGCACCGATCCTCGAGATCGAAGCAATACGAATTCTTTTTCTCAACGTATTGCAAGTGCATCTTGAGGATGTGCAATGGAGCGTTGGCTTTGCCAAACAGCTTCTTGCCTTTCCGCATCCAGTCCTCATGGCGTTTCTGCTCCTTTTCCAGGTCGATGGTTCCATTTGGCTTGCTATTTAGTTCCGTCAAAGACTCCATAAGATCACGTACATCTTTATAGTGAGGCCGTTTCCGGAAATCCGGATTCCGACTGCTGTCATAAAACCCGGAGATCTGTCGCTGCGCTTCACGCTGCTTCGTCAAGATTGCGTCGACAGCAGAAAGGGTTTCGGGGGATACAGGCAATTTAGCCGCCTGTGAGGAAAGTGCTTCTAACTGTTGGTAGTGCACAACTTCTACTGACATGAGTTCTTTTGCTTTCGACTCCCATGTTTCTGCCAAGCGAAGCATCTCCTTGAAATAAAGTAGATGTTCGTTTGTCTCAGACAAGCCTAGCTGCTCGCCTTGCTCAATGAACTCGCGGCACTCATCGAGAGTTTGGAGCTGCTCGCGTTTCCGGCGGGCTTGATCATTCCATTTCATCTGTCTTAGGGCCTTCTCGAGCTTGTCTACCTCAGGTATGTCAACATTGAAGCTCCGGCCAAGTTCTGCAAGCTCCTCGACTTCCTGTGTCGAACTAATGTGGGGGTTGCAAAGGATAGCTTGGGCATCACTCTGGAATTTCTGAATTTCCTGGACCTTTTCCCGAAGCGATACGATCTGCGGGCAATCAAAGGAGAGGTTATCCGCTTCTTCCAGGAGCGCATAGATCTTTTCCACTTTGCGGAGTTCACGATCTCGCTCCTCCAGCTGGGCTGCCTTGGCCGAATTGCCTCTGCGCCATGCCTTTTCATTTTTGCGACGATTCTGCTGTTTACGAGTAATGTAATTATTAGCCTCATCGACCCATTTGTCGCAACGCTGAACAAACGAGGTCAGATCCTGCAGGCCGGGTAGGAAATATGGGATTTTCTCTCCCTCACTAAGTAAAGCATGCAAAGCTTTCAGCGAAGGTTTCGGTTCGTCTGCGAGAACTTTGTCCACCTTTTCAGCCCAGGCTTCCGGGATCCGAGCTCGGCTTTCCACTTTCTGAACGCACGATTTCAAGGCCTCATCGGACATTCGATAGCGTAAGGTATGGTTACTTCGAAGTAACTTCTGCGAGGCGTCTTCTCCACAGCAGTCATAGCTCTCAGCATGTGTGAGACACAGTGTTTTCCCTTTTTTGTGGCATTTGAACTGTGTCAAATAACTGTATACTTTACAGTAACTGCACTGATACTCTTCTTCGGGAAGGTCTGTGTCTTCAACCACGAATTTCAGTGTACACTCATCTGATCCTTCCTCTCCACCACTAATTTTACATTTATGGGGACTAAGCTCCTGATGGCGAGCTATTAGGGCCGCACGCTGCTCGAGTTCTCGATTGCACATACGTTGAAGCGCGGGACCAAGCCACTTAGCAGTTTTGATAGATGTATCCCTCGCTGCAGCCGTAATGAGCAACTCATCATGTGAAAAACAAGGCTGCCGTCGGAATTCCTGTAGGCGCTCTACGCCCGCTTGACCTAGTGGTTCCCAGTCGGATGGCGCGAAGTTAACAGCTTCATTGAAATTAAATCCATGGTTAAACCCGGCATGATACGCTTGCGGAAAGGTAATAACGAATTGGCCGGCACGCTGATCGAGAGCATACACGTTGACGCCTGCCTTCTTTAATTGATCCGGTGGCAGTAACGTGACTAATTGGAATAAGAGATCCGGCTGAGTTTCGAACAGTTCTGGGACTGCTTGGCGCATAGCCTCCTCAAAAGCTTCAGCATCTTCACCGGGAATGCCATACCATGTCTTCGTAGCACCGAAATGTTGGTAGTTGGCTGAATATGTGTAATGGTCTTCGTTATGCCAGCAAAATGTCGAGAAACACATGCCAACATACACCCAGGGAACGGTCATGCCAGAGACGTCCGATTTAATGTGCCGGAAGAGAGACTCTGAGTGCAAAGGCATGACATTCAAATTCCACGGGTCAACAGAATAAGGGTCCAAAGGATTCCGTTCAACAGTGGGAAACCCGCTTCCATGGGTTGTCGAGTGGATATCTGCACCATACTCAACTTCAACGGTCTCTGTCAAACTTTCCACAAGCCGCCAAAACTCTCGCTCAACGTCATCTTCCGTCTCCTTTCGAGGGGCATTGAGAACGGGATCAAAGGGCATCCTTGGAGCAAAATAGTTTTCCTTGAAATTATCCGCTTTCTCCTGGAATTGCTTCAGCGAATATATCCCACCCTCCTCAAAGCCATATTCTCCAGTTCCAACCAGGCATTTGGGACAATGCCAGTCGAAATCAGGGACGGAATCCAGGGGTGGGTCAAGGCAGTGAATGTGATAACCGTTTTCGCATCCGTCGCACGATAAGATAGTTGGCCGATTATCACTCTTGCCGCAATTTTCACATCGCTGGATATATTAATTAGTTCGCCACCCAATCAAATGGGGAAAAAAGAAATAAATACTCACTTCTCCGGTTTTCCTGTTTCCATTCTTTGTTCGCCCTTGTGTTTGTGTTGGGCGAAGTAAACTCATATGCGATCCAACGACAGTTGGCGCGCCATCTAGAATTTAGACGTTAGCAAAATTAGAAGATACATGCGAGAGCTACCTTGTACAAAGAAGGGCTCCTAGCTCTATAAATCCACATGCGACAGGTAATGGAATGGCCTTTTACGTACCCTTCTTCAGCCGTTTACTGCGTCGCCCGTTTGCTCCATCAGCATCTGCGTTATCTGTTTGCGAACTTCCCGTCAAACTTTCTTGGCTGAATGCACGTTTAAGCGGATGTGAATCATGGCCGTTGACTGTTGGCGTACTGCTAGTTTCGTGCTGGTGTCGTTCCAGGGTGTCCTTAGATGTCAAAGCATTGTTTCCAAAGGTTGTTTGATGAGTTCCATTCTCCATCTCTCGTTTTACAGTAGGAGCTGAGCTGTTCACTGCAACGAATGATGGAGACGCATTAATTGCAGAAAACCCGCTTGTATTAGAATTGACCGCTGTAAACCCCGAAGTGGTGACATGTCGTTCCTGGGGGTAGTCAAGCGGAGCCGAAGATCCGTCCGTTCTGCCCTCACTGTCTCTCACGGAACTACCAAGTGTAGCAGAAGCCCTTGCCGCGGGAGAAATTTTGCTTACTTCGGATGAACGACGATTGTTTGTATGTGGCCTATTGGCTACCGGAGAGTTTCCGGGGGACGGGGTGTATGGTCCTCCGTTTTCGAATTCCAGCTGCTGCTGGACACTAGGTTTAGCGACGCGGAGATATTCCTCGTATGGGTGAAGCCAACGTTGGTAGGAATTTTTTAACGAAGTTGATAATGATGACATGATTTTGCCGCTATAGCCCAAGTCACGACCAATTTCGGCCCACTTTTTCAGTTTACAAACTTGATCAAAACCACCACGGATGTCGACGGCCTTTTTAAGCTTGTAGAGATCAAGAGGGCGCTTATCGACGCTAGGGAACCGGCTTAGATTCATTCCATGTTGTTTATGGAATTTCGTTAGTTGGTCGAGGTAGTTGAGATTCGCTCGAGTGCCTGATAGAGGGTCAGATCCGTGTTCCAGAGGACTCATCGGGCCTGGTTGTGTTTGGGTCATACCTCCTTCAACCGAGTTCAACTCCTGCCGGCGGGTACGAAAATGGAATCTCTAAACATGAGAACAAAGGAGAATACGATCAGCCTATATCTGAAGAGTAATGGACCCGGCCTAACTAGAATCAATGGTCCGCAACAATTTGGAGAATATCATACCTCTGTATCGATAGCAAACGGCGGAGCCCAGTTGTCGGGAGGGACAATCTTGCAAATTCCATATTTCTTTCCTTCAGGGAAGATTTTGCGGATATATTCGAATGGGTCTTTGAACTCTGCTTCGGTGGGACGAAAAGTTGGAGCTTCTTGTAAGCCATGAGGTCGCACACGCTTGACTGGTTCTCTACTCGCGGTAGAGTGGCCACGACGCTCGACCGTGGAGAGGTCGAGCGGCGCAGCCCTTCGAGCACTCAGAGGAACATTGGCATTGTAAGATTGGTGGAAGTGGTTCGAGTTCGAGGCGCGGGAGCGGGTGGCTAATTGCTGGGACTGCTGCTGGGCAGTTGTTGCTCCCGTTGAAGGTGGGACCACCATGTCTCCACGCTGCGGTGCGGAAGTACAGGAGATGGGCGAATTTGATCAGGTGGTTTTGGGAAAACACCGATCGCGATGCGAATAGCGCATTGGAGGGGAGGGTAGCCGGCGAAAAAGAGGCTGAGGGCTAGGGGGATCCACGAGTGAATGGTGGAGTAGCCGATACACGTCAACAGAAGGGATTAATTAAATGATGGGTGGATAATAGTAATGATAAGAAGACAGGTACTCGGAGGCGGAGAAACGGCAAAGGCCGGACGGCGACCGGGTGGTGGAGAGCGCGAAGGTGGGTGCTGCAGCTGCGAGTAGGGGAGAATCAAGAGATAGAAAGGATGGAAGGAGATTTGAGGCGGAATAGGATGATGCTGCTGCGATACGGTAACATGATACGTCCGTGCATTTTGCTTGGTACGGACGAGTATTTGCACCAAAGGAAAATTTACCGACGTACCGATTACTTCCCGTATCCATACTCTACCGCGCTGTACTGATAACACGCTAGGAATTTATATGCAAACCGCCAAAAGATTTGGGCCTAACTCTAGGAACTCTACAGCCCGGCATTCAAGGTGAGGTGTCAAGGCCCATGGCTTCTATCATGGGGGTTGGAATTGTTTGACGTCTGGTATTGAGATTTCCTGTATTCACCGAAATGTAAAAATGGACATCAGACCCAGTAGATTACTTCTTGTGACAGTGATAGACAGAGTGCTATAGTTAGCCTAGATACGACTGGTCAATACATCCAAGCATCGATATGGCAGGAATAATCTGTGACAATAAAAGTTGAAGTAAGTATTTTGTTACACCACCATCCGTCCATCCTGCAAACGGACGGAAATGCGCTGTCAAACAGTGTCGCTTTAAGGAAGAACAAGCTAGCCGAATCTCCTCACCGTTTAGATACCGCAAGCCTTCTTTCTTCCATCGTTTACCACTGCTTTCTTGATAATACACTCTACCGGTCCCTCCTCTGATCGAGAAAGCAGACCTGGCTTGAGTGCCCATAAATGATTAATTCTCAATTCTTTTCAAGACTCCATTTTACAACCAACTCATAAAATTTCATGCTTTCTAAACTTAATTAATCAGATCATATTGTCGTCCGTAGACTATGGTACTCAAACGTATTATCAAGCACGAGCGGTAGCTATTCACTTAACTAACTAGTTAATTTTGTTGACTAACTGGCTATTTAACATGGTATTATTTATTAGATAAGCGTAAGCTAAAAGTAAAATATGGTACGTATATAGCAATACGTGATGGTAATGAAACACCGACAAACCCCCGCAAAAAAGCAAGAAAATCCAACGTTCGAATCATTCCGATTAGCTTTTTCGACAACATTGATCAACTACTGCGTATGCTCGTGGGAAATGCTTAGGATCCTTAGTGCTCGCCAATTTCCTGAACGTGTGGAAAGAGAACAACAGTACGGGGTACTCCGGCCTTGAAGAATCTTGAGACGTCATTTAAACAGGGCTTTCGATACAATAAAACCCCAGCTGGCAATTCGATACTTGTTGGCTGGCTGTGAGCCAAACGATAACCAACAATAGCCAACATTCTGTTCTCTTCTGCTCTTCTTACCATAGAGTGGCTACTAGATTTGGCAAGTATGGACGAACCAGACCTGTATGAGAGTACCCCGACAGAATCTATGCTGCAAAACTATGGTGTAATATACTATCATACCAATACTTCCGCGCTTACCCACTAGAATACATTAAATTACTGTGGTAAAGTCGAGACCAAAAAAGAAATTCCAAGAAGAAAAAAGGGAAAAAAAAAGGAAATCTTTGGTAGCGTCCGAAGTTGGCAAAGCTGCCGAGACTCGAGGAGCATCCCTATATTTGGCCTCATATTTCAGCAAGATGATTGAGCGGAATTCTACAATTTTCAAAATATCAATAATTTCTAGAGCTCACTAGTATCTCTCCGAGGGATATACAAGGCTTGGAAGTTACAGTTTGTGCGTTATGTTAAAGTTATATAAATACTTGGTGTTGCGCTGGACTCCAGGTTGTGATTGGCCAAACCTTGAAGATCCATTCCATGGATAAGATGGACGACTTAATCGGGATTCTTTCCTCAGAGATCAGGGTTCGTAACTTCTCTCAGCTATCTAACCAATCATACAAGTACCTGCCTCTGACCTATTTAGTTAACGAAATTCACGATGATATTTGCGCTGGTTATTCAACAGAAAATGTCTACAACTTATGCAGTACTTGTAAGTCTTCTGTAACAATAATATTGTTTAAGGACATTATATCTTCAACAACCAGACATCAATCTTGGCCGGTAGCCGTCCCCCTGGCAAAGAGATCAACAGCGTTTCCCAGACGGTTTAAATCGGGACACAAACTTTGTCACCAGATTGGGCACAAAGATCGATGTTCATTTCAGAAAGCATCATGAGTGCTAGATGAGTGAGGGATGATATATGGCAATTGTCCCATGACATTTGACTTAAGGCCATTATATACCTCAAGCTGAACAATGGACCCTCCATGGAAGAGCAGAGCTAGCTCTCATAGTTCGCGTTGGTCGGATTCCAAGTGCATATACTTACCGCCCTGATCGTCGTGGAGCCATGGCGCTATTCGAACAGTCCATATGGCAAATTTAAAGTGGATGAGCTGATAAAAATTGACAAGTCAAGAACACATTGCCGCCCTATAGCTTTGTCAACACCGCACAATCGATTTTATCACCTTGACAGATTAGTCCACTTCAAGACTTATACATAAGTGAGATAGACGCGGTGGGTCATTACAATCGCCTTGGCAATCATTCAAATGAAAGTAAAAGCAATCCCAGATGCTTTTCTCCTTAAGCTCAAACAGCAGCGCTGTGAGGTGGAGTGCCACAGGAACGCTGGCTGCAAGATTGCAACGTTCACCTGTCAGCAAATTGGTTTAATATCATCCAGGAATCGGGTCCCCGTGCACATCCTGCTCTGGAAAATGACATTACACTCTCTAAACCAATCCAATCAACGGGATGTTTCCGCCTTTCTCTCCATAAATTCAGCAAGACGTTTTATCATGAAATTGAATGACGGTAAGCAACTAGAAAACAGATGAAATAGGAGCCTCATGACTCCACCACCTAAATGGAACCCTGCCATAGTTCAAATCAATACTGGATGGAAAACTGCATAGCATACCCAGGACCTGAGCAACACACTATTGTCCCTTGCGTGCGGAGTGGATAAATATAGGTTTTCAATCGACTTCAGCACTGAATTCTTTATAGATTCTGAAATAAAATAACAATAATAAAAACATCCAAACAAGGATGATCTCACGGAGAGAGGATTTTTTGGAGTGAAATGTACAGTTGATTAATGGTAACAGGGTGAGCAGTTTGCGGACGAATATGTGTGGAACCAAGCGAGCTGAGGCGTAGTTTGTTTTTCAAATGAGTATCAAATTAAGTTCGATTCTCGGAGATGTTTTAATCATTGATTCAGTGTGCTAAAGTGAAGAGTGCTAGTACTCTTTATAGAGTGGTGAGGCCGGGTGCTACAAAGTGTGTGTGTGAACTCCTCAAAGTAAAATTAGCGTGAAGCTTGCCGCAGTAGGTAGATCGCATATACGGCAGCATGAGCTAGATTGAACAAGTATATCGGATGACTCGAGGAAGGAGGACGGGAATACTACTTGTACAAACCAGGTTATAGTTGAACGGGGTTCGAATTTTTTAGTACAACTTCCGATGGAATGGGGTTGGCGCTAGGCGCCAAAATAGCCGCTAAGCGGCCACTGTTTACCCATGGTGTTGCTATGGGTGATGGGTCCCCGTTTTCTGCACACCTTGCGCGGCACTCAACGGATTGGATAGTATGCTATATTTATGTTTTCTCAGATTTTCATGAACTTTTTATGAATCAGGGTGCAGCGTCCTTGCGAAATAAACTTCAAATAACCGCGCCGAAAGTGTGGAGGCTGCGCGAACACCAACCCAGCATACCAATAGATATCTCAACTGCGAGATCAAAAACCAGAATCATTTAATCGTTTAGCCTGTGATGAGGAGCCGCCTCACTGTCTCAGATTCCTCGGAAATTGAATAGTCACAGTGGTTTATCATTTATTAAAACTCCTTGGTCGCCATTCAACACAAAAGGATTCAACGATAAACCCCTCCCCCCCCTCCCCCAACTAGTTTCCCCATCCCTGGCCATGATGGACAATATCCCGCAGTCCATAAACCCAATCCCTGCTTTCTACTGTTGTTACCTTCTCCGTTCAACCGTCCGACACGCTAGTCTCTATATTGGTTCGACTCCGGAACCAAGTCGTCGTTTGGCCCAACATAATGGAGATAGAACCGGCGGCGCAAGAAAGACATCAAGCGAGAAATTAAGGCCATGGGAGATGGTGGCTATTGTGAGTGGGTTTACGAATAGAGCCGGCGCGTTGCAGTTTGAGTACGTAGGCCCGTTTCCTTTTCCTTTCCCCTTTTGTTGTCGGTTCTATCTCGATTAACGGCTCTAGATGGGCGTGGCAACACACAAAAGAATCCCGCCATGCTGAGGTTGAAAGGTGCGAGAGCGAGCAATTAGGTACAAGGGGATCTTCCAGAACGGGAAAAGAGGTCAAACGTGCAGGCAAACCTCGTACCTCGCTGCCGAATATTTTGGAAAATCTACATATTCTACTACGGTCGCCGTACTTCTCAGAATGGCCCTTGGAAGTGTGGTTTTTCTCAGCAGATGTGTGGCAGGTTTGGTCGCAGCCCAAGGGTAATTTACTAGATAATAGCATCAAGGTGGTAACCGCTTTTAGCTCCAAGGAGGCAGGCGATACCAACAGGCGGGAAATTCTTGGAAAAAGAATTGAAACACTCGATACCGGCTACGATGCTCTCATAGAGTATGTGGAAAAATCGCAATTTTTACTTGAATCTGAGGAAGCGATCGATTGCGGTGTGTGCAAACAAAGGTTAAATCCGCGGAATGATATGATTGCAATATGTTCACATAGCCTGTGCCGCTGCGCTTCTCATCTTTTATGTTTGTCGGCACACTTTTTGGAGGCGGCAGGTTTTATTGGAAAGTTAATACCAAAGGAAGGGACGTGCCCTGCCTGTCTGGGAAAATTGGAATGGCCAACCCTAATGAAGGAAATTACATTGCGGCTTCGTGGCCAAGAAGAGGTGAAACGGTTATTGGGACGGAGACGGAGGACGGAACAGGTGGGGAAAAGAAAAATTTCGAATCATGTTTCCTCGGAAAAAGGCGAAAGTGAAGCCTCGATGCCATCCACGGACGCCAAAACAATGGCCTTGCCGATTCGTTCTCATCCCTCGGTGGGCGGGAGCAATTTTGGAAAGTTAGGGAGAAGTGTTGGCAGCGCGATCAGGACAAACACAGACAATGGTTCTGTGAAAGCAGTCACGCCTGAAATCGAGTTTTATAGACGACGTAAATGCAATGCGAAGAAGAACTTCTCGGGTTTATATAGCACCCCTAGAATCAACATATCCGACTGGGACAACGCTGAGATTATCGAGTGAGAATCGATGGCATGAGAAAGTTATGCCCTCTCAGCGATAAACATGATAAATATCAGGATAGGCTGCTTGCTGGGTGTGATAATGCAGCAAGTCTTTTCAGAGAATCCGTGCCCTTGATTTCTTCAATGGCTCTCCTTGCTGCGCGTATAACGTCCAGCGCAACCTCCGATTCGGCTCGACCTGCGTCGACGACGTGAACATTGTTGGGGTCTTCTCTTGCGACAAGCTCCTGAAATAACTGGCGTATTCGGGTCTGAAAGGCATCGTTTTCATATCTCTCCATTCCATAGCCACCACGTTTTGCCGCTTCCTCTGGCGATATGTTCAAGAAAAGCCATATATCCGGTTGCGGTAAACCGATCTCTGGCTGCCAAGCCCACTCTAACGACAAGCCGGGGATATTTTTGGCAGCAGAATAAACAGCTCCGGAGTAGGAGTAGCGGTCTATGATGACGGTTATGCCATTTGATATATCCCGTTGTATTTCCGCCGCTGCCTCCCATCTATTGGCAGAGAACAGAAGGTGAATAGAATGATCATCCAATTGTGCGTTTTGCATCAAATACGCGTTAATCAGTTTCCCTATCTCAGTAGTTCTGTCTATAATTGTTCATTAGTACTAGCCTGGGTGAGCATCTGGTGGCACATGAGCTAGTACCTGGAAACCGGCGGTACTTGACTTCATGCCCCTCTTCTTGGAGGGTCTTCTGTAAGAATGCGCATTGAGTAGATTTGCCGGCGCGGTCCAATCCTTCCAGCACAATGAGAGCCCCCCTCTGCTTTTTATTGCTTCCCCGTAGGGCTTCCATAATGAAATAATACGTATTTTCCTGAATCAATGCACAAAATAAAAGGTGCTCTACTAAAAAAAATGAAAATTACATTCCAAGGTTCCATACTGAGGTTGATGTTCTTGGCGCTCTCCCAGGTCATGTGCGGCTCAGACAAGCTAAATAAAAGTTATTTTGAGCCCTCTGAAGTTGTGAATCAGGAATATCCGTTTTCTCCATACATACTAGTATTATTTCTTTTTCTTTTTTACAGCATTATGCAACCTGAATCGCTTGCTGAACTTCCAGATGAGATGTTCAGCTTTAGCCTGTTGGGTTTTACGCCGACTCTCCTTGCCCCGCGACTCGGTAGACTTGCTTTGACCGGGAGGAAGCCAATACAAACTCCGAATCATGTTCCTATAACTTCTCGGGGAGTGCTGCCCCATGTGTCCCATGATATTATGAACGACCGGATGTCAATTGGGAGTTTATATGCTGCCTTTGAGGATTGTAAGATGGATTCATGCCCTTTTAACTTTCAACGCCCGCGCATAGCTATCGAGATCTAACAACGCTGCTCATCGGAGCAGTTTAGTTGCGGAGAAAGGACATAGATCCATTCCGCCGATATACCAAATCCCCACGCAGCCATTTGAATCGGCCCTCCGGAAATTTATATGCCAGCGCGAGGATCTATTGTTGATATTAGGTCCCCGACGAGTCCCGCCTGTCCCATGTCCCACTCCAAATTCCTCCAATTCAGTGACGATATTAAGTTCAGTTGGGTACCGTCAGTTGGAAACCGAGCAATATATAGAGGCCATACAAAAATTACAACCAGACATTGCTGTTGGGCTTTCGGATTTGTCCAGCAAACCACCCGGGGTCAAGCGACGAGAGCGAATGGTGGACCGGACACACGCATGGACGAGGGATGCAATCGATAGACTATATGATAAACAGGACGAAGAGAGATCTGTGTCCTTGTTCCTTGCACCACTACTGCCACTGGATAAGGAACAGCAGATGTTATACATACAGGAACTGGAGCACGAGATGCGACAAAAGGTGGCCGGGTTCGCGGTTTACGATACTCACAGCACCTCTGCGATACCGGAATCAATGTCTGCGCTCGTGCGTCTGTCATTAAGTGAAACCAAATCCCCGCGAGAAATCTTGAAGGAAGTTTCGTTGGGCATAGACCTCTCAACAGTACCGTTTGTCGGAGAAGCGTCAGACGCGGGTATTGCGCTTGATTTCGTTTTTCCGAGTTTAGCGCGCGATGTCGAGACTGATGTGAGGCCTTTGGGCATTGATATGTGGCCCGCTACGCATGCGGCTGACATGTCACCACTCTCGCGAAGCTGCAAATGCTATACATGTCAAAAGTTCTCCCGAGCCTATATTCGACATCTGCTTCATGCAAAAGAGATGCTTTCATGGACGCTTTTGCAAATACATAATTATCATGTCCTCGATAATTTTTATGTGGATATCAGAGACAGTATTGCCAGGGGTACGTTTGACGAAGACGTGGCGAAGTTTGAGCGAGCTTACGAGCCTGAATTACCACGGCAATCTGGCCAGGGACCTAGGTATGTTGCATACAGTTATTTTTAATTCCCCCACTCCAACTTAACTCACTTCCCTTTTCTCTCTCATGTTGTTTTTGTTGTTGATTTAGTTTTATTTTTTATTTTTTATTTATTTATTTTATTTTCATAAAAAAGCAACCATTAGCTCCTAGCTAACCACCTTTGGTGACACTACAATTTCTCAGATTACGTGGATATCAATTTAAAGGGGAAGCAGGTGCCAAACCGAAGAATCCCAAGGTGTATGGGCGTTTGGACCAGATTACAACTGCTCCCACACAGTCAGGGTCCTCGATTGTCACCCCAAATGTTGATGCTCATGGTTTCGCCGCAAATACGACTTTCTAGCTTCATCTAGACCTAGCTAGGTACGCAGGGTAATTATTTTATCACGAATCTTCTTCGCTTTAAATAAACATCCCGTTTCTCCACATTATCAAGCGTGCTACTCTGCGCTAATCGATAATGAGATACGCGTTTCCTCCCCCCCAGCCCCCCAGCCCCCCAGCTCCCCACCAATCGAGTAAAACCTTTCCCACCTGTCCCTTCAGTTCCTCCGCAGCTAAAATGACGCTTGGGGGACGAACGAGGTAAAATGAAAGTCAGTGTAGAAGGAAAACTAGCCTCTCAATAAAATAGTTCAGCATGCAGTAGTGTACTACTCGTGTTCGACAGTTGATATTCGATATTCACTCCCCCCCTGCGTGGTGGTTGTATTAATAGAATTAGTACGCTTTGCCCATAAAAGGTAGGTCGTGCGAATAAATAAAAATATCTCCCTCGCCACATTGTCTGGGGTGGAGGTCCTCTGTTTCGGCTCACTGAGCCACTAATAAACGATTGTAGCCTGGGGAAAGCACTATTAATAGCCGGAGAGTTAGGTTCCAAGTTAAACCTCGGCCATCACCATTTTTATTTCAAGCCTCGGGTGATTTTAATAGTGATAATAATAGTGATAGTTAATAAAAGAAAATCTTATTCTTTTGACTATACTTTTCACATATCAAGAGATCGCCCGTACAGAGCAGCAGGCATGAGAATCTCATATCAATCTATGGGGGAAGTGGGTGTTGTTGCATGTCAATAACAGATACAATCCGATTTCGCCAGGCACCGAGTTGAACGTGGGTAGAAAATCTGCTTCCATCATGGTTAGAATCGCCTTACACAAATTCAAACCGTGTTCATCTAGGTGGGCCCAAGCAAAACCTCGGCGAAAAAGACTGTAAAATTGCCAGTTGCGCTCGGCATCTATACTTATCAGCAGCGCCCATCATCAGGGGCCATTAACTCGATATTCCTCAAAATGACTGGCAATGATTAGTACATATTTACATCTATATAAGAAAGATATAGTTCCAATATCCTAAGGTTGCAAGGTCTTAAAGAAGATAGAAAAAGCAAAACTCTTATCTATGTTTTTGCTATGGTTAGGAAATTTGATTTTCCATTTCTAACCCGAATTTGTCCCACACTCAAGCATGCTAGTGTCGAAGCTTATTTCAACCTTATTCTAACCTTCTGGCTTCTTCTCATCACAGACGCCTTCGACAGCTGGGGATTATAGTACTCTCTAATTTGATTTCTAGCACTGCCCATGACAGTCACGGATGGCGACGATGGTGAGGATGGTGGTGGTGCCAGTGGTTCATCAGAGAGGCGACCATTTCCACCCCTTCTCTGGTCCCGGATTCAACGTTCCTTGAACATACGAAACCTTACGGCCTTTGGATTTCAAACCTGGCGCTGTTAATTGGACCTAGCATGAGTCAATGTTTGGATAGCCGCAGAAATGTTCTGCTTCTTGCGTATGCCAGCGGGCGCCCTTGCAGCAGTGCTCGGCCTTGATCTGCCTCTTAAAACGGTGTCGAACCACACAGTCTGCACGTACCGAATTTCCAAGAGCGGCTTCGCCGTCACTCCCAATTTATGTTCGAATTCTACAACTTCCGGGGCTAAGCCACGTGGATTTGTACTTGAGAACCACTTGCCACAGCCCAGTGCTCTCTTAAGCGTGCCAAATTTAGTAAATAAATATACTGGCCAGAAAAACGTGCGCCTGCACAGGGCACATGTATTATTAAATATAATTTACCAAGGCTGCTGTTCTTCACAACATCCTTGGGATCTTGTTTGAAACGTATAACAATTGGTCTCAGGCATATCCCTGAAAATGACGTCCTCAATTCATGAATCGTCAACTGAGAAAGGGAGGATAATTGATAACAAAAATGTTGATTCTGGTCAGCTGGAAGATGGAGTGCGTGAAACCACCAAGCAGCTGGAAATCACACCTGAGTTGGCAAGGATAGAAAGGTTGGCACATCTTGGCTCTCCACTCTCATTCTATACACAAATTCGGACTAAGGGCTAATTGATCGTGTGCGCTCAGAAATCTTGTTCGCCGGCAAGATTGGGTTATTATGCCTCAGGTGGCTGGCCTCTATCTGTTGGTAGGTTATTATATTCCCCCCATCTTCGCAGATCCTACACGGCTTCACAGTGTCTAAATGTCTCAAAACGTCCGACGACAGGCATATCTTGATCGTAGCAATTTGGGAAATGCGAGACTCCTAGGATTGGAGGATGATGCCCTGAATGGCAATGACGATCATTTTGGATGGGCTGCGAGTGTCTTCTACTTTGGATTGTGGGTTTTTTTATTTATTCCTTTCTCTCATGCTACTCCATTTTACTGACAAGTAAATTCTAGTGTGTTGTTTGCCATTCCACTTACACTCGTCGGGAAAACCTTCAATCCATCTAAGTTCGTCTTCGCTTGCGCGCTGGGTTGGGGCACTGCTGCCAGTGCTGCGGCAGGTGCAAATCAATTTTGGGGTGTTGCAGTTGCACGCTTTTTCACTGGTCTGTGTGAAGTAGGTTCAGGGCAGCTAATATGTGATCGAGATATGAGAACTTGTTATCAATGCTGACGATATCACATAGGCTGGCTTTGCACCGACTATAGTATTTTACTTGACTATTTGGTACACGCGCGATGAAGTTGCGTTTAGGACCGCACTTTTAGTTGGCATGGCTGCACTATCCGGTGCCTTCAGTGGCTTGATATCCTACGCTATATCTCTGATTAACACTAATATCGGACGCTGGCGAATACTATTTTTGATAGAAGGGCTCCCAACTGTGGTTTTCGCGTTCATCGCCCTTCTCTTCCTCCCCGATCGACCCGAGACATCCAAATTCCTCAGGAACGAAGAAGAACGAAATGTGTCTATAATGCGCATGCACCGCGGCCAGAAAAGTGAGGGACCTAGAGTCTTAGTGAAGAAACATGTTATTTCAGCCTTCAAAGATTGGAAAATATATGCATGTGCACTTAGCAAGATGGGCCATGATGCGGCTCTTGCTTTGATTACTGTTTTCTTGCCGACAATTGTCAAGTCTCTGGGTTTTACACCTCAGCAGGCCCAATATCTCACT